GATATGCTCACAGGGCTCCCATTCAGTGGAGCGCGGATGTCTTAAATTATCCAGGTCAAACAAGGGTATGTCTTTGGTGTTGCGGGCTGCGTCTGCCCCGAGCACCTCTGATTGTGCCGTGGCACGTGTTGGTGCAGTAGGGAATTGTTTTCCCTGGAGGCTCTTGCCCTCTGAGAACTCGTCCTTGTAAGGATCCGAGTATTAGTCATCTGACCCCTCATCCCCCTCATTGTCTGAGTCAGACAGTATATCTTGGGCCCGTGCCCTTTTCCATTCTCTGGCCACCGTAGCCCGGCCAGAAGCTCTGATGCGCGTTTTTTGCGCGCCATCATAGACAGCCTGAGACGTGTCAACCTAAAAAGGGTTTACCTGTGTGGGAGGGGGGTATTGAGAATGTTTGCGCTTGCCTAGTGCTTTGCTCCCTGGTAATGCCCCTTCAGGAGGGGTAAGTGGCTGTACAGGGGGAGCATGAGGGTGGGCTTGCTTGAGAGCCTGAGTAATGGATTGTGAAATGGTAGAGGACATAGCCCCCATGGCTGATGAGATGGTATTAGAGATAGAGCTGGACATGGTGGCGTCCAGTAGGCTCTGGAATTCTTCTGAGCCTAAGAGTTCAGGGTCAGCCTGGGGGTCAGGGCAAGGTGATCCCACTGAGGAACTAAGATGACTAGGGAGGTTATCACCAGCAGACTGCATGGCAAATAAAATGAGTGCAAGAATGAAAATAATAAATAAACAAAGTGCAAGGATTGCTTAACACAAGCACAGGATAAGAATGGGTACAGGGAGAAGGGGGGATTGCTCTAATATATATGTAATATATACTAAAAATTTACCCGTTCGGAGAGTTAGAACATCAGTGCCGATTGCTGCTCGCTATGCTCGACACCCACGATGTGCTAGCACCTAAAATGGCTGCCGCCTGAGTGGCGATGAGAAAACCCCCAAAATATGGCCGCCGCGAGCGTACCGCGCATGTGTGCCGCGAGTGTACCGCGCATGTGCGCCGCGAGCGTACCACGCATGAAAACGAACCACGGTGAAAACGAAAATGAAAGTAACCACGCGGACGGATTTAGGTCCGCCGACGGGTACTAGAAACGTGCCGGGAACGGAGTGGGGGAGTGTTGATGGACCCCCGCAGACGATACCCGGCAGAGTGCGACCGGGGAAGAGAGCACCCGCCCGGAGGGGGGAGGGAGGTGAGGGAAACAGGGCTGGTGATATAGCTAGTAGAAAGAACCTGTAATAAATCCCGGTCACTCACAAACAAATAAGGCAAATAGGTAAAGCCAATAACAGGGAACTGGGAACAAATATACATAAATAAAACCCTAAAAGAATAGGCACAAATAGTACAATCCACAAAAAGCACACAACTGGTAATAGGGAAAGTGTACTTATCTGGTCTGAGGGAGCAGCAAAGAAAGAGGAAGAAGGATGGAGTTCTACACCTTATATACTAAGGTGGTGGATACTATTGGTAGCACTGTGAATATGCAAATGTTATATTGTTTTTTCTCTTTTTGTATACATCTCTCTTCGCCGCTGAGGGAGAATTAAAGAAAGAGAAGCATAAAAGGAACCTCCGTGTCTTTAATAAAATCTCAGTTTATACTGAGAAAAATATCTGCATTTGTATTGCCGGTATTACTGCAATACCGACACGGCCAGGCAGCTTTAAATTTTTACTTGTGCCAGTAAAATACTAGTCAGATGGCAAACCCAAGAGTAGTGTGTAAAAAAAAAGAAGAAAAAAAAACCAAAAAAAACCCCCATTTTTTTTCTTTTAAATGGGCCTATTCCATAGGACTGGGCCTGGAGCTGCAGCTCCATCAGCTCCTATATTAATCCGGCCCTAAGTATCCTGCATACAGGATTATGCAGAGATGCAGTAGTTGAAACAGGTAAGTAGATTCCAGTATGGTAGATCAAGCAGGTAAGTCTCTTCAGATAAATACAGGATGTTTTCAGGAGCCAGGATCAGAAGTTCTATGTCAATGTAAAGGCCATGTGAAGAGTTGGGTGTGGCCTTTTATAGCAGACTTGGAAGATCATATGAGGCAGGTGAGAGCAACTAAGGATTGACTAGTGGCTAGGGAGGCCACTAGAGGCGTGAAACAGGTATTGAAGCAATAAAATAAAACAATATCTTGGTTGTCAGGATAGGATCCTGACAGTAGGTCTGTGAGTGTGTGTCTGGGATTATGTGTATGTCCGTGTTACTGTTTGTGTGTATGTCTTTAATTATGTGTGTGTCTTTGAGTGTATGTAGGTCTGTAATTGTGCGTCTTTATTTTTATGTATATCTGTGATTATGTATGTGCATGTCTGCAATTATGTGTATGTCAGTGGTTATGTGTGTGTTTGTCTGTGATTTTGAGTGTGTGTCTGTGATCATGTGTGTTTGTGGTGTAATGAAGGACCGGTACTTTAAACGATCACCTGTAAATTTTTCGGGCATGGTGATCCGAGGTTCAGGTGCCATAGCTGTATCTTCTGAAAGGGGCACCAGATGAGCGGTTGCAGCAAACATTGGTGCCCTTGCTTGTGTTTGCAATTCTTGGACTGCTTGAGTCAGGTTGGACACTTGCCTCGTTAGGGTATCAAGCATTTCAGCCATGTCTGCAAGCTCCATTTTATGGCTCAGTTGTTTTGTTGGGAACACAGTTTAGTGGGCAGAGCCCAAGATGCAGATAGCTGTTGAAGGCAAAGAACCAAGTTCGCAGTACCAAAGGATCGGACGAAGAGAATAGTCAAGAAAGCCAACTGTCAGGACAGGTGGCACAGGTTCAGAAGCGATGATACAGGCAAGGATCAAAATCAGGAACAGCATCAGGATACTCTCTGAAGGAGAGTCACAATCAGGAGCACAGTACAAATGAGCAAAGAATGAAGGGTGTGTGCGACTTAAATAGGGGAAGTGGGTAGTCTTGTTAATTGAGGTTCCACCCTGGTCTCCACCTACTGTACCTTTAAAAGGCTCTGTGTAGGCGCGCGCGCACCCTTTGATTATCCTGAAGTTGTACCTTCTGTGTGGTCGCATGTAGAAGCAGCAGCGTTTTCACGAACAGACTTAAGTAACTGCTGTGCGTGAATGTGTCTATAATTGTTTGATTATTTTCTGTCTATATGTCCATGATTATGGGTATATGTCTGTGATTATGAGTGTGATTATATGTGTGTCTGTGATTGTGTGGCTGTGGTTTTGTTGTATGTCTGTGAATATGTGTGAATGTCTATGATTGTGTTTGTGTGTGTATATATGTGATTATGTGTTGGTCTGTAAAAGTATGTGCCTTTGATTTTGTGTGTGTGTGTCTGTGATTATGGGACCTGTGCAGGGAGAGCACAGTGATCCCAGCGGCAACCACTGCCACCAGGGAGAGGATCCACTTCAGCCCTGCCAGAGAAAGACAGACAAAAAAAAAATGTGTGTATGTATAAATGTGTGCATGTCCTGTGATTATGTGTGTGTTTGTGTGTATGTATATGATTATGTGTGGGCCTATATCTGTGATTATGTGAATAAGTGTCTATGATTATGGGTGTGTTTGAGATTGTGTGTGTCTGTTATTATATGTGTATGTCTGTGATTATGTGTGTCTGTGATTATGTGTGCGTGGCTTGCCTGTGATAATGTGTGTGATTGTATGTCTGTGTTTACGTGTGTATGTCTGTGATTAAGTGTGTATGTCTGTGATTGTGTGTGTGCATGAAAATGTGTATTTGTTTAGTAGATAACTCTCTAATTTGGAAAACTAGTTTTCCTGGCACTATAGTGCCCCTCTCCCGCCGGGCTGAAGGGGAAGGAAGGGGGTTAAACACTCACCTTTCATGAGCTGAAGTGGTCTGGGTGCCTATAGTGGTCCTTTTAATTTGACAATCTCACAAAAGAATAGCATATTATGAAGTTAACTGCTAAACAGGTGAGTGATCAACATTAAGAAAAGATAATTTCTTAAAATAACACTATAACGCTAGAAAAAAAAGAAATCTGTGTTCCAAACAAAACCCTCTTTTATTTACCTTGGCTCCCTCTGCACTGTTCAGCTCTCCTCCCCCATCGATGTCATGGAGGAGGCATGGCCTTCTCAGTCGATGGTCCAATCCAGTGCTCCTCATTCAATGTTTTCCTGTGGGGCTTTCATGCCACGTGACTGAGTTTTACCCTTCTAGACGGCCGTATCTCTGTCCAGTGCCATGAGGAGGAAATATAAAGAGACAAAGGGGCCCCTTCCTTTTCTCAGTATGTCTCTTGACTGGGTTAGAATTCAGTCAAACTTTGTATTTCTTAAAGTTCTTAGTGAAGGGGGTGTGTGACAGTGTCACTAAGTATAGCAAAAGTAGGTTGCAGGAACCGCAAGCTTGACAAAGACCTATTCTCAGGTCGAAACGTTGCTGCTCATTTTGTGACAATAAATCTGCCTGCGGCTTTCACAATTGGAGTGCCTGTGAATCTGTTTTGTTGCAGTGTCACTAAGTATGGCAATCCCACATAAAGATAACAAATAGGGGACCTATCTACTAACCAGATGAAATATGAAAATTAAGAGGTGTCTGCACGCTCACGGTACCCATTACTCATTGCTGGTGTAAATTATTAGTACCCCCTCAGTTCTGACTGTGGTATCCATGTGCTACTATTGCAGTAATACAAATTGTTATGGTCCTTAGGCAGACCCTTGGAATCCCTGACCCTCACACGTTTATTGGTCCTGAGCTCTGCCATCACTGAATACATCACATGTTACTGTGATAGCCATTGCTGGGGAGCTCACATGTCTCTCCTGTGAAGCTGTGTAATAAAAGTAAACATTTTCTGAACTTTTTGTTTATTTGGTCCTGCAGACACCCCCCCCCCCCACCCCCTCTGCCCCCCTGCCCCTCTGCCCCCCTGCCCCCCTGAGGACCCTGTCACTGGCAGATCAGGCGGAACCTTCTGCGGTCGGAACGTTGCTGTGGAGGGGCTGGTTTTCGGAGGGCGATTTAAGGTGTCGCACCGCTCTGTGTGCATTGAGGAATGATGGAGGCTCGGGGCAGAGCGCGGCATGAGATGAGTCTGGCGGCTCTCAGACACACAGACCCCTATATCAATACTATCGTGGATGTGACGGGGCAGGTGGCTCTCTACAGCTTCAGCCCCAGGACAGGAGAATGGGTGAGTGAGCACTGACAGAGCCAGGAGGGAATGGGGGCCAGGGAGTGAGGGGGAGTCAGTGTTTATACCTGCCATGGAGTGAGGGGGGCTATAAAGAGAGAGAGACACACACACACCCCCCCGCCATGGAGTGAGGGGGGCTATAAAGAGAGAGAGAGAGAGAGACACACACACACCCCCCCCTGCCATGGAGTGAGGGGGGCTATAAAGAGATACACCCCCTCCCCCGGCCATGGGGTGAGGGGGGCTATAAAGAGATACACCACCCCCCTCCCCCCCCTGCCATGGTGTGAGGGGGGGCTATAAAGAGATACACCCCCCCCATGGTGTGAGGGGGGGGCTATAAAGAGACACCCCCCCCCATGGTGTGAGGGGGGGGCTATAAAGAGATACCCCCCCCGCCATGGTGTGAGGGGGGGCTATAAAGAGATACACCACCACCCCCCCTGCCATGGTGTGAGGGGGGGGCTATAAAGAGATACACCGCCACCCCCCCTGCCATGGTGTGAGGGGGGGGGCTATAAAGAGATACACCGCCCCCCCTGCCATGGTGTGAGGGGGGGGGCTATAAAGAGATACACCGCCCCCCCCTGCCATGGTGTGAGGGGGGGGGGGGCTATAAAGAGATACACCGCCCCCCCCCTGCCATGGTGTGAGGGGGGGGGCTATAAAGAGATACACCGCCCCCCCCCGCCATGGTGTGAGGGGGGGGGCTATAAAGAGATACACCGCCCCCCCCCTGCCATGGTGTGAGGGGGGGGGGCTATAAAGAGATACACCGCCCCCCCCCTGCCATGGTGTGAGGGGGGGCTATAAAGAGATACTCCACCCCCCTCCCCCCCGCCATGGTGTGAGGAGGGGCTATAAAGAGATACACTGATTGGCCAAAGTCAGGAATACAAAGTGATTTAAAAATGGTTAGATTAACCCTTTAAAGGGATGTTAAAAGATGAACATTTTCTTAATTGTAAATTCCTTGAGTAATTGCATAAATTTACATTTCAGAATGCTGCCAAATTTAATAAAACATATAATATCTATTAATTGCATTGGAAACAATGTCACATATTCAAAAATGACAACATATGCAAAACGAAGTGCCTCTGCATGATCCAGTGGAGAGGAAATTCAAGACTCCCTTTTGCTCTCCCACATAGTGTTCTGACTCTGAGCACCGGGAACCTAGAGCTTGACATGTAAAATAAATTATCCACCCCAGTGCTGTAATCACTAACTCATGCATTCTGTGGAAGGAAGCGTAGCATTTGTTATACTAAAACATGAGTGACAGGAGTTGTTAGACAGTTCTTCTGACCTCACAGCAACTACAGAGCATGCACAGTAGTTGCTGTAATTATTCTCCTGGCGTGCACATATCATGCTTTTAGTAGAGGAGTACAGATATGTACTGACAGATGACACTCTCTTCTATTGCCTTTGTTGGCATTCTTGGGGAGAATTATTTGGAAATGTACTAATTATACCGCCTGGGTCATGTAATTCTGGGTTCTGAGCTCTGTGTTGTGTGTGTGGTGTGTGTTTTTTTTTTTTTTTTGTAATAGTTTTGGGAAGAATTAGGGCTGGGATCTTGATGTCTGTACTTGTGACACATGCACACCTCAATTATCGGTCTGTCGCAGTCCAACATACTGAGTTGCTGTCTGAACAGTGGGGGGAGTGATTACAGATGCTCCATCACCAGAGATCCAGAACCCCCACTAGACCACCAGACAGAGATGACCACCAAAGTGTGAAAAATTCACCTAACCACACCCACAAGTGCAAGGTGACAAACAAATTAATCTAATTTTGCACAAATAGTAAAGCTTCCTAAAGTCGCCTCCCAGTAGATAAACACTCACTATGCCAAATATACAAACATATTCAAATTTGTGATACAGCATAACATCTAAAAGAACATTAATACATATAGTCATAAAATCATAAATTACACTTTCACTGGATTTTACCCACAAAACAACGATGTATGCATTCGCCTTAAAGGGACACTATATTCACCAGAACAACTACAGCTTATTGTATTTGTTCTGGTGAGTATAACAAGTATAAAAAGCCAGAAGGGCTTTTTGCAGTAAACACTGTATTTTCAGATAATTGAGTTTTTACATTACTGCCTATGGATACCTCCACTGGCCACTCTTCAGATGGCTACTAGAGGTGCTTCCTGGGGCAGTGCTGCACACTGCAGTATTGTCATTCAGTGTCTCCACCCTTTGCATGGAGATATTACACTTTCCTCATAGAGTGCATTGATTCAATAAATTTCTATGAGGAGATGCTGATTGGCCAGACCTGCATTTTGTGCTGTTTCTGTCCCTGACCTGCATCTCCTGAACAACACTTCTGATGTCATCCAAGGCAGATCAGGAGCGGAGCCAGCAGCAGCAGACAGGAATAAAAGTAAGATTTTACTATATCAAGGGGGCTGAGGGGCTAGCTGGTGTTTTTAACACTATAGGGTCAGGAATACATGTTTGTTCCTGACCCTCTAGTGTTCATTGAAGGGTACCTTCCTTGATGGCAGTGGTGCAGCTTCCTCTTCTTAAGAAGTCACCCAGTCCAGGAGCCAGACATGGGAATCAAGATAAGTAAGTTGTAAAATACTTTTATGACTGCAAAGCTGTATGTGCACACAAATATAAACAAGTAGACAAGATAGCTGAAGATCCCATGCATTTTGTTCGATACAAAGAACTTCTTGAGGGACCATAATGGTAAAACAATGCCAAACATAGGCTATTTTGGGCATTCATTGTTTGTTTTTACGTTATGGTCCCTGAAAAAATGAATATGAGGAAACTACTTGAAACATTTGTTGTGTTGCGCTATTTCAGTTGCTTTAATTTGATTTTGATTACAACTTTATGTGGGAGGAGTCCCTGTGTATGTAGATTTATGAAGTGCTAAAACAGTTTAAAATGACTTTGATAAGTGACTTTTCAGATAGATCATGTTCATAGAAAACTTCACTGCAGACATAATTTACAGTAATTGCACGTTTTTGATTTATATCTTTTTTTTTTTTTTTTTTTAAATCTTTATTTCAGCTTTCGATTATTTATATATAATATATAATTTTTTTTTTTTTTAATTTATTTTTTTAAGACATAGGTTAGTTAAGTTCATTACAGCATAATAGATTTGGTAAACAACATTGCAACCTGTTAATAGAGCCTCTCTTTACAAGGTTAAAGAGTTTTGACCGTTTGGCGGTCGCGTCTATTTTCTTAATCAGAGGTTTCAAGCGATTTGAGCAATTTTATATAGTTATGCAGATTAATTGTCTTAATTTGAACTTTTACTTTTCATTCTAGGAGAAGACGGATATTGAAGGCACCCTGTTTGTATATACAAGGTTGGTTTTTCAAAGTATTAATGGGATTTATAGTTTTTCTTTCAGTATGTAGTATTGGAAGTCTGACCGGTTTATTCTTTCAACTGGGTATTGTCTAGAATTTCAAATTTTAGGCCAAGATAGGAGCTTTTGATTATGTTTTATTTTAGATTAATTGTTCATCTTTTTCTAGACGTGAAGCAGCAGTAATAATAACTAGATAGTGCCCTGCCTCACTTGCCAGGCAGATAATGACAATAAAATGAAAACATTGAGGTACTTGCCCTTCCATCTATGTAAAAGGCAACTAGACACCCAAGCTTTCCAATATCTGTCTGGTACTTTGCTTTCTCTCTCATTTGTGCTACACTGTGGAATCCACTTTGGAGAAAGGCAAAGCCACCTCATAAACCAAGAGCCAGGTTAATGCAAATTGCAGTCTGCATGTCTCTGAGAATGCAATTCTTGTTCCAAATTGGCATCCGACATTGAACCTAGAACGGAAATGTTGCTTTCTGTTAATTGATTACAGAATAGTTTGAAACAATCCTTTGCCAAACTCAGGTCCTTAGCTGTGTAGCTGCCACCTACTTAAATTAAGGAAAAAAAAGAGAAAACTAAATGGTATAGGAATCAGATTCTGATCTACCCACCCTGGCACCTCCTGCAATGGTGAGGAATTGGAAGTCTTTTAATTCCAGGAAATCTGTGCTGTACAGTGAAGACCTGGAGTCTTCTCCGAAGGTATATGTCGTCATAGTCAGCTGACATCGCAGATGGCACATCCTAATGGTAAAATGGCAACTCTAAAGGAGTCAAGGATTAACACGGTATTTACTCTTCGTCAAGTGCTGTCTGGTATTTGGGGAAAGGGCTAAATCACTTAAAGGACCACTATAGTGCCAGGAAAACAAACTAGTTTTCCTGGCACTATAGTATTCGGTCCCTCAGCGCTGGGGACTCTCCTCCTCCTCCTTTGGATGTCATCGGCTGCATGCGCAGCAAGAGCCGCGTGTTCAGTCAGTCCATAGGAAAGCATTCTCAATGCTCTTCTATGGACGCTGGCATCTTCAATGAGACAGCCACTAGAAGCTGGATTACTCTGAAATTGCTATGTTTACAGCAGGCAGGGTTAACCCTAGAGGGACCTGGCACCCAGACCACTTCCTTAGGCTGAAATGGTCTGGGTGCCTATAGTGGTCCTTTAAGCACTATAATATTTAGTCAGTGAAAATTCATAACAGTGAGGACCTCCAGCTTCGTTTCATGGAGTTAAACTCTGTGAAACTGCAAGAAGTGTCTGAAGTCTTAACCCTGCAATGTAAATGTTTGTTTTACATTGCAGGGTTAAGGTAAATGGGCAATGCACCCAGACCACTTCAATGAGATGAAGTAGTCTGGGTGCCTAAAGTGTCCTTTCAGATCATTTAGTGATGTCAGTGACTGATCTACATGCATACATTTGATAAGAAAATCTTTTTATGGAATGTGGGAGAGTGGTTTAAGACTCAGGCTTACGGTGCAGACATTCAGATTTAATTTAAATAAAAACATTTTATTACAAAAACTGTTACGATTTTTGCATAGAAAAATACAGGATATTAACACCTTAAAGACGGCGGGCGTGCTATGCCATCCTTGGGGACCCAGCTTTAAATGCCGGCGGGCGGCATAGCACATCCACACCGTCCTATTCACTTACCTGCTCGCTGGCGATCGCGATGCGGGGGACTTGCCTGACATCCCAGGGAGTCCCCCTGCTTTCTGTAAAAAGTTAAAACACAGTTTAAAATGAAATAAAATATACTTAGATCAAATGTGTATATACGAATGATATTAAATATATGTGTAAATATTTTAAATAAAAAATATTAAATATATGTGTAATTTCATTCCAACTGTACTTTGATATATATTTGTGCTCAGGATAATAAAGCCATATGTGTATTGATACCTTATCATACCAGTAGGGGTATGTATAATTCGGTTGAGTGTGCCGAAACAGACGTATTGGTAGGCCTGTAAATAAAGTGGGCCCACCAAGAAAGGTAATTAAGTGAAATAATACATTTTAAAAAAGGTGGAGTGGTGGGAGGGATTCAAAATGCAACTAATGCCTAGGAGGAGTCGAGTGCTGATGGTGAGTATTTATGCCCGCACTAGCCCCTCCCATAACTCCAGGCTCCGCCTTTACATTTGCGCTCAGGACAATAAAGCCGTATGTGTATTGATACCTTATCATACCAGTAGGGGTATGTATAATTCGGTTGAGGTGTGCCGAAAACAAAGTGGGCAAAAAGATGTATGCCAAAATTTTATTCAATCAACAATGACTTAGTACAACATAACATCATAATGCCAAGTGTTGGAAAGCTTGTCTAATTTCTCTCTCAGGTTGTGGGATGAACCTACAGTATGCTGTAGATTTCCAGCTCCCCAATGATTTGATAATATGAGTAGGTATGTTTCTATATGAGGCTGTTGAAGCTGCTCTGATATGGAAAGAATGTCCAGAGTAGTTTGAGGGGTTAAGGCCTAACCTCATCAACATGATTCTAACATAAAGCATGAATTTGATTTCATTGGTTTTGGGTTCAAATGGAGAGTTATCCAAAAGTTATCCAAATTGTATTGTTGGACAAATGTAAATTGAGGTGGCAAAAGGAGGCGAAGGCCACCAAAGATTCCATTGCGAACATGTCTACCATCTGGAAGTCCTTAGTAAATTTTACAAAAATATCAAGAGCCAGTTTGTAAGTTCACTTGGTGTTTTCTGACAAAACTTTGTGACAGCATTCTACCGTGCGCTAGGAGTTGGCCTAATCCAATATGAGGTCTTGAAACTGAGGGGCCGGAGTTGCTGCCGTGAAAGCATTGGGATGTAGTAGGCGGAATTCCTGAAAACGGAAGCGGGACAAATGGTCAGCTGCTGTGTTTTGAGCACCAGGCACGTGTGTGCAATACAAAAAGAACTGATGGGTTGCCGCGAGCCAAGTTAATAGTCTCACGATACTCATGACTATGGGCACCGGCCTTTGTTGATAATGTGGCAAGTTGCTTGATTGTCTGAAAAACAATGAACCGTGTGTCCTGACCAGGAGTGTCCCCATGTTGCTGCTGCGGCAACAGTAGGGCATATTTTCAGCAATGCTGAAGTCTGATCAAAGGTTTCCAGTGTTCTGGTATCTGGCGGCCAACTGCCCCATAACCACTGGTCACCACAGATGACTGCAATACCAGTAAAAGCCGCCGCATCTGACCACAGTTTTGGGGAACCTGGGGACAGTGGAGGTATGAACATGGATTTTCCATTCCATTGGAATAAGAAATCCTTGCTGTCCTTGGAGGCAGGTTAGACAATAGACAAAGTCTAGAAACGAAAGACCTGCCCTGCGGGATGATTCTCATAGCGCCCCGAGGGTGTAGTTCAAATTCACTGTACTTCCGCGATAATAATAATCTGGTCGGGTAGCTAGCCTTCTGCTGCTGCTCCTCGTGTTTCCTTACACAGTTTTTTTTTATTTTTATTTTTTTTTGAAGTGACGTCACGTTAAAAATGGAACGAATGCCTAGGAGGAGTCTAGTGCCGATGGTGAGTATTTATATCAACTCCAGGCTCTGCCTTAAAATATAAATATATCTATAGCTCTATATATCTTATTCCAGTTGTGCAAATAGTCACAGTTTGAATAGTCTCTTATTCCGGAGGTAGATTCAGCTGCAGTTCGTTATACTTAGAGGGTCTTGTAATCTTGGGTCTCCGTATGTGGGTGAGAAGAAACACAAGAAAGACCTAATAGTGCAGTAAGCCAGGGCTAAATAGGCCTGTTTTTATAAATTATAATACTCACATTTAAGAGAGCTTCTGCCAGCTCTAGTATGAATCGCCTATAGTGGCATGATCCCCACTATTTAGGATATGGTGGTGATGGTTCTTGGCTAGTAGTTGTCCTGGTGCTCAAAGACAAAAATAAAAAGGCCACAGATAGTGCTCTCAGTAAGACACTGTAATTATGTGAATATAAAGGCTCTACTTACAGACATAGAGCAGGCTCACTGCTCTGTGGTGCCAGCGTTGGTGGTATAATCCCCACCTATGGATGTACTTGGGGGGGAGTAGTAGTAGATGAAAAAATAAATAAATAAATAAGAAAACAAAAGTACAATAAAATTAAATAAAAGCCAGGGAGAATATATGAGTAAAGATATTGGTACAATAAGTGTTGTAAAACCAAATCCTTTATTACATCAGATAAAAAAGTTAAATATCCATAACGCGTTTCGTCAACAGACTTTATCAAATGGATTAAAATATACAACCTGGCTTGTGAGCTTTAAAAATGGCGCCAAAATTATGTGCACCAATCAGAACTTGAGAAAATCATAATACATAAAATCAATACAAATTACATTCAGACTTCAGTATATTAATAGAAGAAGTATTCTGTACTAAATAAACTGAGAAAATAAAAATCGAGGTTGTAGTGGTGTGCAAATGGTCAAATTAAAGCGATCATGTGATTTGCGGCACTTTGCCACATGGGAAATGTAGTTTTCCGGCTGCTTTGTGATATTATAAGCATTGTGGCCGTGTGCAGCCGCCGAGATGGTAGGCGGTGCACACATAGTGGATTATTACATGTTAGGTATGGACCTGATGTGGGATTATTGGGCGGTGCGCCCTGAACGAGGGGCGGTATCTCGCTGCATTCAGTGTGCTGGGCGTGTACGGCCGCTAGGAAGGTGGGCGGTGCGTACATAATGGGAGTAGGTAAAAGGAAACTTATGTGGAATAGGAAAGGAGAAGGTGATGGATGAATAAAGGGGGTTGGTGTGAGTGCAGGGGGCGTGGCCACACCCGCCTCTATTATACCAATGGGGAAATTATAGCTAGGGAAAAGGTTTCCTGGCAGCCATTTTCCTTGTGGACTGGAAGCCAGGGAACTATTAACAGAGGTAGGAGTTATATAAAATATAAAAGTGAGATTTAATGAGCATGAAGTATTAAAAGCTTACTTTTTAAACAGTTTGAAAGGCACATTAAGCTATAAGATACACATAACAGAGAGCTCTAGATAGGATTACAGATATTAATTTATGCCCTCTAAACTATATTTATAAGTATAAATTAATCATAAAGTGAGAGTATCAAATATAGTATATTTCATGATATAAATATGTATCTTTTTTGTTAATATAATCATATAAAACTGTTAATAAAAGATATTAATAGAAAAAAAAATTCCAATTAAAAAGCCACGCATTACCTGAAGCATTAATATCTTTGTTATATACCATACCTAACATAACCATTATTATATATAACAATCTTAGTACAGTGCGGTTGCACTGAGGGTGTTCTAGACCGCAATGCCGTAGGTAACAACTACGGATAGAACAGCCCCAGTGCAACGACAGCAAAAATTCCAGGCAGCGCTGACTGAGTGGTATGGTGCTTAGGTAGTTAATTATGGATAAAAATTTAATAAAACCAATGAGTTAAAAGGGTGATGGATAATAACATAAGTGAGTGTATGGTGTACTTGATAGGTGTGGAGGTAGGTAGGTAGTCTAGATGAAGTTGAACAGGTCAAACTCAGCATTTAAACCTTTGGGTGCTAATGTTTGTAGGTTAAACACCCACTCCATTTCTGATCTACACAAAATGTTCTTTATATCTCCTCCTCTCCAGGGGATTTTGCATTGCTTTTATACCGATTTTAAAAAATTTGGGTCATTGTTATGCATTATAAAATGTTAAGATACGGAGTGATTTGAGTATCCTTTAATAATATTTCGACAATGTTCTCCTAATCTTATTTTTAGGCTTCTTGTTGTTATTACAACATATTGGAGGCCACATGGGCACTCCAATAGATAAATAAAAAAATTTGTGTTGCAGCTGATAAAGTCTTTGATACTTTGTTAGTTCTCTTTGATGTGAAACATTTAGTTTTTGTCAGTACAGTCTGATCTGTAATTTTACATACTTTACAACATTTACATTTATAAAAACCCTTTGTATCATTAAAAAAGGAAGTAGGTAGATTTTTGTTAGGTTTAAGTTCTTTGGTAAAATTAGTAGTTTAAAATTGGGAGCTCCTGGGGCGGAGCCTGACTGCGGAGGTGAACAGACACACAAGCCTGTAGCTCCGTGCTCACAGCAGCTACAAACCCTAAAATCTGAAACCCTTACCTCCGAAAACTAACCATAAGAGCTCATTGGGTCGATCTGGACAACATGGGGCGCAAATCTAAGCTACCAACAACAGACAAAGCCACACCGGGACTCACTATTGGGGACATGTGGAGGCAAGCGCATGGCGCCAGCGGGCCCAATATGACCGCGCTTTCCGGCGGCTGCTCAAACTTCTCGGATGGGCTGTCTGACGACGCTGATGAAGATTACTTACCCATGTCCACACCGGCTGCCTCACAAGCGCCAAAACACACCAAAGCAGGGTCTGACTCCTCACCTGTGACCACAGCGGTCCTCAAGAAACTGCTGGCAGACCTACAAAGAAACATCTTGGCAGGCATCACGGCGGTACGCACTGACCTGCAGGGGCTGATGGGCCGCATAGGTGTCAGGATTACTGTTTGATCCAGCACGTAGAACTGTACAGCACGGATGACAAATAAGTAACGTATTACCGGTCCTTAGAATGGACGGATTTAACGTACAAAGAATAGTCAAAAATACTAGCCGAGGTCAGGGAACACAGAAAGGGACACAGCGATGAGGAAAGCCAGGAGTCAGGATACCAGAATATAGAGAAGTCAATAAACAAAGCCAAAGTCAAAAACCAGGTAGAAAACTATAAACAGGAACGCGCTCTCAGACAACCACAAGGGAAACCACGACAGGGCACTGAGCAGGCTGAGAACTGGGCCTAAATACCCCTCCTTTAGTTCTGATAGGCTGTAACCGGCCTTTGACCCCAAAGTCAGTTACCAGGTTTCATTTGCATAATTGCTGCTCAGCATTAACCCTTCTGTGGATTAGGTTGCTGCTCGGCACAACTTTTCCTGTGTGGACAGTAAATGTCATTAACCACATTTCTATAAGCGAATGAATATGTGACATTACCCCCCACCTGAAGAACGCCCACCGGGCGGACAGGACCAGGCTTGAGAGGAAATTTAGCGTGAAAAGCGCGGATCTTACGGCCCGCATGCAGGTCAGGAGCCGAAACCCAAGAACGATCAGCAGGACCGTAACCTTTCCAAACAACCAAGTACTGTAAAGTGCCCCGAGAAAACCTAGAATCCACGATAGAAGATACCTCATACTCTTCCTGACCACCCACCACCACCGGAGGGGGAGGAACACAAGGAACAGTATATCTATTGCAGACAAGAGGTTTGAGTAAGGACACATGAAAAGTGTTGGGAATCCCTAAAGATGCAGGAAGAGCCAGAGAGTAAGACACTGGATTGATCCTACGAAGCACTCTATAGGGACCAAGGAATCTGGGGGCAAACTTCATGCTAGGGACCTTAAGCTTGATGTTGCGAGATGACAACCAAACCCGGTCCCCCACTTGGTACACCGGGTTGGCACTCCTACGCTTATCAGCAAAATGTTTGAAGCGTTCAGCAGCAGCCCCTAGAGCAGTTTGAACCTTAACCCAGGTATCCCGAATGGAGGCCAGACGCTCATCCAGAGCAGGAATGGCAGTATCAGAAAATACCGCAGGGAGAACCGTAGGATGCCTACCATTATTGACAAAAAATGGACTGTGCCCAGAGGAGTCATGAACAGCATTGTTTCTAGCGAACTCGGCCCACGGGAGTAGTTCGGACCAATTGTCTTGTGTGCTATTAATAAAACAACGCAAATAAACTTCTAATGACTGGTTAGCCCTCTCAGCTGTACCATTGGTCTGTGGATGGTAGGAGGAGGAGAAGGAGAGATCAATCCCCAATTGTTTACTGAACGCCCTCCAGAACCTGGACACAAACTGAGAGCCCCTATCAGACACAATATTGTGGGGGATGCCATGCAAACGGACAATTTCACGTATGAAAATTAGGACCAAATCTTGCGAAGATGGCAACTTCTTGAGAGGAATGAAGTGAGCCATCTTAGAAAATCGGTCTACAACCATGAGAATAGTAGTGAACCCAGCAGAGCTAGGAAGCTCAACAATAAAGTCCATGGATAGGTGGGACCATGGAATCTCAGGAACAGGAAGAGGCTGCAACAGGCCACAAGGAAGTGCATGAGTCACCTTAGAAACTGCACACACAGAACATGCCTGCACATACTCCTTTACATCTTTCCTGAGTGAATCCCACCAAAATGATCTAGTGATCGCGGCAGTGGACTTATTGATGCCCGGGTGTCCAGCAGTTATATTGTCATGGAACACTTTCATGATATTAACCCTTTCACATAGGGGAACGAACAGTTTATCACACGGTTTACCACTGGGCGCCTGAGGCTGGGCCTCCAGTATGGTGCCAAGCAGTGGAGAAGACAGTGAGAGGACAGTAGTAGCAATAATACACTCTGCTGGAATAATAGGAGATGTCATCTGTTCCGGAGCTGACTCATTATCAAATTGCCTGGACAAGGCATCAGCCTTGGTATTTTTAGAACCAGGTCTATAAGTAATGAGAAAGTTAAAACGTGAAAGGAACAGTGACCATCTAGCCTGTCTGGAAGACAAACGTTTGGCATCCCCTATATATGCCAGATTTTTGTGGTCGGTTATGATCAACAGGGGGTCCTTGGAACCCTCCAAAAGATGTCGCCACTCCTTGAGGGCAAGAATAATGGCCAACAGTTCTCTATTGCCAATATCATAGTTGTGCTCAGCAGGAGACATCTTTCTGGAGAAGTAGCCACAAGGATGCAATGGTGTTCCCTGGCTTTCTCTCTGAGAGAGAACAGCCCCTACCCCTGTCTCGGATGCATCAACCTCCAATATAAAAGGTTTACTGGTGTCAGGATGTTTTAGTATGTCCACAGAGGCAAATCTTTAAGAGTCTCAAAAGCATTCACAGCCTCTTTGGACCATACCGTGCTACTAACCCCTTTGCGAGTCATATTTGTGATTGGGGCTATTACAGAAGAAAATCCATTGATGAATCTTCTTTAATATTTGGCAAAACCAATAAACCTTTGAATGGCTTTTAAACCAGAGGGTAATGGCCAGTGTAGTACAGCCTCTAGTTTTTTAGGATCCATTTGAAATCCCGATGCAGAGATGTTGTAACCCAAAAAGTGGACTTCAGGCTGGTCAAATATGCACTTTTCTAATTTACAATAAAGTTTATTTTTCAACAACATCTGCAGAACCTGTTTCACATGGGAGTGGTGAGTTTGAAGATCAGGGGAATACACCAAAATATCGTCCAAATAAACCAAGACAAATGAGTAAATGAATTCCCTGAGTACATCATTTATAAAGTCTTGGAATACGGCCGGGGCGTTGCATAACCCAAATGGCATTACCAGATATTCATAGTGTCCACTACGGGTATTAAATGCCGTCTTCCACTCATGATTCTCTTTAATTCTAACCAAATTGTAAGCGCTCCTAAGGTCAAGCTTAGTAAATACTTTAGCTCCCTGAAGTCTATCGAACAATTCGGAAATGAGTGGAATAGGGTATGCATTTTTTACAGTGATTTTATTTAGTGCCCTGTAGTCCATGCAAGGGCGTAACTCACCACCCTTTTTCTCAACAAAAAAGAATCCTGTACCAGCTGGTGAGGATGACTTTCTTATGTGCCCTTTGCTCAAGGATTCTTTGATGTATTCCTCCATTATTTTACTCTCCTGGGGAGATAAGGCATAAACTGTCCCCTTAGGTGGCATAGCGCCTGGAAACAGGTTAATGGCAAAGTCATATGCTCTGTGGGGAGGCAATACATCGGATTGAGCCTTGTTAAACACCTCCTGAAGTTCTCGGTATTGTATGGGAACTCCAGGAGTTTGGGGAGTGGTAGTGGGAAGGTCAATAGTATCCAATCTCTTTAGTACTGGTTTTATACATCTTCCCATACACTCTTTACCCCATTCTAATATCTCCCCATTAGCCCAGTCAATATAGGGATTGTGCTTACTCAGCCACGGAAACCCTAATATGATAGGACATGATGGAGAAGTAATAACCTGAAACGTCATCTCCTCCCTATGGGAGGCCCCAATGGAGATCGTAATAGGGACAGTTTCGTGGGTTATAAGCGGTTGTGTGAGTGGTCTACCATCAATAGCCTCTACAGCTAGCGGCGTAGGTCTCTCCCTGACCGGTATCTCATTACCCCTAATAAACTGGACATCAATAAAATTTCCAGCAGCACCTGAGTCCATTAGGGCACTGCAAGAAAACTTCTTGTTATCAAGGGAAATAGATACCTCAAGGAGGAATCTACTTTTGTTTTTGTTAGAGGACAACTCCATCACACCTAAGATCTGTCCCCTTAAGGTTCTTAGGTGCGGAAGTTTTCCGGACGCACTGGACAATTAGTTATCATATGTCCCTTTCTACCGCAATATAGGCATAACCCCTCCCTTCTCCTATACTGTTTTTCGGCCTCTGACAGTCTAGTGACCCCCAACTGCATAGGTTCGGGTTCGGACTGTACAGGGAGGTTAGACAAAACAGGTTTAGAGAATTGAGGTGCTAGGGACATAGCCGTACGTCTGGTCTTGCTTCTGGTGACTTCTCTGAGTCTTAACCTATTATCAATATGCATGACAAACGTAATAAATTCGTTAAGACTCTTAGGTAATTCTTTAGCGGCTATCTCATCTAGTATAGTCTCTGAGAGACCCTTTTTGAATGCTGAGATTAACCCATTGTTAGTCCAGTCTACCTCGGAAGCTAAGGTACGGAATTCAATAGCATAATCCGAGATAGACCGGTTACCTTGTCTGATGTGCATTAGGGCAGTGGAGGCGTCATCCTCTCTACCCAATGGCTCAAACGTGAGCTTGAATTCGGCAAGGAATTCCTGGTAATTATGAGCTATGCTCCGATTACTCTCCCACAACGGATTAGCCCAGGCAAGGGCCTTGCCCTTTAATTGATTCATTAGATAACCAATTCTTGCTCTGTCCGTGGGGAATGACCCTGGTGAGGCCTCAAAATGGTACTCCACCTGATTAAGAAAACCCCTGCATTCCTGGATATTGCCATCAAACTGTAGGGATGGTGATAAGGAGATGCAAGGAGTCCTATTAACAGTGGGTGGAGGTACACAGGGTAGAGGTGCTATAGGAGGAGACGCTGCAGGCTGCAGATGCTCCGTTCTAGCGAGAAGCGTACTTAAAGCCTGAGTGAATTGATCCATGCGGTGATCATTCTCCTCTAATTTCCTCTCGCAAGCAGCTATGTGCTGACACAGTTCTACAGGATCTATGGCCATGTCGTAATGTCAGGATTACTGTTTGATCCAGCACGTAGAACTGTACAGCACGGATGACAAATAAGTAACGTATTACCGGTCCTTAGAATGGCCGGATTTAACGTACAAAGAATAGTCAAAAATACTAGCCGAGGTCAGGGAACACAGAAAGGGACACAGCGATGAGGAAAGCCAGGAGTCAGGATACCAGAATATAGAGAAGTCAATAAACAAAGCCAAAGTCAAAAACCAGGTAGAAAACTATAAACAGGAACGCGCTCTCAGACAACCACAAGGGAAACCACGACAGGGCACTGAGCAGGCTGAGAACTGGGCCTAAATACCCCTCCTTTAGTTCTGATAGGCTGTAACCGGCCTTTGACCCCAAAGTCAGTTACCAGGTTTCATTTGCATAATTGCTGCTCAGCATTAACCCTTCTGTGGATTAGGTTGCTGCTCGGCACAACTTTTCCTGTGTGGACAGTAAATGCCATTAACCACATTTCTATAAGCGAATGAATATGTGACAATAGGGGCCCTAGAGGGAACTTCCAACACAAGCACCCAACAAATTGCCAATCTCCACCAAACCGTACAAGACCTGCAGCAGCAGACCCTGCTACACGAACACTGCCTTGCGGCCCTAGAGGACACACTGAGACGAAATCACCTCAAACTCAGAGGAGTCTCAGACGACATCTCTGAGAGGGAAATGCCACACTTCTTGAGACGCATGCTGGCGGCCCTGCTGCCACCGAGGCTGGGGAAAGCCATCACACTGGACAGATTCTTCCGACTCCCTAAACCCAACAAAGCACCAGCCACAGCCCCCAGGGACTTGATAATTACCTTTCAAAACGGGAATGACAAAGCAGCGGTCCTCACAACACTACGGGACAAATCCCCCCTCCACTTTGAAATCATGGCGATATCATTTTACGCTGACCTATCGAGTGGCACGCTGGCATGGAGGCGATTGCTCCGACCGCTCACCTCCCTACTCCAACAACATGGGACTCAATAGCGCTGGCTCCAATCCCACAAGCTTATGATCAAGCAAGGAAGCTAAACTTACTACATTCAAGACCTCCAGAGCTCAGCGACACTGCTGCGGGATATGGGCTTGTCCATGGACTCGCTGACACAACAGGGGGTACACAACACCCCCCCCCCCCTCAACCCACACCTGGGATCCAGCAAGAAAGACAATTTTCATCCCCCAAGGAAGAACACCGAACTCCTATGCAGCTGTCACTACTTGAAGGGTGACTCAAACGACTCATTAGCCAAGACTGCATGTTTAATGAACACTACCCATGGTTTTACTGACCTGTTATTCATGGTTATGACGACCTCATTCTACTGTTGTAGAGATCGCACCCCATTCTTTTCCCCTACGATGCCCTACCTAGCTAGCGGACACACCACAGACCTGTCAGCCAACACATGGCAAAAGATACTACCAGACAAGGTAACTCCTACACATATACACAGGCGGACCGACATACACCACGCTCGCTCCACTGCCATCTCATCGCCCCTGCAGTCACTCACTCACCATATGCTTAGTAACAACATTTACTGCAACCACATTTCTCTGTGCCATCGAAAGTAATCCCAAACTGGGCAATCGTACACAGAGGGTGGGGATGCAGCGGTTTCATGTATCATGGTAATGCATAATATGCTCCGTGTCCATATAGCTATAAGTTACTCAGTCTACAGGGGACACCTAGCCTACAACCTATTACCTGTACTTTGTATAACCCTGCAATATTATCTCAAAGCTACAATGTTCTAGGCAGTATGTATAGCCTGTCAGTGTATTTTTAGTTTGCTATACCTGTCTCTGTTCGCTCTTGATTTCCCTGACTCACAAGAGTTGAGTTCTACACTGAAAACACATGCACTGGTGCTGGCAGGCTGGGCAGTACTGTACTCTACTTAAATCAAGTTTCACGCTTCTACTGCTTGTTTTAATTCTGTAACCTTCTACATTTAACCTAAACCTGCTGTGCAATCCAGCTATTAGATAGAGAGCTACACAACAACACCTGGTTAAAGTTACTAACAGCCTTCTCTGTGACTCCTACAGCCAGTCTTAGTTTAACAAGACGTAGCAGGATTTCTCCTACTGGCTTGGTACAAGCTTGTTTCACCAAAACACAGGAGCAGCCAGGTACTATGACAGGCAAAAGTCAGATCAATATATAAATGCAAAGTTTTAACCTGACATTAACCTCTACTGTGCCCAAACTATGACGTAGATCTGTGAACCACGCTAATATTACTGTTTACCCTTGTTATGCATAGTCAGTCTCACAATATATTATAAAATTTGCAATGTTATTAGATGCCATATCTTTTTCTACCTGTTGATCAGTTGGCTGGCAATAGCTATCTTGGCAATGCTTGTCTCTATGTATTGTTTTTTTTTCTCTGCACGGAAAATAAAGAATTAAAAAAAAAAAATAATAATAATTTAGGAGCTCCTCTAAAAATTATGTTTGGTTTGTCAGGTAAAATACTATTTAGCGTCTCGTCTTGTTTTAACCCCTTAAGGATGGAGCCTAATGTACACGAAACAAAATGTAAACAAAACCTGGCATTTGCGCTACATGTCTGTCCAACTGTAAATCACCTCTTTCAGATTAAATGCACCCACCCTTATTATATATCATTTTATTCAGGGGAAACAGGGCTTTCATTTAATATCAAATATTTAGCTATGAAACATAATTTAATATGAAAAAAATGGGAGAAAATAAGATTTTTTTTTATTTTTTTTGTTCTACATGACATTTTAACTGTCAATGTCATAATACTGTTTGCTTTTACTGCAATAAAATACACATATTTGTATTCAGCAAAGTCTCACGTGTAAAACAGTACCCCCTATGTACAGGTTTTATGGCGTTTTGGGAAGTTACAGGGTCAAATATAGCACGTTACATTTGAAATTGAAATTCGCCAGATTGGTTACGTTGCCTTTGAGACTGTATAGTAGCCCGGGAATGAAATTTACACCCATAATGGCATACCATTTGCAATAGTAGACAACCCAAGGTATTGCAAATGGGGTATGTCCAGTCTTTTTAGTAGCCATTTGGTCACAAACACTGGCCAAAGTTAGCGTTAGTATTTGTTTGTGTGAAAAATGCAAAAAACGCCAATTTTGGCCAGTGTTTGTGACTAAGTGGCTACTAAAAAAGACTGGACATATCCCGTTTGCAATACCTTGGATTGCCTACTATTGCAAATGGTATGCCATCATAGAGGTAATTTTCATAGGGTCTCAAAGGCAACGTAACCAATCTGGCGAATTTTAATGTGAAAAAAATGAAACGCAAGCCTTGTATTTGACGCTGTAACTTTTGAAAACACCATAAAACCTGTACATGAGGGGTACTGGTGTACTCGGGAGACTTTGCTGAACACAAATATTTGTGTTTCAAAATAGTAAAATGTATCACAGCAATATCATCCGTGTAAGTGCTGTTTGTGCATGAAAAAGGCAAAAAACTTCACTTTTACTGGCGATATCATCGTTGCAATACACTTTACTGTTTTGAAACACTAATATTTGTTTTCAGCGAAGTCTCCCGAGTAGAACAGTACCCCCCATGTACAGGTTTTATGGTGTCTTGGAAAGTTATAGGGTTAAATATAGTGCTAGCAAATTAAATTCCCTTTACTTTCGGCATGGGTTGTCAGGCAGGTCCCGCTAATTGTAATTAAGATACCTAATTATGTAAAAATATTACATAAATATATATGTAGAATTAACGTGTGTGTGTGTGTGTGTGTGTATATGTATGTATGTGTGTGTGTGTGTGTGTGTGTATATATATATATATATATGTGTGTGTGTGTGTGTGTGTGTGTGTATATATATATATAATGTGTATGTATATTTATTTTTTATTTAGTGATATACCGGGTAAGTAATGAAAGACCGGAGGGTGTACAATTATGCCCGGCGGCGTTTAGAGCCGCCTAAAATAGGGCGTAATTGAACGCCCTCCGGTCTTCAGGGGTTAATAGGTGCCAGTGTTTGTTTACAATTTTTTTGATGTGGCCACTTTTATTGTTGAAAATAAAAATTATTATTTCTGGAGGGTCTATGTTAGATTTGTTCTTTCTTGCTCTTTGACTTTAGTTATAGTATTGCTCAGACTTTCTGGTGGGTAACAGTTTCTGCGTAAGCGTAAGAATTGGCTTTTAGGGGCGCTTTCCAACCAAGGTTTATAATGACAGCTGGATAAGTCTATGGCTGTGTTAGTACAAACCTTTTTGAAGAAAGTTTTGGTGTTGAGTTTGTTTTTGCTAAAAATTTGTAAATCTAAAAAATTTATGGATTCCCTACTGTATTCATACGTAAGATGATTGATAAGAGTTAAGTGAGTTTTCACTGACTATTTCTTGTGATACGTTTTATGGTTTTGAAACACTAATATTTGTGTTCAGCTAAGTCCCCCGAGTATAACCGTACCCTTCATGTACAGGTTTTATGCTGTTTTCAAAAGTTAGTCAAATGTAAGGTTTGTGTTTCAGTTTTTCACATTGAAATTCGCCTTTGAGACCGTATAGTAGCCCAGGAATGAGAATTACCCCCATGATTGCATACCATTTGCAAAAGTAGACAACCCACGGAATTGAAAATGGGGTATGTCTAGTCCTTTTTTAGTAGCCACTTAGTCACAAACACTAACCAAAATTGGCGTTCAAATTATTTGCGCTTTTCACACACAAACCGATATTAACGCTAACTTTGACCAGTGTTTGTGACCAAGTGGCTACTAAAAGTTATGTATGTATTCATTGGTGGTATAGTCTAAAACCATCTTCAAAAGCTGCAGCTCTTATGACTGCAGCCTTTTGTAAGCCCTACCCTCTTTCACAGGAAGGGACTTTCAGTCCCTTCACGGTGAATTGACCAATCAGAGGTTTCTCATAGGCACACTGCTTTCGACAACTGAAACAAAGAGCCGTTGAACTTTGCCGGCTGACAGGAGTTTTATTTATTTATAAAACTACATCTACATCTCACATCTACAGGGAAATAAAGTAAATACTTATTTATTGTATACTATTAGATTTTATTTACCATGTATGTATGTCAGTTTAATAGGAATAGTGCAGATACAATATAAAGGGAGGGAGGGGGTCTATATTTATGAATATTGAGGATAGAATGCACAAATGGGTTGCCCCTTTGGTGGGTCCTCACTCAATTCTCAAGATGGTTTAGCTCATCTTGCTTTGTTACAAGGAGAACATAAATGATTTACACATCAAATTAATTCCACCCTGAATAGAAGTCAGGATCCAAAATGCTGGCCAGTGCTATATGCATGAGAGATGCATTAACCCCAGATGATCGCTTTGTACTTCATTGGGGCTTATCAGTGAAGTTAAATACATACAATCTAAAAGTCCCACTGTGCTACTCATGGGAGCCATATGATATTATTTGGCTCCAGGCTTGTGAGTACGTGATCTCTACGTAATCCATATTAATATATTTACAGACAATATTGCACTATATGGTTTTATGTTTTTTTTTAGACGCATCAAGACGTGTGATCCACCATTGTATGTAGTTAACTTTTGTATTTCTTAGAGTGGTCTATGGGGTCCCCACTCAGGTGGTCTATAGCATTCTTTGCTATCACACTCATCCACTTTTGCTCACTGTATACATCTTGTTCTTATCAGTGAAGTGTAGCTTGTATCTCTCCATGCCTAGTGTGACAGAGCTCCTGTACTCAGACCAAGTACGTCCGCCTAGTCTGCGTCCTAGCCGCTTTCAGGAACCCTGGAACACTTCAGCCCCAGTCATGGAAACTTGGCTGGGATTTCTCCAGAGCTCTACTCCTCGACCAGTTTGCAGCTCTCTCCTTCCAGGCAGGTATTGTCTCCTCTGCAGCTCTCTTTCCAGGCAGATGGCTAAACCTCTACCTGCAGTGTGATTAGCTCCTTCATTTATAAAGGCACTTTCGACCATCAGGCCTAATTTTTTTTGACTTTGTTCCATGCAACCATCTAACAGGTCCGAATACTCTGTTACTGGGGTCCCTGGACAAATTTTTTTTATTTTTTTTTTTCAACAAAAAACACAAATGTAGAACAACAAATCCATGGTCATATTACAGATACGAGAAAAAGAAAACTGCCTAAATGTAAACTGATTTTATCTGGAAGCAGAAGCAAATATAAAGTGCAGGATGGGATAGAGAAAGGGAGAAGGTTTAGCTATGCCCTATCCTGAAGAGCCATGAATTATAACTATCCTGTTGACCTCTAACCAGGCCGCTTTCCATTTTTAATTGGAATTTCAGTTGTTCCTTAACTACTGGTGATGTTGGAACCATAGTCCGCTTCGAATACCTTGCAATAATCATTTTTGCAGCCATCAAAATGTGGATTATAAAGGGGGTTACTTTGTTGCCTACTTGCCTAATATTTAATTGTAGTAGACTTATTTGTGGTGACAAAATTAATTCTACTGAGGTCAAAGTTTTTATCTTAAATATAATTTTCCAAAATAGTTGGGTAGGCCCACAGTCCCACCATATATGTAGATAATACCCACATTCTAAGTTACATCTCCAACATTTAGAATCATACGTTTTTAGAGAATTTACTTATTCTGCTGGGTACCAAATACCATCTATTTATGATTTTAAACTGGCACTCTACCAAGTTAAGATAGTGTATATATCTATGTACTAAGATTAGGGCATCTCTCCATTGCTTGTGACTAGTGATGTCCCGAACGGTCTGCCGCGGACTCATCATTGAGTAAACTTTGACCCTGTACCTCACAGTCAGCAGACACATTCCAGCTAATCAGCAGCAGACCCTCCCACCTCCTGGACAGCATCCATTTTACATTCATTGTGAAGCTGCATTCTTAGTGAGCTGTCCAGGAGGTGGGAGGGTCTGCTGCTAATTGGCTGGAATGTGTCTGCTGACTGTGAGGTACAGGGTCAAAGTTTACTCAATGATGAGTCCGTGGTGAACCGTTCGGCGAACCCTTCGGGACATCACTGCTTGTGACTAATTTGAATTCCAAGATCCCTCTGCCATTTATTGATGATAACTTACAGGGGTTTGTCTAGGTCTCTTGATAAAAGTCGTGTACCTGTAGCTATTAGGTTGTTTGGCGACTCTTTGCCAAGTATTTTCTTTAACCATGTTATTTGATTAGATTTTTCTCTAACAACATACTCCTGGCAAAAACCTTTTAGCCTTAAATAATTCATTAAAAACCTCTTTACTCCCTATTCTATATTTAAGGCTTAGAGATTGAAAATCCATCCAGGAGTTATTGTCTAGTAAATCGTCTATTTTAGATACACCATTTTCTGTCCATTTATCCAATTTCAAGTTAGGCATGTAGTACAACAAATTTGATATTGGTAAACTAGGTATTAGCTTATTATGTAATTTGGTTAATTTCTTAATCTTCTCCCATTCCCTTAAGGCACTATTCAAAACAACACTATGAGAAGTAAATATAGGTGAACTATCCTATTTTGGCTTAACCACCCAGAATAGTGGACTCATATCTGAGAAAGAGTCTTCAATTTGGGTTAGGTCGTTCTATTTTTATACCAAATTTAATTTCTAACTTCACTTAGTTGAGTGATAACCGCATATGAAAAGCTAGAGGCTATTTGATCTCTTAAAATGGTAACCCTCAATCCTCCTAGTTTCACTTTTAAGGATAAACATTTCTAGTTTATTCTTGGGGTTTTACTTAACCATATATATTTGTTTATCAGTGATTGTGCTAATGTCACCCAACTATCTGGACAAGGTAGTGGGACTATTCTGTATAGATAAAACCATTTTGGTATTATATAAGACCTGATTACATTGATACGCCCCCACCAAGAGATTTCCAAATTTCTCCATTCTTTTAATTTTCTTGCTGTATAGTTAAGAAGTGGTAAATTAAGTTCCATTATTTTGTTCACTTCATTTGCAATTTCAATCCCTGGATAATTATTTGATAGATCTGCCCATCTAAATTCAAAAGATTTTTCAGGAGTTCAATATTAGCCCGGGTAATATTAATAGGTAAAGCAATTGATTTATTAATGTTTAATTTGTACCCCGCATGTAATGAATATTCTTCCTTACACTTTAAAAGGGCATTAGAAGAATTCTGCAGATCAGCTAAAGTCAGTATGACATCATCTGCATACATTGTCAGTTTAATGTGGTCATCTTTCACATTCAGGCCCTTTTTGCCTCATTTCTCCTTATTTCCACTGCTAGGGGTTCAATTACCATTAAGTAGAAGAGCGGGGACAGGGGATACCCCTGTCTTGTCCCATTCTTCAATAAAAAATAGTCTGAGTTAAAACCAGAACCCATAACCCTTGCTGTGGGAGTCGTATATAACGCTATTATTGCTCTACCTATATTGTCCGTTAATCCAAAAGCTTTTAGAACGGCATCCAGAAAATCCCACCTGACCCTGTCAAACGCTTTTTAGGTGTCAAGTGACAGGATCCAGAGGGAAGACTTCTTTGTTTGATACCAGTCCACCCCATCTAGCATCTTTGACTGAAGACCGTTTTAGAAATGAAACCAGCTTGGTCTCTATGGATTATGTCTATTATAATCTTGCTTAGTCTATCTGCAATGATGGAAGAATAAAGTTTTATATCTCCATTTAATAGCGATCTAGGTCTATAGTTAGCTATCGATTCTGGAGATTTTTGCTGTTTGAGGATTGAAACTATATGCGCCTTTAACATCTCATCAGGTATCTTACCTTTTCATCAAGAAGTCATTAAAGATATCAGTCAAATTGGGTACTAAGTTTTCTTTTAGTAATTTATAGAAGATCTTGCTGAAGCCATCAGGGCCTGGTGACTTATGTGATTTTAGTTTATTGATGGCTCCAGCAACCTCCTCCATTGCTATAGGCTCATTCAATTTCCAAAGTTGGGAGTTTGATATTTTTGGTAATTTTTAGTTCTTCTAAATATTTAATTAAATCTACTGGTGCTTGTCTGTCTGGTAAATTATATAAATTATAATATAACTCTTGAAAAGCTTGACCTATCTTGGTTGGATCCAAGAGGGTCACATAATCTTGGATGATCTTAGTTACCCTCATCTTAACTGTTTCTTTTTTTTAAATCTGTTTGATAGTAGTCTATCTGCCCTATTGCCTTTATAGTACCACGTTCTTCTTAGTTTGTCTAGGGAGAAATTCGCCTTCTGTATCAGAAGGTCATTTATTTTATCTTTAATGATTTTCAATTTATAGCAAAGCTCTATACTGGGTTTATTTTTATTAGCGAGTTCGTCTAATTCTCTATATAATTGCGCAACATTTTTTGAGCTCTTCTGTTTCTCCTGGTACCCCAACTTAATTAACTGTCCTCGTATTGTACACTTATAGGCGCACCATATAAGTGATAGGGGCACATCATCCTTGCAATTTTCCTCAAAAAAAAGTCTGTCATTGTCTTCATTTGATTTAAATATAGTGTTATTTTAAAAACGCTCATTCAACCTCCAATTAGACCTATTTCTGTTCATATCTTCCTTAGTAACCATTATTACTGCGTTGTGGTCTGTCCATGCCATATTTAAAAAATTAAAAAAAAAAAAAAAATCTCTGGGTCTGAGATTATTAAATAAATTCTAGAGTATATCTGGTGTGCGTATGAGAAACATGTAAAATCATATTCCATAGGATGAAGGATACGCCAAAGGTCTAAAAGACCTCTCTTTTTTTTTTTTTTAAGATTTCACTAAATGACCTAGCTGAGTTTTTTTTAAAATGTCTATTATTAATGTTTGGAATACAATTAGTCTCCTAAGTATATTATCTTCCCTTGTCTTATTCTGTCGATATTTTTCGAATGAATTTTATAGGGACTTGATATGGAGCATAAATATTGACACTCGTAAAGATTTGATTGTTAATTTCACAAATTAGTATATGGAACCTGCCTTCTATATCGTCTACCTGATGGATAAATTTAAAAGCAACTCTTGTAGAAACGAGTGTGGCTGCTGCTACTCCTTTTTTTTTTTTTTTTTATCTTCCTCTCTTGAGGTCACAGTTTTTCATCAAGATAAAGTTGTCCTGCACCCCAAGCTGCCTTTTTTGCCCAAGGTTATTTCAAGTGCTTCTATGAACCAACCTATTATTTGCCTGCTTTTTGCCAGTCTCCTGCATCATAGAAACATAGAATGTGACGGCAGATAAGAACCATTCGGCCCATCTAGTCTGCCCAATTTTCGAAATACTTTCTTATAGTTAGGATAGCCTTATGCCTATCCCACGCATGCTTAAACTCTTTTACTGTGTTAACCTCTACCCCTTCAGCTGGAAGGCTATTCCATGCATCCACTACCCTCTCAGTAAAGTAACACTTCCTGATCTTATTTTTAAACTTGTGTCCCTCTAATTCAAGACTATGTCCTCTTTTTGTGGTAGTTTTTCTTCTTTTAAATATAGTCTCCTCCTTTACTGTGGTTCCCTTTATATATTTAAATGTTTCTATCATATCCCCCCCTGTCTCGTCTTTCCTCCAAGCTATACATGTTAAGATCCTTTAACCTTTCCTGGTAAGTTTTTATCCCGCAATCCATGAACCAGTTTAGTAGCCCTTCTTTGAACCCTCTCTAAGGTATCAATATCCTTCTGAAGATACGGTCTCCAGTACTGTGTACAATACTCCAAGTGAGGTCTCACCAGTGTTCTGTACAATGGCATGAGCACTTCCCTCTTTCTACTGCTAATACCTTTCCCTATACAACCATGCATTCTGCTAGCATTTCCTGCTGCTCTATTACATTGTCTGCCTACCTTTAAGTCATCAGAAATAATCACCCCTAAATCCCTTTCCTCATATGTTGAGGTTAGAACTCTATCAAATATTCTGTACTCTGCCCTTGGGTTTTTACGTCCAAGATGCATTATCTTGCACTTATCCACATTAAATGTCAGTTTCCACAATTCTGACCATTTTTCTAGTTTACCTAAATCATTTGTCATTTGGCTTATCCCTCCTGGAACATCAACCCTGTTACATATCTTAGTATCATCAGCAAAAAGACATACCTTACCATCAAGACCTTCTGCAATATCACTAATAAAAATATTAAAGAGAATGGGTCCAAGTACAGATCCCCGAGGTACCCCACTGGTGACAAGTCCAAGCTTCGAATATATTCCATTAACCACAACCCTCTGTTGCCTGTCACTCAGCCACTGCCTTACCCATTCAACAAAATTGGAATCCAAACTTAAAGATTGCAGTTTGATAAGCATTCTATGTGCAACAGTGTCAAAAGCATTACTGAAATCTAGGTAAGCAATGTCTACTGCATCACCCTGATCTATTATTTTAGTTAAAAATCAATAAGATTAGTTTGGCATGATCTCCCTGAAGTAAACCCATGTTGTCTCTGATCTTGAAATCCATGTGTTTTTAGATGTTTAACAATCCTATCCTTTAACATGGTTTCCATCACTTTACCCACTACTGAAGTAAGGCTTACTGGCCTATAGTTGCCCGACTCCTCCCTATTACCTTTCTTGTAAACGGGCACAACATTCGCTAACTTCCAATCTTCTGGAACTACTCCTGTTAACAATGATTGGTTAAATAAATCTGTTAATGTTTTAACTAGTACACCACTAAGCTCTTTTAATAGCTTTGGGTGTATTCCATCAGGTCCCATTGACTTATTTGTCTTTACTTTTGACAGTTGAAATAGAACCTCTTCCTCTGTAAACTCACATGTAATAAATGACTACTTTTTCCTAACTGAGGTCCCTTTCCTTCATTTTTATCTGTAAATACTGAACAAAAATATTCATTGAGGCAGTCAGCTAGACATTTATCCTCTTCTACATACCTTCCTTCTTTTGTTTTTAATCTAACTAATCTTTGTTTTACTTTTCTTTTCTCATTTATGTATCTAAAAATCTTTTGTCCCCCTTTTTTACTGACTGTGCTATTTTCTCTTCTGTGTGTGATTTGGAAGCTCTTATAACTTGCTTAGCCTCTTTCTGCCTAATCCTATAGATCATTTTTGTCTTCCTCACTTATTTATAATTCCTAAATGCTAACTTTTTGTTTTTAACTATTTTGGCCACATCTGCGGAGTACCACAGTGGTTTCTTGAATTTTTAGCTTTTACTGACAAGCCTAATGCAATTTTCTGTTGCCTTCAATAGTGCAACTTTTAAATAATCCTATTTCTCTTGGACTCCATTTAAATTGCTCCAGTCTGATAATGACTCCTCTACCCATATTCTAATTTTAGAAAAGTCTGTTTTTCTAAAGTCTAAAACTTTTGTTTTTGTGTAGTGTGACTCAGTCACTGTTCTTATATTAAACCACACTGACTGATGATCACTGGATCCTAAACTTTCACCTACAGTAATATCTGATACCAAATCTCCATTTGTTAACACTAAATCTAGTATGGCCTCTTTACGAGTTGGCTCTTCAACAACTTGTTTTAGAGACAATCCCTGGAAGTACCAAGGATTTCAGGAGAACTCGATCAGTGCATGAACCATGCCCAATAACCACATTCGGACCAAAGGCCTGTATGCAGCAAAATCCGAAAACAATCATGCATATTCAGGACCCAGCGAGCCAGGTGCTAACTTGGAACAAACCACCAAAACGTGTTTTGGTGATCAAAAAGGTCAGAGATGCCAGTCTACTGCAGCCTTTTAAAGAACTCTGAGTTTTTCTCATTGAGGAAAAGGACATGATTGTTTATGTGGAAAAGAAAGTGCTGGAAGACCCCTCTATCATCAACGATGAGAACTTCGGACCAGTGAAGAAGAAATTTTGCACTTTTCGAGAAGATTATGACATCTCCAATCAGATTGACTTCATTATATGCCTCGGAGGGGACGGGACCTTACTGTATGCGTCATCTCTCTTTCAGGATAGTGTCCCACCAGTGGTGGCTTTTCATTTGGGCTCACTGGGTTTCCTCACACCGTTTAGCTTTGACAACTTCCAGACTCCAGTCACTCAGGTTATAGAAGGTAATGCAGCCCTTGTGTTACGCAGCAGGCTAAAAGTCAAAGTGGTGAAGGAGCACAAAGAAAAGAAATTTGTGATGCAGAACGGGGTGGAGGAAAACGGTCTTATTAAGCCAGAAAAGGAGTTGGGAAAGCAAACCAAGTATCAGGTCTTGAATGAAGTGGTGGTTGTGGCAGAACCCGCCTCGCCACCTGGCATTGGAGAGGCCTGGCTGCCCGCCTCCTTCCTGCTGACTATGGCCCCTGGTAAAGTTGTACTTTTGAATGCAATATTTGGGCATATTGTATTTTATTGTGCGGCTACTGGCTCTGTAAGCACAGTGAATGGACTTACTGAAACTTTTTGGACACTTCCTCTTCCCCTCCCCCGGATCCATTGTTCTCTAGCAGGGTGTTGTCCCAGGGACACTGCCAAACCAGTGGGAACTGGTTTGCCACGAAAAATCATGCTTGCAAGTAAAAACAAAGGACTTCGACCTAACCGTTAAACCCCTGAACCTATTCAAGTGAATTTTGGATATGTTTGTCCCCAAATTATACTGGTTAAGATAATATAAGTTTTATGTATGTGCGATGTTAACTCACAAAGTTATAAAAATGTACAAAAAGTAACTTTTCAGCTTGGAGATAATTGAGTAGATACAGTAATTGACTCAATTATCTCCTAAGCAGAGGGGAGGAATATGCTGGGTGTATTTCTATTTTCCCATTGTGTCTGATTGTCTGCTGTACTTGCATTGTATGTGTTGTAATGTGTTTATTGGTGGTTCTGCAAAACCCTGTGGGCAGTACTATGTTTTGTGGATTGTAATAAAAACCAGGCTGGGTGTGCCAGCACTTGAGTTCCTGTTTTAACCCTCAAAGTGAAGTGTCGTCTCATTATTGGGGGAGGATTTATTGTATGCTGTTCCAGTTTGACTGCTAGGATAGTAAACCTATTCATATGGTTCCTATTCAACTGTCTACAGCATTCATATGCTTGAGAGCATTCATATGCTCCTACAATTCGGTGGTTGTGGTGTCGGCTGCAGTGCTTGGAGTCCTCAGGAAGCGCTAGGAGCATCCTTCAACGGAGGTACCCAGTCGGGGTGCCAGGCGATCCGTTACAGTGGTGGACAGAGGGCCATCTTCATATCTCTCCAACGTTGATGTCTTCCTAGAGGGACACCTCATAACTACAGTGCAAGGAGATGGGGTTATCGTATCTACACCCACAGGCAGCACTGCGTATGCTGCTGCAGCAGGAGCATCCATGATCCACCCCAACGTCCCTGCCATCATGATAACCCCCATTTGTCCTCATTCCCTCTCTTTCCGACCAATCGTGGTCCCTGCCGGAGTAGAGTTAAAGATCATGTTATCTCCTGATGCTCGCAACACTGCATGGGTATCATTTGACGGGAGAAAGAGGCAAGAAATCTGCCACGGAGACAGTATTAGCATCACTACCTCTTGTTACCCAGTCCCTTCCATCTGCTTCCGGGACCCAGTCAGTGATTGGTTTGACAGCTTGGCATAGTGTTTACATTGGAACGTTCGAAAGAAACAAAACAATTTCACATCGTATGAGGAAGAATTCTGAAGCTGACCATGCTTACAGTGGACGAGCCACACCTGTTTTCTCTTACTCCAGTCTTTCCGGTTCATGTGCACCCAATTTATGAACAAAAGACCAAACCCAGACAGAAGTGCGTTTTGAAAAACCAGCAACTGCAAAGTACTGGTCTACTGATAACCAGCTTCCTTTATTTATCAACTAGCGATATCTTTTAAGATTAAAAAAACTTTATATTTGTGTTTTCATAGAAAATAAAATTGAAAATATTAACGTTATTGCTGCCAGAGGTGTTTGCAGTAGGTTGCAGAGCGTTGCGGACTCTCTGAGCACAAAGTGGTTAGGTAAATTTGTTTACATTTTATAATTAAGTGTCTCACAACAGATAAATCATATAATGTATTTTTTGTTGTACTCTTTCTTCAAAAGCCTATTTTGTGACTTTACATATCAAAAGAATAGGATATTATAGGCTACCATTTTTACCCTTGTGTCTTTTGTTCAACCCAGCTTCATATCAAGAGCAAGGAGAGCCAACGCTAATTTAGGAGACCAATAGGAATATAAATCATACAATTTGAGTCCGTACTCTATTTTTCCATTGGCGTATTCATTAGTAAAGCAGGCCACCTGGACTTTGTGGGTTTTAAATGAACTTTGTCTCCAATATAGTGAAGCTGATTGATGTTTTACTGAGGTTTTTGAGCATTCCATTAGTGGAATTTTTAGAGACATTAGATCAATATCTGACCTTCATATGCACTCGTATACAAATGTTTTTGAGATACATTGTCCCATGTGCACTGTAGAAAAAGTAATTTTCAAGTATCTGTAGTGCTAACGCTAGCAATCACCACATTAGATTATTTACATAGGAATTTATTTCACTTGTTTCATACCTCTTTTAAAACAGTGCTAGGAGGTTGAGTTTGGATTACAGTTTATGGAAAATACCAGTGAGTTTATGTGTTTTCTTCAAATAGTAGTTCTGTTATTTAAAATAGATGGCCATGTATCTTGGATCTGGACCCATTATTGAACATCCACTAAAGTACATTGTTCTTTTGTATCATAAAACCAAATACCCTGCATCTGTGCAATGTTTCAAAATAACAAAGTATTTTGCAGAGTTTAGAATGTGTGCTCCTGGCACAAGTAGCTAATTTTGTTTTCCAATTTACATCAGGAAGATTAAAGTCACCCATGATGATAACTTCCCCCTTCATTGTCATTTTAGCTATTTCCTCAACTAGTAGATTATCTAACTCTTCAATTTGTCCTGGGGGCCTATAAATCACACCTACACGAGTTACTGTGTGATTACCAAATTCTAACGTAACCCAAACGGACTCTATGTTTGCCTCACTAACTTTTATTAGGCTAGATTTTATGCTATCCTTCACATACAAGGCCACCCCTCCCCCTTTCTTGCCTTCCCTATCTTTTCTATATAAAGAGTACCCTGGTATTGCTATGTCCCAGTCATTTTTCTCATTATACCATGTCTCCGTAACAATGACTAAATCTACACTATTAGTTGCCATTATTGCCACAAGTTCATGGATCTTTTTCCCTAAACTGCGAGCATTTGTAAACATGACTCTAAGCTTATCATTTTTTAACACACTTGCTACAGGCACCTTCTGTCCTTGTTTTGGGGGACAATTGGATTGATGTTTTATCACCCTTTTGCCCTCCCTCTCCCCCCTCCTAGTTTAAATTCATCCTAGCAAAACCTCTGAACTGCTCACTGAGAATATTTGTTCCCTTTTGAGAAAGATGCAAACCATCTTTTTTGTACAACTTATTTCCATTCCAAACAGAGCCACCATGAGAAATAAAGCCAAATCCTTGCTCTCGACACCATTCACCAAGCCACAAATTAAAGTCCCTAATACGCATCCACCTGTCGTTGCACAGGCAGAACTTCAGAGAATGACAGTGTGGAAGCAACCTGCCGTATATCATTGGCAAAAACACTAAAAACTTCCTTAACCTCTGAAACCTCATTGCAAGCCAAGTCATTTGTCCCTAGATGGACAAGTACATCCAATTCCCCTTCCTGCTTTGCTTGCTTAACAATATTACAGATACGTCTCCTGTCTCTGTGAGCAGTAGCTCCGGGAAGACCTCACAAGACCACCATTGTCCATCTCCACACCTCTTATGATGGAATCCCCCAACAACAACAAGCCAGTCTCCAACACCACTAGCCTCAGTGCCTCTCTCCACGACACCACTAGCCTCAGTGCCTCTCTCCACGACACCACTAGCCTCAGTGCCTCTCTCCACGACACCACTAGCCTCAGTGCCTCTCTCCACAACACCATTGCACTCTGAAAGTGCAGAAAATGAATTATGTAGAGCAACAGACTGTGCAAAATGTCTTTTATCCACAACTCTAAGTCTACCAGATCCTACAGTAATCCATCTGCCATTCCTAGTAAGTCTCTGCGGCAGTGGCTTTGCAGCAGTCTCAGTCTGAGTTTGTTCACCAGATAATTTACAAATCTTAGACTTCAAAAATACAATCTCCTGCCGCAAGATAGAGAACTGTCTACAGATTAGACAACAACTAAATCTCCAAAAAGTAGAACATGAAACAAATGCATAGCAACTATTACACTGAACTAAGCCTGCCATTCCAATGAGGAAAATAATTTAACTCAAACTAATATTAACTTTTTTCTTTATCCTCCTGAATACCTCAGATTACCTCCAGTTTCTCTCCAGAATATCTCCAACTACACACTTAGAAGCAACTCTCTCCAGAATATCTCCAACTACACACTTAGATGAAGCAACCAAGCTATATTAGCCAAGATAATAACAACAACCCTTATATAACTCCTAAAATCACCACCCACTAGGAATGTTTAACACCTGGGTAGGCCTCTGCTTATTTGCAAACAATAGCTAATTAACCAGCAATCAATAGCAAGTAACTATCTTAATCAAATCAAATGCCTTATAATTACCAACAGGAATTCAAACCTTGTGCAATCAGTAACCTTTTCCTACAGATGAATCTTACCTGTAACAGGAGAAAAGAAAGCTCTTAGCATAACTCTTAGACAGTTGAAGCTTCTGTAAAACTCTCCAGAATATCTCCAACTACACACTTAGAAGCAACACTTAGGTGAAGCAACCAAGCATCTGATGTTGAAAGAAAGTGGCATCTCCTTGATAAGAGCCCTGAAGGTCTACCTTCAGAAGACTCAGGGGTTTAGGACCTCAGATCATCTTTGTCTCCTTTCAATGAACTAACAAGGGTTGTGCTGTCTCCAGACCCTCTTTAGCCAGATGGCTGACCAATACCATCAGATTGGCTTATCAATCCAAAGGGATTCCACTTAGATTTCCATTAAAGGCTCATTCCACTAGGGCTATGGCAACCTCCTGGGCTGAAAGAGCAGCTCCCGCCGCCTGAAGACATCTGCAAAGCAGCTACTTGGTTGTCGTTGCATACCTTTTATTAAACATTATAGGCTGGACAAATTCTCATCATTTGAAGCTGCTTTTGGGCGTAAGGTGCTACAGACAGTGGCCTTCTGAGTCCCCACCCTTTTGTTTTGTTTGCAGGGGTCTTGCTATATCCTACTTGTAAGTACTGCCACTATACAAGAGGAAAAACAGCAGTTTTACTTACTGTAAATTCCTTTTTTCTTAGTATAGTGGCAGTACTGGCTTTCCCTCCACTTTTATATGGATTAAATAACTTTTGCATTATTCAGTCTCCGTTTGGTTCTTTTGTATTACTGGAGTTGTACTCTGGCTCACAGGTTATATGGAGGCAGCAGGCGGAGCACAACAATTATCTTCAAAGAAGGAGGAGCTTCTTGTCCAAAACCGGAAGGAACATCCCACTTGTAAGTACTGCCACTATACTAAGAAAAAAGTTATTTACAGTAAGTAAAATTACTTTTTTTCTTTGTGGGGCGGGGCCTGGCTGCCAAACTGAAAGGCTGCATGCAGTGTGGGCTCTGTACAAAAGTTGACAATTATCACCTAAAAACAGTATTTTGAAAGCAAACAAACGGCTAAATTTGTGCTACCTACCTGCAAGCTACTCTGCTACAGCACAAGGGTTTCCAGGCGTCCGACAAGCAGATTGAGCCCACACCGCCACTGAGGCCTACCTCGAGGTGAGAGCCTGGGAGAAGCGGACGATCTCCGTACTGCCTCCCTGACCGGAATAAGCTGACGTTATACGGGTCCCTGCTCCCCCCCCCCCCTGCAGGTGGGGGTTATCCCGACACCATCACCACAGCCAAGCTTCATCCCTGACAAGCACATTGTCTTAAAGCAAAGACATAGAGGAGCGCAATCTGCCTCAAAATGGTGGCTACTGCACCAGCTACAGACACACCGAGCCGACTGCAGACACTCGAGCAGAGCCTGGACGACTTCCTCGCAAACTTCTGGCAGAGAATGCAGAACAAAGGGGCACAGACCCAGAGGGAGCCGCTACACCATACACGACCGCATTACTCACCGCCAGAAAAACCGCGGGAAGAAAAGACCGCACATGACGCCCGGGAAACTGAGACCAGCGAAGCGGAGAAGGTGGCCCATAAAATCCGAGGCTCGCATCTGCGTTCCTGGGCTGAGTGCCCAAAAGGGAAACACCCTGCTGCGTACCCCACATGCCCGGACGGGACTTTTCCATCACACAACCGCCCGGACCTCGCTTGCGGTGGAAAGTGCACAAGGGCCCTTGAAGGCCTGGGGCCAGCGGAGTGGCCAAAATTTGATGCGGCCCCTAGACCAACCTGCTGGCAACTTTTAAGCCTGCTACATATGTCTTGCCAAACCCTGCCCTTTAGCCTTTATGTATGTTTAGCGTGAAAAAAATTAATCTAAGAGTATGCTAGCTCTAAGACACGCTTTTCATGGTAGTACTCCTTTATTATGAACCGATATGTCTTATTTTCACATCGTTTTTACCTAACTAGTACAGGCTATAACTTAAGACATAAGTACCTAACCTGCATTTACTAACAAACAAATGGTGCCATTCTTGCATGCCTTAATACTGTATTCACTGTATTACTATTTTAGCTTGTACATGCTGTTGTGGCGATACAAGCTTATGTTACGCACTGCAAAAATAAATATTGACAAAAAAAATTACTGTTTTCTTTGATATGCAAGTTAGTTTGAGAATGGCCGTAACAACATCTTGTTCCTGCATGTCAAACTTTCATATCTTAAATTACTTACTTATGTTGTTGTTCTTGGTATTTATATTATATTAGTGCCAACTAATTCTGCAGCACTTTACAATAAATTAGACAATTACAGTGACACAGGAACAATAGGTACATGAGGACCCTGCTCAAACGAGCTTACAGTCTAGATGAGGTGGGGTACAAATACACAAAAGGGCAGCAAGGGTGACCGCCACCAAACAAGGTGGAAAGGTAGCAGTGCTGGAGTTGAGAGTGGAGTATGGCTTTTTTTTTTTTTTTTATAAATTCTTTATTTGTGAAGAATTTTGGGGTAAGGGTACAGAAGAGAAATAGGGAGTAGACAGTTACAATATGAGTCATGCTCAATTTGCTTTTCTAGTTCAACCAGTTTCATTTTGGTTAACACATTCTGTCTAGGTGTTTGCGATCTTTGCTTCTTTATCTAGTGCTTCCTTTTGTTCTGTGTGGTGGTTCGATTGTCTACTGATTGGGACGGGGTACAGAAAAAAGGAGGGGAAGGGGGTAGGATACCCTATTGTGTTGCCTTTTTGTCGTTAAGCTATTACAGTATCCTCTTACTAAGTTTTTTGTCCGGTTTGTCGTGAACCTTTCGGTTCTGTGAGTGTGTGTATTGGCTGTGTTTGGTTGTTGGGTCACAGCACTCCTCTGTGTTGTCTTTGGGCGGGAAGAGGTATGGGTCGGGTAGCATGTGTGAGGTGATTGTCTGTCTTTTCGACTCTAACAGGCTTGTGCATCGTTTTGGGTGATATGTGTGTGGGCGTCCGTGGTGTCATTTAGTCATGTGGGTGTTGGTTTGTGTAGGGGTTTCGGTCTTGAGTGGGTTGTGATTTTTCTGTGTGTCCTGTGGGGTAGGACTTTTCGCCCCGTGCTCCCTGTGTTGGTGGGTGGGTGTTTGTTCTGTTCTCTAAGTGATCTTTTCCACGTGTCCACCTTCCTTCTCTTTTGTTTTCTAGGTCCAGAGGTGGGCATGCCCCTTGCGGGTTCTTGTGTATTTTCAGGTCTCAGTTGTTAGTAGTTAGTAGTTAGTTTCCCTCTGTAGGGGGTATTTGTGTGTTGTGTGTTAGCTGGGTTAGGTTGTTCTTTTAGGAAAGTGTTATGGGGAGGCTCGCTCTTTTGCGGTGAGGGCGTGTGTTGTTTCACCTTGTGGGGTGTTTCCCCCGTTTGATATTTAGGGAAGGGTTGGGAATTCATAGATCCAGGGGTCCCAAATCTTGTTGAAGTGTTTGGTCGTGTCGTGAATTAGGGCGGACACTTCGTCCATTTTTATTGTGTCTTTGATTTTTCGTTTAACTGTGTCTATGGTTGGTATGTCCGGGCTTCCCCATTTTTCTGCGATTGTTCTTCTCGTGGCCAGGGCAATTTTGGCAACGAGTTTGTTTTGGGCCCTTGGGGTGCCTGCCATGGGTTTGGACAGGAGCCAAATCCATGGGTCTAGTGGGACATTTGTATGTAGGACCTGTGATACCATGGTCGCAGTTTGGTGCCATAGTTGCGCTGTGTTGGGGCATTCCCACCACATGTGGAGGTACGTTCCCTTCTGTCCACAGCCCTTCCAGCATGCGTCGTTGTCTGACCTGCCCATCTGTTTGAGTTTTAGGGGGTGAGATACCACCTCATGAGCGTCTTGTAAGCTTGTTCTTTATGGTTAACGCATATTGAGATGGTCGCTGTGGCTTCCCAAATATCGGCCCAGTCTGATGGTTCTGCCGCTGGACCTATATCCCTCTCCCAAGCCGACACGTATGTGAGTGCTCCGTCTTTAATGTGTTGTATTATGTGTGAGTATATCTCTGATATTTGGCCTTTGCGTGCTGGTGTTTGTAGGCATTGTTTTTCGAAGTGGGTCATCGTTCTGGTCCCCCCCTGTGCTATTGTCGGTGTTTCCAGGAAGCTTTTTATTTGTATGTGGCGGAACATGTCAAATGTGCGGAACGGGGTGGTTTGTGGAAGCTCTGTGAATAGGATTGGTGCGCCATCTTTGTAGAAGTGGTATAATCTGGTTAGGTCATTGTCTTCGAAGCGCGTGAAATCTTTGGGCGTCATGCCTGGTGGGAATTGTGTGTTCCGGAGTATGGGGGTTAGCGGTGATGGTTGGGTTGTAAGCCCGCTTTTGTGTGTTATTTTATCCCATACCTTGATGGTGTTTAGGATTGCGGGGGATGTTTGGGGTAGGGGGGGCCTCGCTGTGCCAGGTAGCCATATGTACATGGAGGGGAAATCCCTGCCAAATATATCATGCTCCAGGTCGACCCATCTTTTGGCCCCTGGTATGATGTGCCAATTCTGCGCTTGTGTTAGCTGTGCGGCCTGATAGTAGTGGGTGAGGTGTGGTAGGCCTAACCCCCCTTGTTTATTGGGTACGTATAGGGTTTGTCTTTTTATCCTGGCACGCCTGTTGGCCCATATAAATTTATCAATCTTGGTTTGCAGCTGTTTAAAGTCTGTGGCGCGTATCGGGATTGGGAGGGTCTGGAACAGGTATAAAAGTCGCGGCAAGGCATTCATCTTAACGGATGCCAGCCGGCCAAGCCATGATATCGGCATGTTTTGCCATCTTTCGATATCGTGGGTGATTTTTTGGATCGTGGGTGTGTAGTTCAGGTCGTAGCATTGGGAGAGGTCTGCTGGGATGGTTATGCCCAGATATTTTAGGTGGGTGAGTGTGAGGTCGAATGGGTATATGTCCTGTATAGCTATTTTGGTGGTTGTGTCTATGTGTATCGGGAGGGCCTCCGTTTTGTCGATGTTGAGCTTGTATCCCGAGACTTCGGCGTATGCTTTTAAGGCGTCTAGGAGTGGTGGTAGGGATGTTGCTGGTTCTGTAATTGTAAGGAGCAAGTCGTCTGCGTATGCCGCTGTTTTATATTCTTCTTCACGTATTTTCATTCCTTTTATGTCCCTGTTGAGTCTGAGAGATTGTAGGAGTGGTTCTAGGGACAGTGCGAAGAGTACTGGGGAAAGTGGTCATCCCTGGCGTGTACCGTTATGGATTGTGAAGGTCGGGGGGTGTGTGAGAGGGAGGAGGAGATGTGCTTGTGGTGTGGTGTAAAGTATCTGTAGGGCGTTTATAAAGCTTCGCGGGAATCCGAATTTCTCTAGGGTGGCGAATAGAAAGGGCCATAACAGTCTGTCAAATGCCTTTTCGGCGTCCAATGATAGGAAGAGAGTTGGGATGCGTCTCGTGTGGGCTGTCCAAATGAGGTTGTATGTACGTCTTGTGTTATCACTCGCCTGTCGTGACGGTATGAAGCCCACTTGGTCTGGATGTATGAGTTTGGGTAGGTTGGGGCTTAGTCGGTCCGCTAGGGTTTTAGTGAATAATTTAATATCTACATTGAGGAGTGAGATAGGACGATAGTGTCCGGGTTCAAGGTTTGTTTTGTTGGGCTTGGGGAGGAGGCATACATTCGCTTGTAGCATGTCGTTCGGTAGTTGGTCTCCCTGTAGTATGGCGTTGTATAGTGTGCAGAGGTGTGGGATCAAGATGGGGGCGAATGTCTTATAGTATAGCCCTGTGAACCCGTCTGGGCCCGGGCTTTTGTTGGGTTTGAGTGCTTTTATCTGTCCTTCGAGTTCTTCTGGTGTTATGGGGCTGGCAAGGACCTGTGCTGCTTCTGTGGATAGGGAAGGCAATGGGATTTGAGTTAGGTAATGGTCTATTAGTGTTTTGGTTGACATTGGGTGTTGTCGTGTTTCAGGGGTGTGGTCGTATAGGGTACTGAAGTAGTCTTGAAAGACTCTGGCTATTCTCTCTGGATCTTCTGTGGTTTCCCCTCTCGGGGTGGTTATTTTGTGTATCCGTTTATTTTCGCTTCTTTGTTTGAGTCTGCGGGCAAGTAGCGTGTCAGCTTTGTTAGCCTTGTCGTAGTATAGCTGTTTTGTCCAGAGTAATGCTTTGGTTGAATCTTTCGCCATGTGTTCTTTAATCTTGTTTTGGCATGTTAAGATTTGCTCATTGAGCTCTTGTGTTGGTGCTATTTTATGTTTTGCCTCCAGGGTTCTTAGGGTCTGCAGTGTTTGTTCGAGGAGGGCCACCTGCTTCTTTTTGTGTATCGTTGCTTGATTAAGGCTCCCCTGATTACCGCTTTGTGTGCTGCCCATAGATTCCCTTCGGAGGTTGCTGTGCCTTTGTTGATTTGGAAGTAGTCTGTTATGGATTTGTCAATCGTTTGTTTGATTAGTGGGTTGTGTAGGAGGTGTGGGTTTAGGCGCCATGTCCAGGGTCTCGCCGTTCCTGACAGGTTAATGGTCAGTGTTATCTCAGCATGGTCCGACCATGTGATGGGGCCTATTGATGTGTTTTTAGTCATAGGCGCCAGTGATGGTGATGTGAGGAAAAGATCTATACGGGAGTGTGATTGGTGTGGGTGTGAAAAGAAGGTGTAGTCTAGGGTTGTGGGGTTCTGGGCTCTCCATGCATCTATGAGGCGTGTGCGGGAGATGAAGGCCGAAAAGAGTTTATCTGCTTTTGCTGTTGGTTGTCTTCGTTGCCTATCTGGCTGCGAACGGCGTCTGTCTACCGTGGGTGATGGGGTAGCGTTAAAGTCGCCGCCTATTATGGAGTGGTGGGAGGGAAAGAGAGCTAGGTGTGCTTGTATTGTCTGCCAGAATGAGCCACTTGGGGTATTTGGTGCGTACAGAGTAGTGATAGCGTAGGAGCGTGTGCCTATCTTGCCTGCGACTGTGAGGAATCGGCCTTGTGGGTCCGCTACCGTCCGTTGTATGGAGAGGGGGCATGATTTCCGTAGAACGATGGCTACCCCGTTATGTTTCTCTTGTGGAGAGCTGGCGAAGTGGTTTACTCTATAGTGTCGGCTCAGGAGAGGGAACTGTTTGGTTTGCGTGAAGTGTGTTTCCTGTAAGAGGAGTACGTCTGCTTTAGTTCTATTTGCCCATCTCATAAGCTGGTGTCTTTTTGCGGGGCTGTTCAGGCCTTTGCAGTTGATTGATAGGCAGGTCAGAGTGGCTGGCATGCCAGTTGGTGTGGCGCGAGCCTTTGAGTGCACTTTGCCTTCTTGTCTGCGGTTGCGTTAGTCTGTGGTGTGTGGGGGGGTTGTGGGTAGGTTGGGGGGATTGGGGTGGGGTGGTGGTGTGAAGTGCTGTTGTGAGGAGGTGTGTATGTGGTTTGGACTGAGTTGTACCAGTAGAACTGGTAAGTGGGAGTGTCAGGTGGGGCCTGGTCTTACCGGTCAGTTGCCAGGCGTCTGGTGGGCGGTGTGAGTCACGTTCGAGGGTGGGCGAATTTAGTGTGTGTTAGAGTGTGGGTGCTTATATGTTTTGGTGTGTTTCGAATGTGGGTAGTGGTATGTGGTCGATGGAGTTTGTTGGGGGGATAGAAGAGTGACTGTGTGACGCTCTCTCCTCTACCCCGGGTGTCTGGTGTCTACTCCGAGGGTGCGGCGCTTTTGGAGGGGTTTTATGTGGTTTTGCTCTGTGTTGTTGCCAGGTCGTTTCTAGAGTTTGTATGCTTAGTGTATATCTGGGGTTTTTGCGTTTGTTGGTGTGCTGCTGAGATGTCCAGTGTGATGTCTGTTATGTTAGTGTCCGAGTGTGGGGTTTTGTTCTTGGTAGAATTCGGTGTTTGTCTTCGTTCTGTGGGTGTTGTTCGCCTTGTGTGTGGTTGTATTGCGGCAATATGATGCTTGTGTGTTTGCGTGCATTGTGGCGTGTTTGTGGTCGAGGCTGGTGTATATTGTTGACTGACCTGTCCGCGTCTGTCGGCCTTTGAGGTCCAATATGTGGGTTGGTGTTCTGTCATCAGGCTACCAGGGTCCTTTTGGGGAGGTGGTGTGACACTTGTGTCATAACTTTAACAGAAATAAACAACATGTTATCAATAATCCATAAACTTCAACTGTAACCTTGGCTCGTGGTGGCCTTGCATCGTGTGCCCAGGGTGGGTGTGTTAGTTCGGTACGGGTTGCGGTGGGGGGTCTTGCTCAGTGTGTGCTAGAGACTTTCGACGGATCCCCTTGTCCCCTCTCTGTCTGGCCCCTGTTTTCCCCGGATATGTTGTGTGTGTGTGTTGTATTCCGGGTTTAGTTGTTTTTTGGGGGGTTTTCTCTGTTTAGTGGGGTTTTTCGTGCCTTTCTCAGTTACCCCTTGTTTTCTTTTTGGGAGAGTAATCTTGGGTCTTAAACTCTGGTTGGTGTAGTGTGAGGTTTCCTGACGTTGTATTTGGCTGTTGGGCCCCCTCCCTTTTCTGCCTTTAGGGCTTGAGACCCTCCGAGCATCGGTGGTTGTTTGCGGGTGCCGTTTGCAGGGCCTGAGTTTAAACTCTAGTATGTGATCTGGGTTTCCTGCTAGTGTCTGTGTTGTGGCCCCCGCTATTCTGTGATGTGTTATGGGGATCCGAGCTTCGGGTGGGTATTTAGAGGGAGTTGGTGGTACCTTGTGTTCCGTGCCCTCTGCCCGATACCCAGCGTTCCCTTGTTTGTAGGGTTCAGTGCCCCCTGAGTCTCAGGTGTAATCTATGTGAACTTTGTTCAGTCTATCTGTCTCTGGGTTACTTGTCAGTACGATAGAGCATAATGTGTGGGCTAACTGTTCTCGGTAGTCTGCGCATCTTGTACTTGATGTGGGGTTGCTGCTGGTGTCCATTGTTGCGGTTAATTTTTGGTGCTAGGTTTAGGGAGGTTGTTTACCCTGCATTTTGCGGGTGCTGGTCTCATAGCTTGAAGGGTGTTCCCTTCGTTTGTGCGCCTTGCAACTTTTTGCCTTGGCTGTTGCCTGTCAGTGTGACTTCATTTTAGAGGTGCATGTTTCCGGCTATCCGGCTATTCTTTTAGGGTGTAAGTGCTTTGGTCACATTGTGGGGGTCCTTTCCCTTAATGGCCCCCTAAGGGGGTGTGGTCCGCGTTTTGTTAGGATGGTGCCCCCCTCCCCCCCATCCCCCCGAGCCTTATGTGTTCCCTGTAGTGGTAAACTTACTGCCTTGGTCTGGCATAAACATTAACCATTCATTAACCCCCTATTGGGGCATAACCTCATATAACAACATATAAATATAAATATACTACCGGCTGTGCCGTGATTGTAACGTCCGTGAGCCCGGTTTTGGCGTAAATGCCACAATTCGGACTTGGTGTAAGGTAGTGTCCTGTGCGCATCGAGCGCTACCGTTCAGGTGTCCGTGTGGGTGCTCTTGCGAGGCCGTCGAGGCTTTCTTCTTCGGCTGCGTGCGCGCCATGTTTGCGCGGGAATCATTTCGGCGGCCTGAGCTTTCGTTGATGGTGAGTTGAGGGTCCGCCGTCGGGCACCGCAGTTGTATCCCCAGGTGAGTTGCGAAGTCTCGCATATCTGAGACTTGGTGAAGGGAGTAAGTTTGGTCCCCTTTTTTAACCGTTATGCGGAAGGGGTGCCCCCAGGTGTAGCGCCAGCCGGCCTCAAGTAGAGCTGTAGTTAGGGGCTTCAGCTCCCGCCGTTTTCTTAGTGTTGAGGGGGCCAAGTCCTGGTAGAATTGAAGCTGTTGCCCCTGGTAGACTGGAGGACGATCTCTGGCTGCCTTCATGAGCTGCTCTTTTACCGGGAAGTGTAGCAATTTAACGATAACGTCCCTTGGTGTATTTGTGTTGGGGAAGGGGGGTCTCAGTGCCCTGTGGGCCCTTTCGATATAGATGGTTTGCCCTGGGTTGTCCGGCAGCAGGGACTGGAATATTGCTGTAATGGTAGGGAGTATAGCCTCCGGCATGACAGATTCTGCTAGGCCTCTTATGCGTATGTTTTGCCGCCGGGATCTATTATTTAGGTCTTCCATTCCGTCCTCCAGAAATAGGATTCTGTCTTTTAGTATCCCCATGTCCCTGCCATGGTCCGCCGCCTTTGTTTGTATTTCTTGAAGCGTGCGTTCGGTGTCGCCGGTGCGTGAGGCCAGCGCCTCGATGTCACTTTTGAGGCCTGCTATTTGTTTTTCAAGGGCTGCTGTGGTATAGGCCTTGATGTCTGCCGAAGTTTCCTTCAGCATTTTTCGAAGGACTTCTTGAGTTAAGGGTGACGCGTGGGTGCTCTCGTGCTCGCTCTCTTCCGATTCTGCGCCGGAGTTTTCTTGGCTTCGGGCCCAAGATGGCTGCCTGTCTTCTTTTGTTCGGAACATCGTGGCTACTGATGGGGTTAACTCCCTTTTCTTTTTAGAGCCCCCCATGTGGGTGAGTGTGGTCGTTGTCTGTGGGTAGTTTCGTTGCGTTTTGGCACCTTAGTGGAGGCTGATGGATGCGGATTTTGTGCCCGGGGTGAGAGAGCTGAGGCAACACACGTCTTACTCCATTGACAGTTAGGCTCCGCCCCCCAGTATGGCTTTTTTTTAGGAGAGGAAGAGACAGATTTGAAGAAGTATAGTCCATAAGCATTTTTGAACATATGTGTTTTGAGGGACTTCTTAAACAATTGAAGACTAGGGGAGAGTCTGATGGGGTTAGGCAGGCTGTCCCAAAAGGAGAGCTGCCCGTGAGAAGTCCTGCAAGCAAGAGTTAGCCGTAAGGGTGCAAGCAGTGGACAGGAGAACGTCACAGGGAGAGTGGAGAGACCGGGTAGGGGCATATCTATGAATCAGGGAAGAAATGTAGGAGGGGTTAGAGCTTTACAGGAAAGGGTTAGTATTTTGAATTGACCCCTATAGGATACAGGAAGCCAGTGTAATTATCGACAGAGGAGCGAGGTATTGGAGGAGTGACGGGTGAGAAAGATCAACCTGGCGGCAGCATTCATTACTGATTGTAGCGGGGCAGTCCGGCTTTTGGGGAGACCAACAAGGAGAGAATTACAGTAGTCCATGCGAGAGACTACCAGAGCATGAACTAGCATGTTGGCAGCATCTTGCGCGAGAAAGGGGCGGAAGCAGGCGATATTTTTAAGGTGGAATACACAGGTTTTAGCAACATGCTGGATATGTGGCGCAAAGGTGAGGCCAGATAACACCAAGACAATGAGCTTGCATGGATGGACTGATGCAACTACCATCAACTTGCAGGGAAAGCAAAGGAGGAGGATCAGAATTATGAGGGGGAAAAATAAGCTTCATTTTAGAGCGATTGAGTTTCAGAGAGCAGGAGGACATCCAATCAGAGGTGAAAGGCAGGCAGTTGCACATTGTAGGACCGATGAGAGAGAGATCTGGGTGTCGTCGGCATACAGATGGTAGCGGTATCCAAAGGAGTTAATGAGTTTGCTAAGAGAGGCATTATAAAGGGAGAACAGAAGGGGACCAAGAACAGACCCTTGGGGAACTCCAACCGAGACAGGACGAGTGGAAGAGGTCATTGCAAAAGGAGACACTGAACAAACGTTGGGAGATAGAGGAGGCAAACCACGCAAGACCAGTGTCACAGAGACCGAGGGATTGAAGAATTTGGAGAAGGACATGATCAACTGTGTCAAAGGCAGCCGATAGGTCAAGAAGAATTAGTATAGCGTTGAACCCACTGTGCAGCTCTGTGGAAAAGATGGACACTCCCAGCTCTATTATAAAATACTTCTCAAACTAATAGAATCTTGCTGATTTCTTGAGATTTGAGCAAGGTTGGTCTTTGTACTATACACATCACAAAGGGTTAGTTTATGTGCTTCGTGTGTCCTTTTTTAACTTGTATGTTTCTCTCAGCCTAATATTAAATGCACATTAAGTGTTTTACTTGAGCTGAAATGAACATGAAAGGCTCTGTATATTGAAGATTTGCTTTGACTTCCTGTGTCTTACTGCTTTAAATGTAAAGGCGTAGAGCTGCAGGCTTGGGGGAGAATGTCACACACAATTTATTGAAATCTGTGAGGCTTGCACAAATTAAGGCTAGGTCATCAGCCATCCTGTAATCGTGCAGATCCGCTAGGAGGATTCCATTCTCATGTTACTTACTCAATTTGCTGTCAGCACGCTTAAAGAATCATTGGTGGTATGAATACCTTTTACATAGCACTATTCTGTCCTTGGCATTGCAATGCTTATTGCATGTAATAGAAATTAACCAAATTGGTAGGTGATTTGTAGATGCTAAAGCAACTCTGCCACCTCAAACCTACCTTTGTCCTATTGATTCATCTTCTCTTACTCTTTAACAATTTGTTATTTTCTTAATTTTTCTCTTTAAGACTAGGTACTATGGTGTCTTATGTATTTTTCCTACACTTGACAATTGTGACAAAAGGGTACTTAAAAGGAGAAAAAAATAGGGACACAAACATGTATTACTAATGAGTTGGTGTTAAAAACGCCACCTAGCCCTCCTGGCCTCTCTCTAAAAATAGTAAATACTACCTTTTATTCCAGTCTGCTGCTGCTGGCTCTGCCCCTGATCTGCCTCCCTAGCTGACCCCATCCAAAGTGGTGATCTCAGCCAATCGCAATGCTTTCTCTTAGGAAAGCATAGGATTGTCTGATATTGTCAAAGAGGCAGATCAATGGCAGAGCTGGTACAAGCCAAACACAGGCCTGGCCAATCAGCATCTCCTCATAGAGATGAATTGAATCAATGTATCTCTTTGAGGAAAGTTTAGTGTCTCCATGCAGAGGATGGAGACCCTGAACGTCAGTGCAGCCCACTGTGCAACACTGCCTCAGGACGCACATCTGAGTGACCAGTAGAGGTATCCCTGGGCTGTAATGTAAACACTGCATTTTCTCAGAAAATACTGTGTTTACGGCAAAAAAGCCTGAAGGGAGTGATTTATACTCACCTGAACAAATACAATAAGCTGTAGTTCTTCTGGCGACTATAGTGTCTCTTTAAGGCAAGTTCCGCTGCCTTTGTCAAGCTAACAAAGGGTGATGATGCCTGAAGAACTCCCATATATTTTTTTTTATTTTTTTTTGAGTCCAACAAACGAGCTGTAAACGGTGCCTGTTGAGTTAACAAAGCCTACACTGCATACTCTACGACTCCCAGGGACGTAAGTCTGCTGTCAATCCTACTCTTATATGCATTGTTATGATGGCATTACAAGGAAAATCCCCTTTATTCTTGACCACTCGTTCTGTAGCAATTTAACCAGTTCTACCCTCCTATGGATAAAACCATGAGCCCCTTTTACTTCTAAAAAGAGTGATTCTCTTTTTTTCCAGGTGCAGGGTTGGACTCTGGCTTAGAATAGCAGAAATTCTTGATTTTGTTTGTTACACATTACGTTCCTGCAGGGTACTGTTTTTTGTTGTAGCAACTCTTCTCTCCCCCTGTTCCATTCCCCCCCCCCCATTTATCATTGGTTAGGGGCACTTTCCATCTACTGGAGCTTTTCCACAATTCCTCATGGAGCGTTAATGATTTCATTAGCTCCATCCTAATTTTTATCATATACCCTAACTCCCTGGCTTGTTCCGGGATTTAATCTTTTGGTACAGATATTACCAGCAATATGTAACTTTTCTGTATTAAAAATATATATATATTTTAAAATTGGGTGATTCTCACGTAAGAATATTGTAAAACATGTATTTAAAATGCACATAATTTTATACCCTGCATAAATCAAAATTGGTACTTTATTTTTAATTTGCCTTAAACCAGTTTCTGCATTAAGCTAGGTATGAGATTTGCTATTTCATGTTTCACTGTGCAAATCACTTTGTCACATTTATATATGTTCTCTTCAATTTTGCAGGTCTGCATCTCCCCATCATGGCTTCACCATCATGAATAGACTTAACATGAACAATCTGGTGGAGCCAGTTAACAAGGACTTAGAATTCCAGCTCCATGAGCCCTTTCTTCTCTACCGGAATGCCAGTTGTAAGTAGAAAGTGGCTTCTTATAGTATGTGAAGTTGAGCTGAGTTCATGTGCGTGGGGTGGTTGTGTTTTTCCCTTCCCACTCCTATATTAGTTTAAGGCCTAGTCGCGGTGTGTTTGTTTCAGTATATTCATAAATAAACAAAACCTGCTCTGGGCATAGTCTTTTTCGGGCAACATGATAACTACTGAATCTTTGATGCGGAAACTCTAGTTATCAACTCAGAAAAAGTGGTGGTTTTATTGACTGAATAGATTGTTGCAGTATGGAAATAATGAACACCGTTTAAAGAGCAGTAAGTTTTTTTTTTTTTTTTATATTTGTTAAAGACTTTATTTTATGGTGTGTTCAGGACCACTTACTTTATATAGAATAGTTTTAAAAAGTTTTTTTCTTTCTAAACAAGTTATTGAACTTGCCAGTGTTCCAGGACAGTCTCTTCTCAGTAATCTCCCTTCCTTGATGACTAAAGAGCTCTGTGCAGCCTAATGCTTCTCATGGGCACATCGGGGACAGACTCCCCACTTTTTTATTTATTTATTTTGTGTTACAAAAAATAGAATAAAAGTTTACATTATTGTTGAAGTAACAAGTAATCATTCATACTGACTGGGGGGGAAGGGGGAGGAGAGAGTGGAGGAGGCATAAAGTTGAACTTTTATCCTATACCATGTTTTTTGTTGTTTAGCTTTCTGTTCTAGTATTTTTTTTTTATTTAGGGATACCCATCTCTATTAACAAAGGAAGATGTTAGCCATTTGTCCCAGATTTTTCAATATAGACTCCCTTGGTTGTTCATTAAGTAATATCCTTTCTCCATTGAACATTGATAGTTTATTTCATTCCAATTTTGATGTCCTTGCTTTTTCCAATTTTTCGCAATGCAAATTTTTGCTGCCAATATAATATGAATCATTAAAAGGTCACTTTAGTCACCAGAACTACTACAGCTTAACGTAGTTGTTCTGGTGAGTATAATAGCTCCCTTCAGGCATTTTCATGTAAACACTGCTTTTTCAGAGAAAAAAAAACTTTTATAGGGGGCCAAAGGGTGGGGAGGGGAGGGGGGTTTCCTCCCAAGGGAGATCTAGATGGAAAAGGAAATGTGTGGTCAAGGAGAACTCTTTCCCTAAAATTTCTATTGTAAGTCTTCTGAAGTTTATTTTTAAAATATCAAACCCTGGAAGGGGGCGTGGCTAACCGCCGGGCAAGATGGCAGCTTAAGATTTTGCTCCGGCACATGGGATCCGCACACAAGTGAAATATCCGAGCAGTAACGCTACAAATCGAAGCCCAAAAGATGTCACAGGCTAAGGGGAAGAAAGCGGCACCCAAAGCTGATAAGAATAACTTCTTTGGACACAAACCGCGCAAGCCATGCTTGCCGCCGCGCAAGATGGCGCCGACAGCCCAGATGCAAGCTCTCACTTGACACTGCGGGACGAGATACCACAGACTGGACACCTCACAATAACCCACTTCGAACGGGCAATGGAAGCAATGTCAGCAAAACTGATACGAACCTGGCAATCCACAGCCGACCAAATAAAAAATGAAGTCAGAGAACTCTCCAACAGAACAGCCTCAGTGGAAAATGAATGCCAGGACCTAAAAACCGCACAAACCGGAATCTCCGAAAACGTACTTACCTTACAGCAAAGAATGGAGGCCATGGAAGGTAAACTGGCGGACTATGAGGACAGAGCTCGGAGGAATAACTTACGGCTAAGAGGGGTTCCAGAATCGGTCCAACCGGACGACCTACAACTGTACGTCAGGGGCCTGATGCACGCCTATGCCCCAGACATCCCCTCAGACATGCTGTTGGTCGACAGAGTCCACAGGGTCCCCAAACCAAAGCACCTACCGGACTCCGCGCCTCGCGACGTGGTACTCAGGGCACACTACTACCACATTAAAGAACTTGTGCTCCGGGCCCACCGCAGCAGACAAGAGCCGCACGAGGACTATCCGCCAGTGCTGATCATGGCGGACTTATCAGCCGCAACGCTGAGGAGGAGAAGAGACTTCCAGCAAGTCACAACGGAACTAAGGGACCGAGGCATCCGCTATAGATGGGGTTTCCCCACAAAACTTATACTGACGAGGAATGGAGAAACGAAACTCTTCTCACGACCAGAAGACGCCATGAATGAACTGGCGAGATGGAGCCCGCGTAGCAAACAGAGTGCCCCACCTGCATCCTCGGCCCACAGCCGCAAATCCACACGAACTGACCGAATGGACTAACTGCAAAAATATATCTTATGGCGCAAGTATATTGACATTGATGTTATTTAATATCTTTTATTTTTGTTGTTCACATGTTGTTCTGATATTAAGCACGCATATACAATTTAGATGTCGCCACCACCACCACACACAACTGGGCTACGGTGCACCGTGTCCGAGCAATGACATGTCCAACAGGTGACCACCAGCTGACACCACAGACAGGGATGACGGCCCTATGCCCCGACACACACACCTGCCCCGCTTTACAAGCGGGAAGCGCAAGTCCGGCCACACGCCAGCCCCCACCACCACGGGTACACCAGGGGGGACGTTCCCCCCTGCCGACGCCACACAGTCTGACAAGCCCCCAGACACAGTGACACATGCGAAGATGGAGGGGCGAATGCCTATTCGCATACAGGCATCCGACCTCACAGCGCAACATGGCGAATTAAACATAGCAAAAACACAGGCCCTGAGCATTAACATCCCAAACCACGACCTGAATGCCCTGAAAACACACTTTAACTACGAATGGAGACAAGACCATATCAAGTTCCTAGGGGTCAATTTCACACCCGCCACCTTATTTAAAGCAAATTACATAAAACTTTTAGGGGAAATCAAATCCATCACACAAGGATGGAAAGGCAAATACGTATCATGGATGGGACGAATAGCATCGACAAAAATGATACTTCTACCTAAGATACAATACCTCTTCAGAACGCTCCCCCTCCAGCTCCCCACAAAACATCTCTTGGAAATACAAGAACAAATTAACACATACGTCTGGGAAAACACAAAACCCAGGGTAGCGCGCACCACTATGTTCCGACCACTCTCACAAGGAGGTATGGGCTTACCTGACATAAGAGGATACTACCGAGCAGCGCACATAGCCCCACTCCTCTCAGCATTCCATCACAAGGAAGCGATGGCCTGGGTAGAAATTGAAACAAACTATGCTAACGGACTTTCCCTTCCAACCATGGCCTGGATGCCGAAACACCAAAGACCAAGTAACAAATCACTACTACCAACAACTCAACTAACTTTAACGATATGGGATAACTATCGCAAAAAGATGGGCATATTGACGAAAATATCACCAGCCCTCCCACTAGAAGCTTTGGGTGTCATCATCACGGACTTCAACTACAAAATATGGAACAAACACGGCGTACGAACCCTATCCCAACTCACGACAGACTCCCATCTCAAACGTCTGCCAGACCTCCAACGGGAATTCCACTTACCTGCAACAGCTGCCTTCCCCTACAGGCAACTGCAAGCCTGGTTCGCCCTACAGACAAGGAAATTGGCGATAACCTTCCCGGAGCCACCCCTACAGGAAGTCGAAAAGATATGTCTAACAATCAAACAAAGAAACTGATCTCACTGATCTATACTTCAGAACACAATCAACCCTCGAAAAAAAAACCATCCTTTAAAACAGCATGGGAGAAAGACATCAAACACCCACTTACTGAAGACCAATGGCAGAACATTTACAAAGCACACAAACAAATGACGCTCTGCATGAACCATGTGGAACTCTCCCGAAAAGTTCTCTACAGGTGGTACCTGGTGCCCACACGCCTCAAGCTCAGCTTCCCCAACACATCAGACATATGCTGGAGATGCCAGGCAGACAAGGGCACCATGATCCACATCTGGTGGCACTGCCCGCAACTCACAACATACTGGCTGGAAGTACAGAAACTAGCAGCAAGATGCACCAAAACGCACCTGCCACTCCTACCGGAAATATTTCTTCTACTACTACTCCCGAACAAACTGCGGAAAAGCCACAGATACCTCCTCTACCACATCATCATCTCAGCATTAGCAACCATAAGCAGGAAATGGAAACAAACAACCCCACCGACAATAGAACAATGCATCAAAGCGATAGACGACTCCAAGCGCTACGAAATGATGGCACGGAAAGCGAGACCAAAAGCAGCATACCACTCTACGGCATGGGAAATATGGGACGAGAACAAGCTACAATCCCGTAAATGAGCTCATACCCAACACACCACATAAAAACACCACATGAGGACACTTACCCACTTCCTAACAACATGCTCCACGATGGAAGCACTTCCCTCTTCCTACCACAACCTCAACAAAAGAATCAGAGGAATCCACATCCCGCTAAGTCACCCTGCCCACCCCTCCCCCCCAGGGAATAAATAAAAACACAGGCATACCAGCTCACCACATCCTCATACACCGACCCACACTCTCAAGGATAAACTAAAGGACCCAAGCAAACAGGTGAACGACTCCACCAGCAGCAGGGACGAGACACAACACATCACCAAGCAGGCACACCTCACCAGGGTAAATATACCCCCCCTACTCTGGAACACCCTAAAGAACACGCACCCTCGGCAACCACACGTTACACATAGTAACCTAGCATGAGGCACAAACGAATAGAGGACTAGCAACAAATCATAAAGCTGTGCCCACATACTGAAACCTGCACACCTGAATCAAATTGCTAATTGTAAAAATGACTATGTGTACAAAACATTGAACTTGGAGACTGTATACTATGTCCCCCCCCCCCGCTTTCTTCTGTACCCCACCACTCCAACCCACCAAAATAAAAATTGTCAAATTCAAAAAAATATCAAACCCTGAACATTCCCACCAAATATTGACGTGAGATCCTTTAGCGTTTTTGCATCTCCAACATTGGTCAGAATGATCACTATATATTTTATTTAATTTTAATTTATTTAATGTACCACCTGTATAATAGAGCTCGATCAAATTTACACCGTGTGTACTTTGTTTAACCCATTTTAGACTCTGTTTCCAGGGTTGAATTTCAAATGATTTTTTGAGGTCAAGTTCCCATTTTATTATTGGAAGCTCTTTAATAAAAGTGAACAAGATACAGTTGCAAGAAAAAAGTATGTGAACCCTTTGGAATGATATGGATTTCTGCACAAATTGGTCATAAAATGTGATCTGATCATCATCTAAGTCACAACAATAGACAATCACAGTCTGCTTAAACTAATAACACACAAAGAATGAAATGTTGCCATGTTTTTATTGAACACACCATGTAAACATTCACAGTGCAGGTGGAAAAAGTATGTGAACCTATACACTAATGACATCTCTAAGAGCTAATTGGAGTGAGATGTCAGCCAACTGGAGTCCAATCAATGAGATGAGATTGGAGGTGTTGGTTACAGCTGCCCTGCCCTATAAAAAGCACACACCGGTTCTGGGTTTGCTTTTCACAAGAAGCATTGCCTGATGTGAATGATGCCTCGCACAAAAGAGCTCTCAGAAGACCTACGATTAAGAATTGTTGACTTGCATAAAGCTGGAAAGGGTTATAAAAGTATCCCCAAAAGCCTTGCTGTTCATCAGACCACGGTAAGACAAATTGTCTATAAATGGAGAACGTTCAGCACTGCTGCTGCTCTCCCTAGGAGTGGCCGTCCTTTAAAGATGACTGCAAGAGCACAGCGCAGACTGCTCAATGAGGTGAAGAAGAATCCTAGAGTGACAGCTAAAAACTTACAAAAGTCACTGGCAAATGCTAACATCCCTGTTAGCGAATCTACAATACGTAAAAGACTAAACAAGAATGGATTTCATGGGAGGATACCACAGAGGAAGCCACTGCTGTCCAAACAAAATATTGCTGCAAGTTTACAGTTTGCACAAGAGCACCCGGATGTTTCACAGCAGTACTTGCTAAATATTCTGTGGACAGATGAAACCAAAGTTGTTTGGAAGAAACACACAACACTGTGTGGCGAAAAAAAGGCACAGCACACAACATCAAAACCTCATCCCAACTGTGAAGTATGGTGGTGGGGGCATAAGGTTTGGGGCTGCTTTGCTGCGTCAAGACATTTTGCAGGAGAACTTAAGGCCATCTGTCTACCAGCTGAAGCTCAACAGAAGATGGGTGTTGCAACAGGACAATGACCCAAAGCATAGAAGTAAATCAACAACAGAATGGCTTAAACAGAAGAAAATACACCTTCTGAAGTGGCCCAGTCAGAGTCCTGATCTCAACCCGATTGAGATGCTGTAGCATGACCTCAAGAAAGCGATTCACACCAGACATCCCAAGAATATTGCTGAACTGAAACAGTTCTGTAAAGAGGAATGGTCAAGAATTACTCCTGACCGTTGTGCACGTCTGATCTGCAACTACAGGAAACGTTTGGTTGAAGTTATTGCTGCCAAAGGAGGTTCAACCAGTTATTAAATCCAAGGGTTCACATACTTTTGCCACCTGCCCTGTGAATGTTTACATGGTGTGTTCAATAAAAACATGGCAACATTTCATTCTTTGTGTGTTATTAGTTTAAGCAGACTGTGATTGTCTATTGTTGTGACTTAGATGATGATCAGATCACATTTTATGACCAATTTGTGCAGAAATCCATACCATTCCAAAGGGTTCACATACTTTTTCTTGCAACTGTATTCTCTTCAGGGAATAGTGAATATCTAAAGTCAATAATTTTGACTATAATTTTGTTTTGAATCAAAATAATGTTTAACTCTCAAGTATGTGAACACTATATGCTAGGAACGAGGGAATAATTAGAGTGCAATAATTGAAAATGTTTTCTAATACCATGCGAGTAAATGTTCGATACTTGATTGATCCCACACCTCCTCCAATTTCTCAATTTCAGATCTTTTAGGTTAATTTCTATGTCTATGGGGGATGATAAAGCCAATCCATTAGAGAAAATTTTTTTATTATGTTTTTAATCGTTGTCCGTGTCGCTTTAATGATTGGATTTGTTGTAATTTTATATAAAGGACATTGATTATCTATCCAAAAACATTCATAGAGTTTATCTGTTTTAAACTCGTGAGCTTCAATATCCCACCATAAATTGACATGATTAGTATTTTTATCCCAAGCTAAAAAAATGGGCTAGCATACAGGCGTCATCGATAACAAATGTCTGGAAATTCCTGATCTCCAGTTTGCCCTGATTTTTTATATTTAATTTAAAAAAAATTTTTTTTTTAGGATTTTCTGAGGAATTCTAGGTTTCTTATTTGACCATATAAACCTAGAGATGGCCGTTTGAAAAAAGCTCAAGATTGTATTACTCTCTCTCACTGGTATCCATTGTAAGCAAGACAGCTCTTGTGCTTCAGTTGCCACACTTCACCAGTGTTAATCATTTTATCAAGTGGCCTTATATCCAGGGTTTCTTTGAGCAATATTCAATATCATCCTGCTAAGTGTGATGATGCCTAATCAAGGAGGAAGTACCTCCAGTAACTGTCAGCCTGACCTGTAGAAAATATGTGTTCTTGGACAAATGTAAACCATACAAAAATTCAGTGGGTGACGGTACCACTTTAATGGAACACTTCCAGCGCCATATCATCTCAATGAATGGTTTTACTTTAAAGTGGTCCAGACAGATGCCATCCTCCAGATCCCTCTTACTCTGTCTCCAACCTCTACTTAAATAGGAAGTCTCAGACTGAGATTCCCATTTATGAAAAATGCATGAGCAGTGTACATGTGTTTCTCATGCGTGTTTTTTAAGTGGAAAATTCGTGAAAGCTCACCAAATTCCCAGCCAGAGTGTTCTTTATTGAAGAGCAAAAGGGACCTGATGAGTGTAAGCTTTCTGGACCTCTTTGGAGTTAAACCAGTTGTAAAAGTACAACGGTGCACTTCCTTGAACCTATTTGATAACACCTCCTAACTCTCAAAGAGACAGCCCAAAGTGCCTTCTTCACTTGCTTTGAGCACTTCCTCAAAGTTGAGTTAAAAGTGAGGGCTCTTCGTAGAATAGCACTTGTTTCTGTGCTGTAATTGTTCCCTCTAATTAGCTTCTGTGTTCTCGGCTAATTAAATGCATTCCCATAGAGTATAGGGAGCTGTATGAGACCGTCTGATTGAGGTAAAAGAGTTCACTGTTTGTGCCAAGCACATTTTAACCCCACTTTGTAGACATGTTTTTAGTTGCAGGTTAACAGGAGCATGGCACTCAGACAACTACATTAAGATCTAGTATTCCTTTTAATCTATGCTACATTAAAACTGCAGTAATATGTAAGGAAGTCTGGCATGCCAAAGTTTGCAGATAGAGGATATTTAGTGAGGAAAGTCTGTTATTGCGGCATCTTAAAACTCTGCATTGCTAGGTGAGATATTCATGAAAGCAGAATGGTCTGTTAGGCACCAGACTGACAAAATGGTTTGCAGGCAATGTAGAAGACTTCAAAGAACATTACCCAACTGGTGTCTATGCTGTGGTCTTTACATCCGCTCACTCGTAACAAGTTATGTGGGGCAAGCCAAAAGGGACAAACCAACATCTTCAGGGGCCAAATGTCTTCAGACAAGGTTTTCAAGTATTTTCTGATTTGACTGCCTTTAGTGTATTAAAAGAATTTTATGAAAATTCTGCAAACTGCAGTTACTATGGCAGCTGAGCTTCAGGCACATTTCAAACCGGGAAGCAAATATCTAGATAAACGGAAAGTGTTATTTTTTTTATTTTTGATTCCATTTCTCTCCTTTTTTTTTCAATGTAAGATCAATTCCAAAATGATTTGTGGTACATCACCAAACTCTATTTAATCTTTTTACTGCCAAAAGAGCTTCATCCTTCCTTAAATTCAGTCTTGTATCTACTGAATGAGATGGGCAAACCATCTGGAGATGTGGGGAAGAGTACAGGACACTTAGAAATGAATAAACTGTATGAGTTAAAGTTTCAGCAAACAGTTTTTGTATTTCATTGCCCATAATGTCTTATTTAATAGATATAGTGAGCAGATTAAGATTGAACTGTAACCACATGGTGTACATTCATTTTAGATGTAACGAAGAACATACAATTCTGCAGACTTCAATCTTTCTAGTTTCCAGAAAAACCAAGTCAGAGGGTTCATTCAATTTATCCCTCTCTGAGCCAAAATATCCAATGTGAATGTCCGAAAGGCCTCCCGCAATAATTCCTTGTTTCCATCACTGCCTCTAGGAGGTGGTGGCACATGATCAATGCCCATTTTCTGTATTTGTGTGTGTGTGTCTGTGTATATGTATAATTTTTTAAAATGTATTTAGTATTTTATTGCAGCATACACCTAATTATACACACAGGTAGATATGTAGTAAGCTACTTTTTATTTGTTCAAATTCCCTTTTTAATTTTTATTGTTGAAGCATGTGAATTTGATAGTACAGACATGATAGTATAAGGCAGGAAAAAAACACATGAGATGCAATACAAGGTCAGGCATGTCATACTTAATATAAGCGCAAAAGATAATATATAAATATATATATTACCCACCAAAAGATAATAAATAAAAAATAAAATATATATTATATGTACCCACCCACCAAAAGAGTTGTGGTGGGGAAAAAGTGTGGATGAAATGGAATACCCGCAGGCACCAGAGAGACCCATATGGAGACCACAGGACCCAGAAGCATCCCCAGTGACTAAATCTGACCTAAAGGAGATGCTGGCCGAACTCCAAAGAAACATCTCAGCGGACATCGCTACAATCTGCGGGGACCTGAGAGGCCTCACAGGCTGCATCGTGAAACTCGAACTCTCCACCACAGAGCACTCCCAGCAATTAACGGCGCTCCAGCAAACAGTGCAGGAATTACACCACCAAAATCAGCAACACGAACGCCGATTTGCTGCCCAAGAGGATTCCTGGCGCCAAAATAACATAAAGGTGCGGGGGGTGATGGAGGAGATACCGGACGCTGAGCTGCCACACTTTGTGTTACAACTTGTGTAACAGAGAGGTGCACCTGTATTGCTTAGGAAAGAGTCCATTCGGGTGATACTCGTGGGACTTTGGCAGGTGGTGAAAGGACGGTGTTCTCAGTTGGGATAACCCAGTTCTTTAGCAGAGCGAATCCTTACGTCGTACAGGCTGCTGAGTAGATTGAGTCTTGGCGGTGAATTAGCAGCCTGGCAGGATATCCCCAGCGATAAGTGAGTGTAGAGCAGCTGTAAGGGGGGGGGGACGGGACATATTTTATATAAATTGGAGGGATGTAGCTGAGACGTCCACGAAGATTTTGATGTTGCCATGGGGGTCCGGTAGATGGCATTCCTGCAGGCTCAAACTATTTTTTTCCTTAACATGGAATAATATATATATATATATATAATATATCTTTTTAGCTTCTGGCAACTCTTAGTCAATCTATAATCTCCCAAACCATTAAAGTGGCACTGTCATGCCGAACATAGCTTTCCTAAATCTCTTCCTCTTCTCCCCCTCTCTCAGGATCTGCTCTTCTTTTCTTCCTGTTTTCTTTAAAATCATAAGACAAAGTAGGGACTCTTTGCCTTATGGAGGATTCCTCCGCTTGACCAGCTCTGACCAGCGGAGGAGCAAAGTGTGCTTCATTTCCGCTGGTCAGAGCAATTTTCCCATAATTCTCACCTTTCCTCTGTGTTCCTGCGATGCTTCCTGTCACTTTACACAAAACTGCCGAATTGCATTCTAACGGAATGAGAACAGTATGTTCGTTTGTTTTAGAACTCAATTCAGCACTTTATTCCGATTGGAATTTCATTCGAATGAATGAAACTCCGATCCTATTTGTGCTGTGGCTGCATCTTGCAGCCGCTTAGTAGATAACTCCCTAATTCCCACAGTATCAGGGAGTTATCTACTAAAAGGCTGAACTACCTAAATTGGTCTTTCAGCCACATTTACTAATACTAAGTAAGATTACTTAATATTAGTAAATGATCTGCGCCCCTACTCGCTATACCGCAGGTAAAAACAAACAAACAAACAAACAAACAAAAAAACACTATTGGCCCCCACCCCTAAATGATGGGTGGGGGCCCTAAAGTAAAATAACGGGGGAGACCTAATGTCCCACCCCTGCGCGGTGGATGGGGGTCATAAGGATAATGGGGGGGCCTACTGCCCCCCCCACCCTTGGGCGGCGGGTGGGGGCCATAATGATAATGGGGGGGGGAACCTACTGCCCCCACCCCTGGGCGGTGGGTGGGGGCCATAATGATAATGAGGGGGGGGGACCTACTGTCCTCCCCCGCCGGCCCCCACCCCTGGGCGGTGGGTGGGGGCCATAAAGATAATGGACGGGGGACCAACTGTTCTCCCACCCCCACCCCTGGGGCCAAAATTTTTTTTTTTTTTGCTCTCGGGATTTTTATTTTATTTTAAGTTCGGTTATGATGGTTTTTTATTTGGCCTTTTTTGGGGCTGAAAAATGAAGATTTGAGAAAAAAGTCGAATGGTAATGTCGAATGGTAAGTTTAATTTTATTTTACAGGTTAGTTATTTTATTCCCCCCCTCACTATTTTTTAGGGTGAGGGGGGTAGGTAGGGACTTTTTATTACAGTAGGTCCCCCCCCTCATTATCATTTGGCCCCCACCCTCTGCCCAGGGTGGGGGGAGAGGACAGTAGGCCCCCCCCCCCATCATCATTTGGCCCCCACCCGCCGCCCGGGGTGGGGGAGGAGTGACAGTAGGTCCCCCCCCCATTATCATTATGGCCCACCACCCGCCGCGCAGGGGTGGGGGCCGCGGGGGGACATTAGGTCTCCCCCTTATTTTACTTTAGGGCCCCCATCTGTCCTTTAGGGGTGGGGGCCAATAGGGTTTTTTTTACTGTTTAGTAGACATGCCCCTACTCGCGGTATAGCAAGTAGGGGCATTGGGGAGATTTTAATCTCCCTTATGCTATTATGGGGGTCATATTGACCCCCATAGAGTGAGGGGGGACCTGGGGGGCTTATGAAGTGGTGGGGAGCACTGCTCCCTGCCGCTTCTATCTTTACATATTACAAGGAGGGAGCTGAACGCCGATAGCTCCCTCCTTGTAATAAACTGAACGAACAAACACACACTGATACTCACTGCAAAAGTAGAAAAGAATAGGACACTCGCAGTTCTCAAGCTATGGGCTAAGTAACTTTAGTAACCGATATAATCATGAATATCGTAAAATCTAATGCAGTCATGATGTAATGATACATCGACCGTTATCTTGGTGTGCTATTTTTTTGGTATTCCCCCTTCAAGTTGGTTCTCTCTGGATTTAATTTTTTTTTTTTTAATCCTTTTGTTGTGGAATCGCATACACGTGTCAAACAAAGACGAGTTTATCCACATTGATTTATGATATATGGTGACATGAAACCAAGTAGCGTAAATTAGGGATCGATCGATATTGATTTTTTTTTTTTTTTTAGAGCCTATACCGATAATCTGTGAACTTTCAGGCCGATAGCCAATAACTTGCCGATATTCTGTACATTTACCATTTTGAAAAAATAAACTATTTCTAAAGGTAAATGGCGGTCCTGGGAGGAGGTATCGACAATATCGGTATCTTTATTGGCCGATACCGATATTGCCTAAAATACTGAATATCAGCCGATAATATCGGTAAAATCGATAATCAGTCGATCCCTAGCGTAAATGTTTTTTTTTTTTTTTTTTGTAAATCTTTTTATTGAGGAAAAAGAGTTAGGCTCGCAGGCCTCGGTGGATAACATTAATAATTGTTATAACATATGTCAGTCTTCAAAACAATATATTGGGAGTTTCCCAAAACTTCAAGGCTGTTACATTCCATTCTCAATTTAAGGCTTAATCAGCGTACATGTTATTTGCATACATACAATAAAAGAGAACCCTTTTTAGTATTTGCTTGCAGGATAGTATTTAGTGTGTTTGTGTGGGGCATGTTCCTCCTTCGATGCTCTAACCTCTAGATATAGGCGAGCAAATATTGCTTTCATTCGTCAGGTTAGTGACTTATATCCCTGAGAGACATACGGGAGTAACAAAAAATATATAACGTGTTATATGGTGAAAAAGAAGAGGGTTAAGGGATGATGTGTATGTGTGAGGATAGTTCTCCCCGGTGTCCACACTCCCCCCCCCACCCGCAACGGGTCCTGAGCTTGGGCGTGATGGTCAGGTTTTTGTCAGGTCCTGTCCTAGCGGCTTGCTGTGGTACGTTGGTCATGTATTGTGAACCTATGTTGTGTTATTGTCTCAGTGGATTCATCTAGTGGTCGACTCTATACTGTGTGTTGGGTCCGTCCCTTCAGGCTCCATCTCCTACATTGCACAGCCGTGTGATGTGTCTTATATGCTGTAGTTCAGTCTATCATGTGCGTCGATTGGTCGTGTGTGTGTCGGTAGGTATTTCATGATATCACAGTATCGGTTTTCTAGCGTGCGCGAGCATAAGTTCGGGTCAATAAGGGATCGTATGTTACTACGGACCATAACCCCTCCCAAGATGAATTATCCGGCACCTGAGGGTGAGTTCGGCCAACAGAGGTGACCAGTCCCAGCTTGTCCGCCCCGCTCCCCCGCCCCCAAATGGACCCTTTATCTGTCCGCCTGGTATGAGAACCAGGGTTGCCATGTCTCCGCGTGCTTTGTCGAGCGTCCCGCCAGAGATGCCCGCACCGCCTCGGCCGCCTGGATGTCCTTGACCCTATGGATCCATTCTTCTATCGTGGGAACGGTTGCCTTCTTCCAATATACTGGGATTAAGGATTTGGCAGCATTTAAGAGATGGCGTAGAATTGATTTCTTGTATCTAGGGATATTTTGTGTGGTAATATGTAGTAGGGCCAATTCTCGGGACCATTCCGTGTCATCCCCCAAGATCTCCTTTATTGTGGCGTGGATATGGTCCCAGTAGTGTGCGATGGTATGGCATTCCCACCATAAATGTACTATGGTACCTCTCGCGTCTTGACATCTCCAGCAGAGTGGGGACGCCTCTGGGTAGATTTTCTGTATGGCTACCGGGGTTTTATACCACATGGAGATCAGTTTATAATTGACCTCCTGATAGTAGGAGCTTGAGGAGCTTTTGTGCTGCCAGAGGAGTGCTGTCCCCCATTGCGTTGGTGTAATGGCAATATCTAGTTGTGTTTCCCATCGTCTTTGAAATGTATTGTTATCCGAAGAGGCCCCAATCAGTAGATATTGATAGAGCATCGATATCGCGTTCTCGAGTTTAGAACCTCTGCGGCATATGCTTTCGAACCATGTAAGGTCTCTGTGTAGGAGGTCCTTGTGGGGTAAGGATTCGTAGTAATGTGATAGTTGTAGATAATGGAGGGTCAGGAGGGGAGTCTGCGGTCTTCCAGCTAATAGTGAGCTGAGGGACCTTATCCGACCTTCCTCCAGGATCGTGCATATTGGGATATATTCTCTTTCCCCTAAAAAGGCCCAGGTCCTAAAGGGGAGTCCTCCCCCTATATTGGGGTTGTGTGTGATTGAGATCATAGGACTGGGGGTCGGAGAGACCTGCTCCATCTTCCTAATTGATTTCCAGATCTTCAGAGTCTGTGCCACCGGATTGCCGTCCTCTTCTGATCCACACCGACCTTTCGCCTCCCTCCATACGTCTGCTTTAAGTTTGGTCCCCGCGTCTTCTCTGTCCAGAGTTACCCACTGTTTCGGGTCCTCTGCTGCGTGCCACTCCAGGATACGTTGCATAGTAGTGGCTTGTTGGTACTTTTTGAAGTCCGGCAGTGCAAGGCCTCCTCTGATCCTGGGTAGGCAGAGCGTTTCATATCGAAGGCGGGATCTTTCCCCTCTCCAAACATATCGGATGACCGCCGATTTCAGGCTAGAGAAGAACGTTGTAGGTAGCGATATTGGGATGGTTTGGAATAAGTATAATATCCGTGGTAGCACGTTCATCTTGAGGACCGCTATCCTGCCATGCCAGGTGATGTGTGGATATGCCCATCGATCTAGGTCCGAAGTTACTTGTCGTAGTATGGTGGCAAAATTGTGTTGGTACAGGTCGCGTGGGTTGTGTGTTACCCAGATGCCGAGATATTTCATCTTCCCCTCACATCTGCGAAATGGGAAAGCTGCGCTCAGTGTGGCAAATTCGGTTGGTGGGAAGGTGACGTTAAGGATCTCACATTTAGATAAATTAAGTTTGAATCCTGCTATTTTGCCGAAGTTTTCAAATTCCCGGAGCAAGCATGGCAGTGTGATTCGTGGATTAGAGACGAAAAAGAGGAGATCGTCCGCATATGCGGCCACTTTGTGTTCCGTCCCTTTCCATGAATAGCCCTGGATGTCAGGGTTCTGTCGTATTGCCTGTAGGAGCGGTTCCAGAGACATTGCGAATAAAAGGGGGGATAGGGGGCACCCCTGCCTGGTCCCGTTGTGAATCTCAAAGCTGGTCGTAAGTGCTCCATTTACCTTAACCGCTGCGCTGGGTTTATCGTATAATGCCGATATCCACGACATCATCTTCGGTCCCATTCCCATGGCCCTCAATGTCTGCATCATGTAAGACCAGTTGACCCGATCGAAGGCCTTTTCAGCATCCGTGGATAGCAGTATAAGGCGTTCTCGTGAAATCCGTGCTCGATGTTGTATGGAGAAGAGTCGGAGTGTGCTGTCTCGGGCTTCTCTACCAGGTATAAACCCCGTCTGATCCGCATGGACTATGCTCGGTAGTACTCGTTGTATTCTGGTGGCCAACACTTTCGTAAGAAGTTTTGAGTCCACGTTTATTAAGGAAATTGGCCGGTAACTGCTGCAGTGTTCGGGATCTTTCCCGGGTTTGAGCAGGACTGCTATAGTAGCTGCCAGTGATTCTGTGCCGAATCGTCCCCCTTCTGTAATGTTATTAAATGCCTTAGTTAGCCAAGGTAAGAGGATCGAGGAGAAATGTTTGTAATATCCCGCAGAGTATCCATCCGGGCCTGGTGCCTTGCCCACCTTCGTGGCCTTCAGGGCCGCCGCCACTTCTTCGACACTAATTTGTTCGTCTAACATATCTGTCGCGTCTATGTTTGCTCGTCTGCTTACATTATCCCGGAGGAAGGCCTGGATTGATGCGGGCACGGTGTGTCCTTGCGATGATTCCGTCGGCGTAGGAAGGTTATACAAGGTGTGATAGTATCGGCGGAATTCATTTGCGATGTCTTCAGGGAATGAGGACGTGGATCCCGATGGGAGGCGTATTTTGTGCACCCTCGTGCGGGGGGTGTCGCCCCTCAGGAGGCTTGCCAGAAACTTGCCGCCCTTGTTGGCGTGAGTGTAGAAGAAATTTTTCGAATATTGCAAAGAGCGATGATATTTCCGTGTGATAAGGTCTCTGAGTTGTCGTCTGGCGTTCGTCAATTCTGTTTGTGTGGTATCAATTTGCATCCGTTTGTGCTGTTGTTCCAATTTTGCAATGGTTTCATAGACTTCCGTTAATTCCCGCATCATTGCTTTTCTCTTGCGAGAGGCTATTCTAATGAGAATGCCCCGTATTACGCTTTTGTGTGCCTCCCAGAGTGTAATTGGCGAGATCTGGTCCCCATCATTTTCTTTGAAATATAGTTCCAGTGCCTGCGTGACTTCGTTTATAACCTCAGGGTCTTGAAGTAGGGACTCATTCAGTCGCCAGGTCCAGCGAGCTGGTTTGAATAGAGGTGATTCCAGTTCCACTATCGTCGAACCGTGATCTGACCACGTGGCTGGGCCTATGGTAGCCGACCTGAGTCGCGACAATCCTTCCTGTTGTATCAGTACGTAATCAATTCGCGAGTAGCGATTATGTAATGCTGAAAAGTGGGTGTAGTCTCTAGAATCCGGGTGGAGTGCTCTCCAGCAGTCCACTAATCCCATTTCGCTCAGTGATTTGCGAATTGAGTGAATGCTTGAGGCTGGTAAGCTACTATGGCTTGTTGACGTATCCATCTGGGGGTCTAGTGGAGTGTTAAAATCACCTCCCATGATGATTGCCCCTTCCGCGAAGCCCTTCAGTTTACGCAGAATTCGTCTGATGAATCTGGCCTGGTTTGTGTTGGGAGCATAAATTGACACGAAAGTGTAAAGTTTGTCCGCTATGGTGCCTTTCAGGAAAAGGAACCTCCCCTGCGTGTCGAATATCTTGTCTAATTCCTTGAAGTCCAGATCAGCTGACAGGATGATGGCTACGCCCGCTTTACGAGCCGTGTTGTGGTTGCTGAAGTAATTGTTGGGGTAGTACCGGTTCCGCAATTTAGGTGAGAGGCCTTCTAGGAAATGGGTCTCCTGAAGCATAGCAACAGATATTTGTGTCTTCCTCAAGTCGCGTAGCAGATGTGTGCGGCGCTCGGGAGCATTCAGTCCCCTGCAGTTGAGGGTAAGGACACGTAGTGGCGCGTCGTGGTAGGACGCGGACATCTCTGTAGAGCCCCGAGAGCACGCGGAGAGCTTTGCGTTTGAAACTCACTCCCTTCGCTACAGTTAGCTACAGGGATACGTTGAGGTCCAATCCGTTATCTTATGTCTTTTGGCGTTAACGGGAGCGCGATGCCGGAGAGCTAGACTACGTACCCCCCCACCGGGCTCAGGGTTATCGGTGCTAGGGTTGTCTTGTATATGGGCGACCCCTCCTCCTTTCCTATGCCCCCCTGTACAGACTGGTTGCAAATTCGCTACCGCTTTCGCGACAGTCAAGGACTTATATGACTGGTGTTTGGAGGGTGTGGTTCCCTAGCGTAAATGTTGATGCATGTTTTAAAATATAGAAAAATTAGACATACTCGGCAGACATCCAGACTGCAGTTCACACGCCCAGCTGTTCAACCACAATCACTCACTGACTCACAAAGTACTCATCCATCTCGAGCTCTAAGGTAGCTTATGATTTTAAGTAGATGTGGGAGATGCTTGTGTTTCACGCTAGGCAAGAACTGCTTAACTATTAGTTTCTGCATTGAGGCCTTACATGAATCTGGCCTATACCCACCTGTATAGTGACTACATGCCCACTTGGCATATCTAAGTAGCTCTTTCTGTTGCTTTTGTTCAAGCGGTCTATGATTACCTTTCCTCCCGGTGCACTTTCAACTTCCGTACATTCATTACCATTCGCAATAACTTGCATACTGCCTTCAACCACTGACAATTTCTCTCTGGCTTAGTAGGGAACAATAGTAAAAATATAAAGAATAAGTGAGTTGTTCAGGTCCTTCAATTAACCGATAATAAGTGTCTTTAAGAAGACTGTAAGGCTTAGGCTCCGAAACAAAATATTAGAGGAGAAAAAAAAAAGGTAAATGCTGCATATAAGCTTAAATGAGGCTCGGCTGGCCTGGAACTACCCGGGACCAAGAATCCTATGGAGGGTTCTGTAGTCTAAACTGTTGACTGTCCCTCTTTGCTCCAGACTTCTTCTGTCTGTCTGAGGGGATCCTGCCCGAGTCTCCATGTTGTGCACGCGGGAGCTGCAGGGCTGCCATAAATTTAGTTGGACCCTCTCCTGATCACAATGTGCTCACTTCATCTCTGTGAGGCACTACCTGGGTTCCGGGGCCCCCCACCTGTAGAGAACTCAGTTTCCCTTCAATTGCCTGGTAACCAGCAAGAAACTACTTCTTTCTAGCAGGACTGAGAATAGTAAGTCGTTGGACACTCCTGATACGCTTTGAACGCTCAGTATATGCTTCCTCATTCTTATGTTCATCTTCATCCTCCTCATCCAAGTCATTAATGATGGTTTCCTTTAGATTCATCAACTGCAGATGTCCTGGAAACTTTGTCTCCTATAACTTGTAGTTCATTCTTCTCAACTCTTTTGAAGCACAGCCTGCTCCATAGTTTTCCATCATCCCTTGTGGGCCCATAATCTGTATGTTGAGAGTAGGATAACCAGGCAAGTGCATAGAATAATGGAGAAACATCCCCAAACAAAGGAGGAGGCGTGACAACAAGTTTATTGTACCATGGACAAAAAGCACATATCTTCATCACAGGGTTGTTGTTGTTTTTTCTTGTTCTCCATACAGCAAGAAACATTATGTGCTACTTTTTCTTAGGGAGAGGGTGATCTTTACCAATGGGTAAAGCATATTTACATTTCAGTTACTAACATAATTTATCCACAAATGATCATGTACAGAGCTGCCCCTATGTTGCCGTGGGGTTTCTTTTTTGTTATCCTTTGCCATTCTTTACCCTTTGCCATTCGTAACCAGTTGAATGTGTTTTATCTGAAGACTCTTTGTTCCCTGTGACATAATAATACTGAAACACAAGCACTTTAACCATTCTGTATGCCCGTTGAAAACGTTTAATGAAAAAAGTTATTTACGAAGAAGAATCAGGTACAAGGAATGGGTAACTAAATGGGGGAAAAACAAACCAAACAAAACAAAACCCCACATGATAGTGTCGCTTTTACTTGGTGATGGTGTGTAGGTGACCACGCAGGATTGTGTTTATACGCTTGGGGAAGACGTTGAACTCCTCTATTTATGTTTTCACTTTTGAGATCAAGGTATTTGCTGTCTGCAGAACATTTTATCATCATAGATGATTTGTTGAACCTTCTCTGTGTCAAAATAAAATCTACTGTTACAGAGCAACCAGTCTAAGACTGTTCAGCCTCAACTTTATTACCGTAGCTTGTGCCTTGCCTTTAGCTTTCAGCATTCTCGTGTCTGAAGCTCTTACAATCAAAATGCTATGAAGTAAAATGCTAGTGACTTAGCCAATGATCGATGTGTGTACGGGTTTGTGGTGTGTGTGGGGTTTTTTTTTTTTTTTTGGTGTTTGTAAAGGAATCTCCAGTGATTTTGTGTTTTTAACCGAATACAAAAGAGTATATTTGATTTTTATTGGGATAATATATGGGATTCTTTTTAAAACCACAAAAGTTATAAAACCTGTTAAAATACAGATCTTGAAAAGAAAATATCATTATGCCAAAAGCAAGGGTATTTTGAAAAACTGATAACCATATATAAGAAGACTCTTTTTTTAATTACTCTGAATGTATCTGTTTGCATTATGATCACTAAAGGGAATCTCCAGTGCCAGGAAAATATATCCGTTTTCCTGGCACTGCAGGACCCTTCAGTAACTTACCTGAATCCAGCGCCGATGTCTCCGTTGGCGGGGGAGACCTAATGTGCATTCGCAGCAATGTACGCGCACTAGACCACCCATAAGAAAGCATTGAATAATTCCGACAACACTGGAGGTCCTCGTGCATAGCGTGAGAATGTCCAGCATTGTTTAAAACACTTTTTGTGTTATTAGGACATGGAAGTCCCTCTAGTGGCTGTCTGATAGACAGCCACTAGAGGAGGACTTAACCCTGCAAGGTAATTATTGCAGTTTATAAAAACTGCAATAATTACACTTGCAGGTTTAAAGGTAGTGGGACCCAATGGGCCGAAGTGGTCTGGGTGCCTGGAGTGTCCCTTTAAAGGAACGTTATTGGTACTACAGCTTTATGTAGTGGTTCTGGTGTCTATAGCCTGTCCATGGAGTCTTAGCACTGTAAATACTGCATTTTCAAAGAAAAGGAACTGTTTACATTGCTGCATAGTAACACTGCTAGTGGCAGTTACTCATACGGCCACTATCTATGGGTGCTTTCTAGTACAGGACTTTGGCTCAGTGCATGGCGATGTTGAACGCTCACCATAGAGATGCATTGATTCAATTAGAATATTCTTATTGGCACACTAGGTCTCTTTGCCGCACGTGCTCAAGAGCCTCCCACTGGTTTCTTATGGGAAAGCACTGGTTTTGGATGTGGGACTAACCACAGAGAGTGACGAGGAAGAAAGGGATAAAAAAAATGTAAATAAAATAAAAATTCTCACCTTATACTCAAAGGGGTGCCGGAAACCTAAACACCGAACAGGTGACTATAGCATTGAGAATAAATGTTTGCATTCTTCACTCTATAGTGTTCCTTTTAAGGCAATGGTCCGCCAGGGTCTCTTCACTCAAAGTAATATGTTGTAGCAGTATTAACATATGCAAGGACAGCAGTAGGGTTTGTAAGTATTTGTTTTTTCTTTATCACGGTGCTCTTGATAGGAACATGAGGAGCTTCTGTCTGAGTGGTTTGCAGTTAGTAATCATGTGTGACTTGATAAAGTCCATATTAGTAGTGATTGTAAAGCTTATCTCATGTCTGATTTGCTTTTATCTGTTTCAGTGTCCATTTACAGTATCTGGTTTTATGACAAGAACGACTGCAAGCGCATTGCCCAACTGATGACAGAGTAAGTACAGGGGTAAATATTGCTGTTTCTTGTTTTAGACCATATACTTATCAATAGGTAGAAAGTTTACTAGAGAAATTGGTATAAAACAAAATACAGGACTACCCCCTATCCCTTCTTTGATGACAGTTCTTCTTTCCCCCCCTAGTTTACCTAGTATTTATTGTGATACATATAAATATAAAAATATATATAGTATATAAAATCTCTCCTTGATTGCCTCATGTTCCTCTTTGGCTCTGTTTAAGCTCCTCATGGCTTCAGCTGCTAGGATTCCCTGGTGCTAGAGTGACATGCACAAGAGACTAAAACTTGTTTCTAGAGATGCCGCATCCTGCGAGAAGATTCCTGTTTACGTCAGCAGTTGCAGTTTGAGTGCCAGCATTCGACTATCATAAACTGTGTGACTGTATTTCTTATATTTACTGGGCAGAGCAAGTAACCTCACTTAGATCTGAGAAACATAGGTTCAAATCCCAGTCAAACCACCGTGTCTGCAAGTGTCATTGAACAAAACATATAATATATAGCCGCCTACCTAAAAATCCTCATAGATTGCAATCTTGCATAAGCAGGGCCTTCTTCACCTCTCAAAATCCCCTTTCAATTATTTTAAAGCATTGTAGAATGTTGGTGCTATATAAATAATATAAATGTCTTCCCATTGGAACATTTTGCCTATATTCCACTCTTACATGCAACAATGTTGGTACTTTGTCTCATTCTAATTGTTTATAATTCCAGTAACATTGCAACTATATTATTTTCATAATGAAATTCGATTACCCCCTCCCCCCCAATTTTTTTTTTTTTTAATGCTGTGTTTAATAACAAGGATGTGACTTTTCAAATGACTACAAATAGATATATGTTTAGTAATTGTTTTACTTCAAGGGAGCTGGGTTTTTATGTACTGTTTAGTGTACTCATTTAAGGAATCCTTTCTATGCATTATATCTCTTGATGAGATATAAAAACATTAGATATTTCACGAAAACTTAAGCGTGATCATCGCACTATTAAGAGATTTGTGGCTGATTCAGAGCACAGACGGATTCGTGCAGATAAAGGCACATTGAGGAAGATTTCTGCCAGATCCATGCATCGGATCAAGAGAGCAGCTGCTACAATACCATTACATAGCAGAAAACAGATATTTAAAGCTGGTGGTGCCTCTAGAGTCCCACGGACATCAAGGTGTAGAGTCCTTCAGAGTCTTGCAACTGTGCATAAACCTTCTATTTGTCCACCAAAAACCAATGCTCACAAGCAGAAACGGCTGCATTGGGCAGAAAAATACATGAAGACTAATTTTCAAACAGTCCTGTTTGCTCATGAGTTCCGTGCAACCCTGGATGGTCCAGATGGATGGAGTAGTGGATGGTTGGTGGACGGCCACCCTGTTCAAACAAGACTGCGACGTCAGCAAGGCAGTGGTGGAGTCATGTTTTGGGCCGGAATCATGGGAAGAAAGCTGGTTGGCCCCTTTAGGGTCCCCGAAGGTGTAAAGATGACCTCTGCAAAGTATGTGGCGTTTCTGACTGACCACTTTCTTCCCTGTTACAGAAGGAAGAACTATGCTTTCCGTAATAAAATCCTCTTCATGCATGACCATGCACCATCTCATGCTGCAAAGAATACCTCTGCATCAATGGCTGCTCTGAGGATAAAAGGAGAGAAAGTCATGGTGTGGCCTCCATCCTCCCCTGACCTCAAGAGAACCTTTGGAGCATCCTCAAGCAAAAGATCTATGAGGGTGGGAGGCAGTTTACATCCAAACAGCAGCTCTGGGAGGCTATTCTGACATCTTGCAAACAAATTCAAGCAGAAACTGTCCAAAAACTCACAAGTTCAATGGATGCAAGACTTGTGCAGCTGCTATCAAATAAGGGGTCCTATATTAAAATGTAATGTGACCTGTTAAAATGTTTAAAAAGTTAAAATGTTGTTATAAGTTTGATTTGAAATAGCTTTTGATTTCAGTAAATATGCTGCAAACACAACAAATGACAATTTTCAGTTCTTTACAACCTATAAAGTGTTGTGAAACTTACTGTGCGTAATAATTTGGAACAGTGCATTATAAGTTTTTTTGTTTTTTTTTTATGTTTAACAAAAATACTGTTATTAGGAGGTTTGTTCAATAAAATTTGAATTGTACTCTTAATAGTTGATAATATGAGAATTATTCTGACTGTTATTTACATCAATTATTCAGGTAAATGAGAAAAATATAATTTGCATAATAATTGGAACAGGGTGTAGTGGCTCTTTTGCAGGAAACTTGGAATATATAGTAGTTTGGTAGACCATGTGCAAAAAATTTAAAACTTAAAGTCACAATGACTTAATAATTAAGATATTGATTTGTAGAATCCCCAAACTTTCTACCTGGATTGACCGGTCACCTTTCAGGCTGATTGCTGATAACTGGCACCAAAATCTGCATTGTTAAAGTTTTGAAAAAGTAACACAATTTCTTAACAAATTATGGCATTAAAGGTGCAATATAGTGCCAGGAAAACAAACTCATTTTCCTGGCGCTAAGTTATTCGGTCTGTTTCTCTCCCACCTTCAGGGCCCCCCTCCCGCTGGCCTGAAAGGGGTTAAAACCACTTACCTTAATCTAGCGCCGGGCTCCCTCGGCGCTGGTGACCTCTCCTCCCCCTGCCGACGTCCGCTCCGAATGCGCGACAAGAGCCGCGTGTGCATTCAAACCGCCCATAGGAAAGCATTACTCAGTGCTTTCCTATGGATGTCCAGCGTTTTTCTCAGTGATTTTTTATTTTTTTTATTTTTTTTTATTTTTTGGGCACTGAGAGTCATGGACGCGTCCTCTAGTGGCTGTCAGGGAGACAGCCACTAGAGGCTGGATTAACTCTCAATGTAAACATAGCCGTTTTTCTGAAACTGCTATGTTTACAGCTGCAGTGTTAGCGGGACCTGGCACCCAGACCACTTCATTGAGTTAAAGTGGTGTGGGTGCCTATAGGGGTACTTTAACTGAACATGCTAGTAGCAATCCCTCCTAATAGCAATCACTCCTATACATCTTAGGTAGCCACCACATGGAATCAATAAAATTCCAGCATTTACATCGCTGTTTCGGATAGGAGTGGGATTGCTGACATTCTTATCAGCCAGCCCAGTATTGTACTTCTTTGGTAGATTACTTACTAAATATCATTTCACCCACACATTGCTATGTTGTTTTCAATTGCCAGTTAAATAGTACACACATTAAAGGTTGCTTAGCTTAAAAATAATAATGAACTATACACTACTCATGACAAAAATAGAAAGGCATGTGTTATACTCTGTGGCAACAAACTGACTTGTGTACCTGTAACCCAAAGCATAAAAAAATGTGGATATCAGAAAGTTATTTTTACTAGAGATCGACAGATTATCGACCTGGCAGATATTCAGCATTTTCTGCAATATTGGTAATGGCATATAATGATACAGAATATTATGTTTTTGCGAGTAGTCATCCAGTTGCTGTTTAACCCCTTAACGACACTTTACGGAAATTTTCCATTTAGGCAGACCTACCATTAGGGGCGCACAACGGAAAATTCATTTACCTAAGTTAACCCCAGCTGTCCCTGCAGCTGTGATCGCTCTGACAGGACTTCTGATCCACCTCCCTGTGCTTCTGCGTTCAGTGTGAAGTGCAGGGAGACGAATCAGCAGTGATCTAGTTTAAAATCCCACCCCTCCTTTACCCATTTTAAATAAAAAATGAACCCCTTCCCTGCCAATTGATCAGACTTCATTGATCAATTGGCAGGGGCTACATTATACTGTGATCTGGTTTTTGTTAACCCCTGAGAGTTAATTTTTTTTTTTTAAATGTATTAATTTAAATATTTTTTAAAAAGCTATTTAGCTTGCTGGGGTGGGTGGAAGTTAGTGGGGAATTGGAGAATTTGGTGTTGGGCTTGCTAAGGTTTAACATTAAAAAAAGTTTTAATAATAATAATAAAATAAAAAATCCCACCCCCCTTTACCCAATCCTAATAAAAATTAACCCCTTCCCTGCCAGCTGATCACTGCCTACAGTGATCAAAATGCAGATCACAGTATTATACAGTGACCTGATTAAAACAAAAAAAAACCTAAGGGGTTGAATTTATTTAATTTAAATATTGTTAAATTATATATTTTGGTGGGTGGGAGTTATGGAAAATTCGGGAATTTACTGTAAGTGCTGCCTTCTGCTAGGGGTTAACCATAGGCGTGCGCAGCCTATTGCATTAGGGTGTGCACCCTAAAGCACAAGCACACGCCGCATATATATGTATGTATGTATGTATGTGTGTGTGTGTATATATATACATACACATATACACACACTGCTGTGTGTGTGTGTGTGTGGGTGCTGTTAGTGTGATGTGTGTGTGACGATGCTGGTAGTGTGCTATGTGGGTGAGGGTGTTTGTGTGTGCGTGCTTGTGAGGATGCTGTTAATGTACTGTGTGTGAGGGTGCTGTGTGTGAGCGCTTGTGAGGGTGCTGTTAATGTACTGTGTGTGAGGGTGCTATTTGTGTGTGAGGGTACTGGTAGTGTGCTGTATTTGTGAGGGTACTGGTAGTGTGCTGTGTGTGTGTGTGTGAGGGTGCTGTTTGTGTGCTGTGTGTGAGGGTGCTGTATGTGTGTGAGGGTGCTGTATGTGTGTGAGGGTGCTGTATGTGTGTGAGGGTGCTGTGTATGTTTGTGGGTGCTGAATGTGTGTGGGTGGGTGATTGTGGGGGTGGAGGTGGGGGTACATTACTTGCTATCCCCCCTCCCTTCTTACCTTTTGTAGGGAGGGGGGATCGTGCTGCTGCTTCCTTCCCTGGTGGTCCAGTGGAGGAGGGGATCGTGCTGCTGTGATCCCTGGTGGTCCAGTGGAGAGTGAACTCTAACCCCTGTGGGGCTAGAGTTCACTCTCGCGAGATTAGAGCGTTGCCGTGGCAATGCTCATATCTCACGAGAGGAACCCGGCGGAGCTGCCGGCAAGAGCTCCGCCGGGTCCTCTCCTGCCTCCCTCCCTGCATGTGGGTCAGTGGGGAGGGAGGCTGAGAGCAGAGCCGGCGCTCGGATAGCGCCGGCTCTGCATGAGCCGACAGGGGAGATCCTGAGATCTCCCCTGCCGGTCTCAATATACATGGGCGTGCCGCGGGGATTAGGGTGTGCCCAGGCACACCCCGTGCGCACGCCTATGGGGTTAACGGTAAAAAAGTGTTTATCCAAATTTTAAGTGTAAAAAAGTTTTAAGAAAGTTTAACGCTGTTACGGCGTTCTATGCCGTCCCCATTATAATGGGCTTTAATGCGGTACTTCTGCCACGATACTCCCATGGCAAATCAGGCCCCTATAGCTGGCTGTGGATCTGCCAGCAGGGGGACTGTCTGGGCTGTCAGACAGTCCTCCTGCTGGTGGGTAGTGTAAAAAAAATAAAATAAAAATAATTTATTAAACGTGTGTGTGTGTGTGTGTGTGTGTGTGTGTGTGTGTATATATTCTCTCTATATATCTTATATAGATGTAACGTCATACGTAGTGTATTTTAATATTAATATAAGTAAATATATTAGTATTAAAATACACTTAGAATGAAGTTACATTTATTTATATATGTATAACTAATAAAATAATAAAATATTTTTAAAACTTTAAAATATATATATATATATATATATATATATATATATATACACACACATATAAGGAAGCCTGATTAAAGTCCTAAACATGGACTGAAATGTTGAGCAGCTATTTTTAAAGATGGATGAATAAGTTTACTTTTAATCACCTATTGGAATCCAAGAGTGCTAGTCATCTTCTCTATTGGTATGTGTAATCCCCCCAGATTGCAAGCACCCAGTTTAACTACTTTGGAGCCAGTGTGCAAGGACATTGTGGCTTATTATTTTATATATATATAATATAACATTTTTTGTATCCTGTATAATAAAGCAGCATTTATTTTTCAAAGTATAAGACTCTAGAGTGCTCTCTTCTTGGATACTACGTACTGGTTGGAGATTGTTTGCACCGGAGCATGAAAAGACCGGGAACCTTGAGTGCTGGGACCTGGGAGTATATATATGGTTTTGCATCTTTTCCTAAATTGTGTTACAAGCAGTTGTATACTGCAAACACAGATTAAAAGGAATCCATGTTTAAAATGGAATGAGGCAAAAATGTGATTCTTTGTTAAACTAATTTGCATATGCCCACCCAGAATCCTTTGCGGTTGTAACATCACTGCAGATTTGGGATTTCTGTGGGAAAAGCAAGTCTTATGACTTGACTGGTGTGCAGATTTTTGCTTAACATTGTATTAACTGTGTGTGTGTATGTGTGTGTATGTATGCATGTATGTTGGTAACAAAATACACTTAGAATGACATTCTATATATATCTATATAATACACAAACAAATTGCCATGCGCTTGGTTACTCCAACCAAGACCATTTCAGTGATTTTTATTATTATATTTATAGAGCGCCATCAAATTCCGCAGCGCTTTACAATGGGTGGACGAACAGACATGTAATTGTAACCAGACAAGTTGGACACACAGGAACAGAGGGGTTGAGGGCCCTGCTCAATGAGCTTACATGCTAGAGGGAGTGGGGTAAAATGACACAAAAAGGTAAGGATAGTATTAGACTAGTTACAGTTGCAAGAGAGGAATCAGTTGGGAGCTAGTAACAGTTTAATTGATACGCTTTTATGAAGAAGTGGGTTTTTAACGATTTTTTTGAAGGAGTGCAGACTGGGTGAGCATCTAATGGAGGAGGGAAGCGAGTTCCACAGGAACGGTGCAGCCCTCGAGAAATCTTGAAGGCGAGCATCAGATTTGGGAGTACTGACAGAAGATAGACGTAAGTCTTCAGCAGATCGTAAGGGCCTAGCCGGGACATTCTTGTGTATAAGGGATGATAGATAGGTGGGAGCAGCATTATGTAGAGACTTGAAAGCAAGAACCAGAATTTTAAATTGAGCTTTATATTTTATAGGTTATAAGTGGTGGTGGTGCCTGAAGTCTTTATATGCAGCGTTTTGACACACAATTCTGCAGATACTGAGTTTAACCCCATTGCTGCCAGAGTTGTAACTCCACTTCCAGTAGCGTAATTGGGTTGTCATTAGGCAGCCCAGTACAAGAGTTCCGGGTGGCTAATATCAATTCTGTGCATATTAGACATCTGTCTTCAGCATATATAGTATAAAATTACGCACACCCAGAAGGCTGCACTAACCTGGTCATGCATACATTATAGGGTGCTGCTGGGGCCAATTTATACCACATATAAAATCCAGCGCACTCGCTTATTCACTAAACAGCAATTTCAGAATAGTTTTATTTAAAAACACCTCACCTAGGCAAAAAAATTATTGGGGTTTAATTACAGTATATGATCATACATTGCATAAGCCTGCCACAACATCAATAGATATCTCTATATCTACAGGGGTATTGCTGTACTCAGACGACATAGCTGAACAACATATGAAGTATTATACAGTCGTAGCACACATAAGGTTTGCAAAATATACTGTGCAAACTCACTTTGTCAAAAAGGCAGAAAAAATGCTTATTACCACTACACTTAGTGCAAGCTAGCTGAAAAATAATCCCACGCTAAAGTTCAAAATATGTCTTTTGAAATACCCTGGGATGTCTTCTTTAAGAAATGGTATGCCTTTCTGGTGTAGCTGGAATATGTAGCCTGCTCAAGTGCTCCAAAGTGGGACATGGACAAAATTCACCCTTAAAAACCTGAACTTGTCATGTCTTTTACAGCACTGTAACTTCACAAAATAGTGTCTAGGTCATACATTGGGCATATTGTTTCTCGGAAGATGTAACTGAGTATAATTTGAGGGATTTTTATGACAGTGGCCCATATCAACTAATACATCAAGTAAGAAATACAAAAACGCAACATGTATGTAAACATGCAATTTTTTTCTCCCCCTTACAAACATTGACGTACATTGGTGAAAAAATGGTGACAAGTTAAGGCACAATATACACCATATAAGATACCTTGGGGTGTCTGCTTTATGAAAACCCTTTGTTGGGTTATTTGAACAGTCAAACAACTATAATACCCCAACATGACACATAGGCCCATCATATCCATCTATGAAAATTCTAACCTGTGGAAACTGAAATAGCATTGTCTCTTAGGCATAGTAGCTTCACAGAAGAGTGCCAGAGGCATACAATAGGGGTATTGTTATAATTAGCAGATGTAGCTGAACACAATATGGTGTTCTGTGCAGGAACAGCACACACCAGCTTTACAAAATACACATTACAAAAACCTTGTTATATGTGTGTATGCCAAAATAAAGAAAAAACACAATCTTACTCCAATATTTCGCAGAGATTGGCGATGAAATGGCTACGTAAAAAGTTTCCCCCCATTTTTTGGCGGCATTAATGAGAATTTATCTATGTATATGTGACGTAAAATTAATGCCCTTTTTGCCCTCTAAAAAATGGTATATAACATGTTGGTGCAATAAATGACAGAGATGCAAATTGCGTTTGAATACAAACCGCAAAAAAATGCAAAAATGGCCTGTGTCCTTAAAGGACCACTATAGTGCCAGGAAAGCATACTCGTTTTCCTGGCACTATAGTGCCCTGAGGGTCCCCCTCCCGTCTGGCTCTGGAAGGGGGAAAGGGGTTAAATCTTACCTTTTTCCAGCACTGGGCGGGGAGCTCTCCTCCTCCGATCCTCCTCCTCTCCTCCCCGTCGGTTGAATGCGCACGCGCGGCAAGAGCTGCGCGCGCATTCAGCCGGTCACATAGGAAAGCATTATTAATGCTTTCCTATGGACGCTTGCGTGCTCTCACTGTGATTTTCACAGTGAGCAGCACGCAAGCGCCTCTAGCGGCTGTCAATGACAGCCGCTAGAGGATTTGGGGGAAGGCTTAACCCATTCATAAACATAGCAGTTTCTCTGAAACTGCTATGTTTATAAAAGAATGGGTTAACCCTAGAAGGACCTGGCACCCAGACCACTTCATTAAGCTGAAGTGGTCTGGGTGCCTAGAGTGGTCATTTAAGGGTAAGTCCAGTTTTTGAAACTGCGTCCTTAAGGGGTTAAACATCTGTACAGTCTCTGATAAAACCACTTCAGGCTGAGAAGTCCACTTCCTCATTGTTCTTGCTGTAAAAAAAGAGAGAAAAATGAATTTGCCTTCAGATTGTCTCCTTTATTCCAAATGTGTGACATTGCGTCCTATTTATGAATAGATTTCTAGACAATGGTTTGTATTGACCGTAAATATATTTGTACAATGCTATCATATCCCCTCTGCGGTGCTGTTTTTCTAAATTAAAAAGATTTATATTTGTTAACCTTTCTTCATAACTAAGATGCTCTATTATTCCTGTTATTAACTTTTTATTTTTAAATGCTTTATTGTTGTTGTGCGATAAAATTAGTCAGGCCTGACATGCTACAATAGCAATCTCAGGCAACATGAAGCTTACATATCATGACATGGAGTACGTTCTTTTTTATGATTAGTAAACATGTTCTTGTAAGATATGTCAGAAATTAGGTGAGTATGAGTAGCAGTTAAATCAGCAGATGTGAACTGATAACTTAGTCAAGATAAGATTAAACAAAATTAATAGCATGCTTTAAAGTACTAACCGTCTTTAAAGAGGAATAAAACATGCTTAGTAACAACCTAAAGTAGTTTTAATGCTACTGGGTACTGAGTACAGCATGAGGAGTGAGTAAAGGAAAGGACAGGAACCCCTGCTTAGGAAAGACCGGCAGATGGTTTATGTTATGCAGAGTCTACACTTTCATTGCCTCGTGAATTACCAAACACCTCAGATATGATATATCCGTGCCCCTGGTGTCTTGCTTCATGGTACCCTTTTGGTTTAAAATAAAAATGGAAAAAAGGAAAAACGCATTTCTGAAACTGAGGTGCCTTTTTGTTCTGTTTTCCAGAGCCCAATAATTTGAGTTTTAGTCAATCTGCAAGCTCTTTCTCTTCTGAGCTCAAAGGAATACAGTGGATTTCTAAGACCCGCAGAGATGGCAGTTTGAATGATTGATGCATGTAATAATTGTTTGGACGGCATGTTTTGGGCTAGCCATCAGCTGTTCTGTACAAGGCATCAGACATGACATGCTTCTCCCTCGCTACGCTTGTTTTGTTGATTTTTAATATGGGTTTTATTAAAAAGGATTAGAATGGAGATACGATTGTTGTTGTTTTTTGTCTTTTGGTTTATTTATTTTTGTCTCAATCCACCCCCGTACATTGTCATGGTCCGATTTTTGTCATGTTAAAGATTTTAGTTGGTGATGCAGAGGCAAAGGGGGAAAACAAAAACAGGTCAGCTAGGGATTTTTTTAATTTGCTAATATGTAGCCGTAATGACAGTGGAAATTACAAATAAACATTTTGTGTATTTTAAAATGTACTGATTTGATAGACTTGTGGATAAATAACATTGTTTCACATTTTAAACTGTGCATAATAAAAAAGTAACCCCATTTCAGAGGGGCTAGTACCTAAAGAGATGATCTGGGTTATAATTGTTTTTTTTAAATTATTTTTATTATGCAAGGCAGTTAAAATTATATTTAAAAAATTTACAAATAATTTCCTGACTCTTCTGGAGGTTTTTCAGCTAATTTGATTCAACCTCTTGCCCAGAGGTAAATTCCATTTTTGTTCAGTGTCCAATAAAATGCTTCTCCAACAGCAGGGGTATCCAAACCTTTTTCAAAGAGGGCCAGATTTGATGGTGAACATGCGTGCGGGCCGACCATTTTGCCTGACACTCTTTGAACCATTAAAATTAAATGCAAATTAATGCAAAATTTATTGCAAACGGCATACTTTACATTTCATCTTTTATTCTGTCTCTTTATTCTGTCCCTTCTCTCTTTTATTCTGTTCCTTCTCTCTTTTTTTTATTCTGTCCCTTCTTTTTTTATCCTCTCTTTATTCTGTCCCTTCTCTCTTATTCTGTCCCTTCTCTGTTTTATTCTGCCCCTTCTCTGTTTTATTCTGCCCCTTCTCTTTTATTCTGCCCCATCATTCTCTGCACCTTCTCTTTTATTCTGCCCCTTCTTTTATTCTGTCCCTTCATTCTCTGCCCCTTCTTTTATTCCGTCCCTTTATTCTCTGCCCCTTCTTTTATTCTGCCCCTTCATTCTCTGCCCCTTCTCTTTGATTCTGCCACTTCATTCTTTGCCCCTTCTCTTTGATTCTGCCCCTTCATTCTCTGCCTCTTCTCTTTTATTCTGCCCCTTCCCTCTTTTATTCTGCCCCTTTATTTTCTCACCCTTCCCTCTTTTATTCTGCTCCTTCCCTCTTTAATTCTGCCCCTTCCCTCTTTAATTCTGCCCCGTCCCTCTTTTATTCTGCTCCTTCATTCTCTGCCTCCTTGGAGAAGGAACCAAATCCCGCGATGTCCAAGAGATCGCTAGAACTCAGACTGAGGTCGCTGCACGTCCGTCTGCGTTCTCGCGATCTCTTGACCCCAGTGGAGCCCCGTGTGCTGCTCAGGACCGTGGCGTTCAAAGATCCAGGGATCTTGAGCAGCGCTCGGGGATTCACTGGGGGCCACAACAAATAGATTAGCCGAATAACCGTGGGGCCGTATTAAACCGGAGCGCGGGCCGGACTTTAGACATGACTGTCCTAGAGAAACACTGTAAATGCAGAGACCACATTTTGTAAACTATGGAGAGAAGAAAAAAAAAAAAAAAATTATATATAATATTCAATAATTAAATAGCTTTCTCCTCTCAAAACAACTTGTTAAACCTTTGCAATAGATGCAGATATATCTTTAACTACAACACACCCTCCTTTTTCTCGTTGGTCTTATCCAAAATTCTCCTTTGAAGCCATATTGGTTTCCTATACGGGTTCCATCTTGGACAACTTGCGGAACTGTGGCTAATGAAGCAAATCTCATTTCTTAGGATCATACTGCTGTCTACTTCCTTAGACTTCTTCCCCATTGGGTCAGCTTTTGCTATGTATCAGAGAATAACAGTCAATCCTTTGGTATATCTTGGAGCAAATATCTCAATGGAGCTCAGGTAAAATCCATTTCTGCAAGATCAGGGCTTCCCCAACTTTTATAGGCCACGACCCACTTTTGAAAACCGGAATTTTTCCAGACCCACTTGCTTTTAAAGCATATTTTAAAAATGAATAAACTTGGCACATCATGGCAGCTTTAGATGCATAAAATTGGCACACCATGACAATCTGCTTTAGAGGCATAAACTAGGCATATCATGGCAATTAGTTTACACATAAAACTGGCACACCAGGGCAATCACATTCAGATGCATACAATTGGCACACAATTGCAATCGGTTTTAGATGCATAAAACTAGAACATAATGTCCGCTTTAGATGCATACAGTTGGCACACCATGGCAACCCACTGTAGATGGATAAAATTGGCACATCATGGCAATCGGTTTTAGAGGCATAAACTTCGCACATCATGGCAATCTGCTTTAGATACGCACTTGGCAGATTTAGAGGCATCATTTTGGTATACCATGGCAGATTTAGAGGCAGAAACTTGACTTGACATATGGCTGTTTTAGAGGCATAATTCTGGGATATCATGGCAATCCGAGGCATACAACTGGTTACTCACAGACTCTGGCAGAATCAAAAGCGCTGTGTCCCTCTCTTTCATCCAGGCATCTTGCATTGAGTATCCCAGTGGTAGATCCCCATCTTTAGGATAACTTCAACAATGCTATGCCAGCTGGGGATCTACCATTTGCCCATCATTGCAGGGTTGTATTTGTGAGCAGTATTTGAGTGTTTATATGGAATATGTGTGTGAATATATGTTAGTGTGTGTGTGTCCACCTGCATTCAGACACACATGCAAATACACACACACACAGACACAGCAATACACACACACTCATGTACACTCAGATACACACTGATGCACAATACACACATGGATACACAGTCACACACACTGACAAAAAGGGCACACAGATAAACATACACACAGAAACAGGAGCGGAGAGTGACAGTGTGTGTGCAGAGGGAGGTGATGGTGACTGTGAGGTGGGTGAGGGTGACCGGGTGAAGGAGGTGAGGGTGACCTTGTGGGAGGGGTTAGGGTAACCGTGGAGGTAAGGGTGACAGTGTGGGGGGTGAGACTGATGGTGACCAGGCCAGCAATTACAATATGTTTTATGCAGTCTCTGGTGATCCAGTGGTCTCCCCTCCTTCCCTCTTACCTAGTGGTCAGGTGGCCTTTGCCAGCTGCAGACCAGGCAGATATTGTCTTGCGAGCTCTGGCACGTGACGTTTTAGAGTGTTGCCACAGTAATCCACTGCAAAGCTTTGTGATTGGTGGAGTCTGCAGCTCTGCCTCCACCAGACGATGTGCAGGGCTTTTTCCTTGTTACCAAGGGGCTCCGCACCCAGAGACACACATTGTAAGCTGCTGTGCCCCCTCTTGGTGTCAGGCCCTTGGTCATGGACAGAGAGCACTACTAATCAGTTTGCAGACTCTTTCCCCAGTCACTGGCGACCCTGGATGCGTGGGTCCACGCAACCTACACTTTGGGAAACTCTGTTCTAGATCAAGTCCAAAATGTAAAATAGGCTTTTTAGGCTGTTTATTTTTATTTTTTTTTGTTTTGTTTTTTTGGTCTTTTCATATGGACACATTTTTAGGCAACTGATCTATTAAAATACTGTTGCACGTATTGATTTTTTTGTTTTTATTATTATTCTGTTACCATATGTCTTGTTTGAGATGACTGTGGTTAGAAAACCAATCATTTATTTAATGTTTTGTATCTTCAGTGTAGTATCGCTAGAATCTGAGAGTGTGAGGGCGAGGACCAGTCCCCTTGTAACAAATGGTGGAGCAGACCAACCAATTGACATCTTGGAGATGCTAAGTAAAGCCAAGAATGAATATGAAAAGGTGAGGAAATCTTTTTATGTAGAGGTGAAATTTTGCATACTATAATAAATAAAACCTTGCAAATGTTTGGTGCATCTTGCGAAACAGTAAATTGAAAAAATGTAGCCACAGTATGTAAGCTGTTTAAGAAAAATAAAATAAAATTAGCCAACAAGCAGACTCCACTCACATTGCTGCTGCCAGTATGCGACTCCGGAGTCCAGCCTCTGGTATACCCCCAATGGCGCCGTCCGCGCCCTGTGCCAAAGTGGATCCTCCTGCTACTCCTTGAAACCCTGTGAAGGTGGAGCACGTTGATGTCGCGTCTGAGTGTGACATGGCGTTGTGTGCCTCCTTGTACCTCCAGGTCCTCCACTGTCCAGGAGCGGCCATCGCAACACTGATCCACACACACACACACACACTGACCCACACACACACACATAGACAGACGCACACATTTACACATTCTTGCACACACTCACAAATATTTACAGTACATTCCAAGTAATCTATTTAATGGTTTTTTTTTTAATGCCAGTGTGCAGATATGTGTGTATTAAATAATATACACGTCTTACTGCAAAATATATTTCTAAATTTCTGTGAGGAAATTCTGTATCGTACTGTCATAAGAATTTGCATTTCTTGTCCTCTTTAATTTTAATGTTTTGTTTAATGTAAGCCATGCAGGGGTCTCATTAAGCAAAGCACAAATCTGCACTGGCTGTAATAATTAAAGGCAAGCAATGAGTAAGGGAAGTGCTTACTTAGCCGATACGTTCCAGATGGATCATAAAATAATCCTGTTGAGCCGCCCACGCAAGATTGGCCCGGTGTCAGACTGGCAATGCCACAAAGGCACAGAGATTTATTAAGGACCGAGTGACTTAATCTAGACTTCCAAATACAGTTTAATCCTCCAAGTACTTGCTGTCCCTGTGCAAACAGGAGTGTCATTCTGAGGCCTTTGAAACCATGCCTGCCATCGTAACAAAAAAGATATTGTGTTAGACGTGCAATCGTGGGCCAATCGTTTTTGACTTTTTGTTTTTTGTTTGTTTTTTGTTTTTTACAAAAATGTCTGGACATGGGTAGCTTAACTCTGTACTCAACCCACTGTCAGTGTGTGTCTGAGAAATAACATTTAAAGCAGGATGTTAACTGTCAAAGCGCTACAGGGGTGAATGCTAGCTGCTTGACTCATTGCATGCTAAATTTCACTGAAGCACAATGACAGAATTGCGTTGGTCCTACAGGACCCGTGTAGCATCTAGAAAACCAGAGTTCTTAAAACAGTTCTGTATATCTTTTACATGCCATGTGAGTTTTAACTAACCTATGACGTATCTAAAACGTCAGTACCTGCTGTCTGATAATAACCACTACTTTACACCTTTTTAGTTAGATGAAGCTCTGCGCCTACAATCTTGATGTGGTGTGGACATTAAGGATTGTTAAAAAATTTATTTATTTTAAAATTTGTTTTAGATTAACATTTTAACAATGTTTAGTGGTGACTGGCTGGCATAAGGTATTACTTCACTGAACAAATACAGAATAAATAGAAATCACTAGTTGGTAGATATACCCCCTATGAAAACTTGAGTGCATTTAATTATATGAAATTTGGGGGTTTATCTAAACGCAGGTTGCTAAACCTGCAGTCCTCCTGTCTGCTGCCTTTGCAATCCCTCCCCTTCTAAACACGCCCAGACTTTCTGTGGCTGTCAAATCACAGATGTCCCAATGCAGCTCAATGAGAAGTCTTTCCAGGGCAGGTGCTTTGGGCAATTGCTGCCTCTTGAGTTTAGCTCCACTGAGCTAACCAAACCAGGAGTTAACAGGACCGGTTGTTTCATTCAGAGTCAATGCGGTGTAACCAAGTTGATTTATAAAAGTGTCACTTTCTATTGAAATCTGCACTTTTTGCAAAATAAAAAGAGGACATACTTTTCACACAGCAAAGCTTTCAGCAAGCTAAATTGCTTCAAGGTTCTAAAATATTCCTTGAATTTAAACATCCATATTATTGTCCCCCACTCTCTATTACTAAAAAATGATTCGGGTATTAGGAAATAAGGTAAGAGAAAATGCTGAATTGAATCCAATCTCAACACAATGAATTTAAATATGCACATTTAAAAATAAAAATTTGTGTTTGCTTTAGGGTCATGTAGTAAATGATCAGACTACAACGTCTGGGGTACAGAAGAATGTAAGGATGATCAAAGCAGACCCTGTGGAAACATCAGAACCCCCTAGTTCTTCTCAAGATAAGGTACACATGGCTTTCATAAGTCACAACAAATTGTTTTTACCTGTAATTTGCCAGTTGCCTTTTTTTTAATTAAATTGTATTGTTTTTATTTATATTTATTGGTGTGTTGTATGAACGCCGTTGCCATGTTGTGTAGCTAGTTTCATGTTTTTAAAGTGTATGATGATATTAAGTTGAGTGGAGAAAGTATCAAGTGGTAAAAAGGGAATTTTACTCTTTTATTTATTTATTTTTCTTCTTCTTCTATTCCACACCGCCCCGCCTGGGCTGATAATTAATTATGAGATGACAATGACCTTAAGTACATACAGGCAAAAGTAGCTTTAGGACAACTCTGTGAAAGTTCTTGAATGACTCAGTCAGAGCTCAGACTTAATCCAATCGAACATGATTTGGAGAGCACTGAAAATGGTCAGAGCTTGAAAGGATCTGCACAGATGAATGACAGAAACTGCCCAAATCCAGGCTTGCAAAACCTGTTGCATCCTACCCAAAAAGGCTTGTGGCTATAATAGCTGCAAAAGGTGCTTCAACCAAGTACGGAGTTAAGGGTCTGAATACTTGTACTTATATGGATGTTGTTGTTTTTTCTGTTCCATATATTTGCAATGGTGTACAAAAACAAAAAAAAAAACTTTTTTTTTTTTTTGGGTAATAAGATTTTCAACAAATATATATATTTGTTCATATTACACACAAAACTCAGAAGTCTTCATTTTTTTATTTTGGTTTTCTTTTTCAAGTACAAAAATTCTCAACTTTTTTTTATTATTGTTATTATTATTGTATGACCCCCAACTCAAAAAAACAAAAAAGAAATTGCAAGAGTGCCAAAAACCACACCATTTGAATTAATACTTCATTTGACAGGTTTGTTATACCTTGGAAACAAATTCATCACTATACAACCTTGTTGAAGCTGAAGTTAACAGTGACAGACTGATCCCCTAAAGAGTGAGAGTTTCTGGATGTCCAGTAATGATGTGCCCAGTAATACTCTGGTCCTTGCTTGTAATTTTCCCTTAAGTAAGACATTCTGTTTAAGTGTTATTGTAATTATCAACCCATTATCTGCTCCCAGTATTTCCAATGACTACTAACCATCGGTGAGTAAATGGACTCCCGATCCTGGTGGTGTCACAGAACTTGGTTATACAAGACTTCTAATGTAAAGCTCTGCAAAAAGCCATTCGCCATCTTGATGCAATCATGATACCTATTCTTAGACTTTTCAACAACACTTTTATATTGATTGGATCAGTGAAAAGGGGCACTATATCTTTCAATAAACACTCAAGTTTCAGCAGTTGCAATTCTACCACAGAGGAGTTATCAACACTTAGTCATTTTAGGTACTGAATTCCATTAAACACTTCTGTAACAATTAACCAATTCCCTGATAGTGTTTGCACAAGAGCAGAATGAACATCTACCCTGACATGACGGCGCAAATAACATTCCCTGTTAATAATTTAAACCAGGGATGCCCAAAAGGTAGATCTCCAGATGATGTAGAACTACCACTTCCATTATGCTTTGTATGCCTTTAGAATGACAAAGCATCATGGAAGCTGTAGTTTTAAAACATTTAGGGATCTTTCTTTTGGGCACCTGTGATTTCAACGAATTACAATAAGGACACATAAGTTCTGTAACTGAAGTGTAACAATAACCTGTAAATACACAAGTGCAGTATGGGAAATGACTGTTTTAGTGGTACCACATATTAGGTTAGTGACCTGCTATTGCATATTTGGCTATCAAACCTTGATCTGAAAGCCAGGTTTTCTGATTAACCTCAAAAGTCTATTGATTCAGCATTCCAAAATATATGTATAAATCACAGGTTCTGTCCCACAATGTGTTTCTATAGCTGTGTTATGGGCAATAAAATGGATTGTGATAAGTCAAAAGACTGAAAATATTATCGGTTTCCAAAGATGGATTTTAAATTAACCCTGAATTAGCGGAGTGGCTGCTAGAGAAAAAAATACCTTGAATGCTGATGATTTTAAAGGACATTCTAATTGCTGTATCTGTTAATAGAATAGGGCTTCAAACAGTTACCCATTGTCATTAACCATGTTCTCTAATGACTGCTTTAGTCATGCAGTATTATTGAGATTATTCTGAAGATCCATCTCTGCGTATATGAAGTGGGAGCATTTTTATGTCCCTTTTTGTTGTTGTTGTAGCAATGGGATGGAAGGGATAATTTTGAGAAGCAGTAGAAGCATATTTGTTTTAATTGGGAGCATGCAGTTTTTCAGCCAGTGGTCAGTGCATCACGTTGTGAAGCTGTGCTTGTTATCTAATCGTGTGTGGTTTTACCATATGTCCAATATGCTTTGATTATGTGTTGTTACTCTGTTGAGTTCAGTGAAAATACACTTAGGCCATCTGTAAGGATTAGCCAGTAGAATGCACACATCCATATGTGACTGTGTTGACTAAAGTAATTGCCTCTTGCTCTCTGCGGCACCTTTGCAAAGTAGTATTCCCACTCACTCAGTTATAGGGTTATACAAGCATCCCCCAGAGAGCTATCCGGCATTGAGAGTTCTGCTATGAATTCACGGTGCTCTGCGGAGGGACCCATGGTGCACTCCTGCCACCTAGTGCAGAGAGCAAGCTTTGCAGAGTTTTTTTTTTTTTTTCGCTTGAACAGGAGCAACATTTTAAATATATTTGCCACTTAGGCGTGTTAGAGCAGAACTGTAGGCTTATTTAAAGGAATACTATAGTGTTAAGAATAGAAACCTGTATTCCTAGCACTGCAGTGACTCTATCCCTCATTAGATTCAGCTCTTCTCCATTTCCCCCAAAATAAAGGTCTTGTGGCTATAATAGCGCTGCTCACTTCTTTGCCTCCCACAGTATCATCGTGGAGGCGACACTTCCTTGCTTGCTCCTAATCCAATGCTTCTCTTAACTCAAGCATCTTACTGCAGAAAGCATTTAACAATTTTCGTGTATGTTGTTGGTTTGCAATTAACAAAAGATGCTCCCCTGGCTAAAGATAAAACTGCAAATGTCTTTTTATCAATGTGCTAAACACACTGAATTTGTATCATTTATAATAAAAAATGGAACTTAAACAATATTTATAGGACTTTTAACAGTAATTATACAAAATCATCCATGATTCTCAGTCACTATTGAACTGCTGCAGTTTGTCAGTATAATGTCGAGTGTGGGTAGCAAATGTGATCAGATATGAACAGAAAAAGTGGTGATCGTGCATTTATATCTTACTCTTTAAATCTGTCAAAATGTTTTGTTTCTCTAATCTTTTCTTATTTAATTTATGTTTTTAGTCTTTCCATGCAGTGCAGAAACACTTGACTGTGGAAGAACTCTTTGGGACCTCTTTATCTAAAGAGCAAACGGCTTCCTTTCACCTTAATTCTGAAACATCTGAGCTGCTGCCAGAGGAAGGAGCACGTAGTGCTTATTTGCCTTTTTCTTCTGACCAGTCCAAGCTGCTCCAACCACTGACAATGAAGTCAGAGCCTGCAGAATTTAGCTCTAGCTCCAATGAGTGTGCTCATCCTGCCTTTAATTCAGTATTAATACCCCAAGTCCCAGTCTCACAACCAGACTGCCAGAGAATACAACCCTTTCCTATAAGGTTAAGTCCTAGTCTTTGTTCAGCACCCGCATCTGATGTGCTGACTAAATCCACCTCCCTTAGTTCCAGCAATACAACCTGCATCAGACATGTCATGCAAAATACTGGCAGGCAGCTGTCCCCTCTTATGAGCCAGCCACTTTCAGACTTCAGTAATTCTACCTCAAATCCACCCATCCTTCCACCATGTATTCCTGTTAGCCTTGGTAAAGTGTCCAGCACGACTCCGTCAGATGTCGAGCTACTCCAGAAGCTAAAGTTGACCTCTCAAGTAGACCAAATACAGCCGCAGCCCGTCGGCAAAGCTTGTATTGCACCTAAATTCTCCTGTGCAGCGAGCCAGCTAGCAACACCAGAGAGTTTTAAAGGAAATTCGATGAAGGCCATGAACAGCCTTGGGATAGCACCTGTCCAGGTAAGTTGTCAGCACTGTAGGGATTATTACATAACTACCCCTGTGACTGTGGTAGTTACGCCACTGGTGCAGGCACTACAAACATAAGCGTGCACTTTACGTTCATTAGTCATTAAAGCACATTGGACATAACTCCAGTGGTGAGTGCAGTTGGCAGCCCCTTTACTCTGAACTCAATGATTAGCCGCTGAGTATACAACGTTACCCAGATACTGAGCCACTCCCTGGATATCTTTCTGCATGCATAATGTACATGAACAAGAGAGCCCCAGTCCTTTGCTCTGCCCAGAAGTTTATTCAAGGTGGTAACACAAAGTAATTTTTTTATATTGATAACAAGCTCTGTTATTGCCAGCAGCATCATGTATTCTGAATGGTGTTGACAAAAGCAGGCGTTTTTGCCGTTTTGAATTCATGAAAAGGATTATGATCAAACCATTAATTGCTGAGTATATAGAACGAGGTCCGCAAACAGCCTATTGGGGATAATTGTTTACTTTGGCAAATCAGTCGTTTGTTTGTTACTGCAGGAAAATGACATTTGATGGCTTTGTTTTCTAAAAGCGGATTTTCTACATTCTGTACGTGGTTTCACTGGCTTATATCCTTGTACCCACTACGTTCACTACATTCCCTGTCATTTAATTCTAGAACGGAGTGAACAGTGAACCTGTGAATTTAGGCGCTGAATAGAAGAACATTGGAAGAAGAACATTTTAACCCCTTCCCACCTGGTCCCATGAATACATGGGTTTATTTATTTAATTTTACACATACATTTCCTTTCACCAGGAAGAGAAATAGAATTAGGAAAAATATGGAAAAGCGGTACAGTGAACATTCAGAACACAAATTGATTTGCCTGGCATCTGATGATTGTGTCTTCTGGAGGCTAGCTAGGAGATCTTCCTCTCCAAACATTAGTGAAAACCAGTTAATCACTTCAACCATAGAATATAGTATAAATCACTTTTATTTATTCACTGGAAAAAAAAAATATAATGGAGTCCAGCCATTCGGCGGTGGACCAAGGTCATCATGGGCAGTCTGACCGGTCTGCGGTTACGCAGACCCATACACAGCAAGCTTTGATGAACGGTGTGTTCTGACACCTTTCTATCATGGCCAGCATTACTTTTTTCAGCAATTTGAGCTACAGTAGCTCTTCTGTGTGATCGAACCAGACTGATGTGCATCAGTGAGTCTTGGTCATCCATGATACTGATGCCGGCTGCACCACTTTTGGTAGGTACTAGCCACTGCATATTTGACACACACCACAAGATTTACTGTTTTGGAGATGCCATCACTCTTTGGCCCTTGTCAAGGTCACTCAGATCTTTTCAGTAGCCAATTATTCCTGCTTCCAACATATGAAATTGAAGAACTGACATGTTCCACTCCTTGACAGGGTTATTCACTTCACTTGTCAGTGGTTTTAATGTTGTGGCTGAACAGTGAATGCCTGATCTCTAGTTCTAAATAATATAACCTTTTCTCGTTGTAGGCTTCCCAGTTTGTGACCCCTGCAACCACTGCTGCATCTTCAGTCCTTCTGTCACCTAGTGTCTTTGAGCAATCTCTCCAAAAATCTGCAAAATCAGAAGATAAAGCAAGAATGTCACCACCTATGCAGGTGACCACTGACCTACCAATGTTTGCACTCAGCAGATCTCAGCTCCAAGAGACATTAGTGCATCTTATTAAGGTAACTGTCCTTAATAATTTAAAGGGAATTTCCAGGCACCGGAAAAACTCTGCCCTGTAGCCAATCATTGTCCTCTTATCTGTGTAGTATTTAAAAGCCGACTTCACAGTGTTAAGGGTACAGGTAATACAGGGATAGGGATTGGTTGAGTTGCAGTTTTGTCAGCAACTCTGCTAATACTGATCTGATTACGTTCTCAGAGTACTTCTCATGAGGAAGTAAAATATAAAGAGGTTAAAATGTGAAAAGAATTGTGTAGAAATATGACAGACCAACATCTATAGCATTTAAGGTGTTGGTTCCCTGTGTGTGCTTTTAACGTATTCATGTTTGTATTTGTATTATAATAAGAAACCCATCATGCTGACTGCAGAATTTTCTAAAGTACACAGTTTTAAGCAAAATAGCAGAGGCTACCACAAGATTTCATAGTGCTATTTGACATTTTGTACTTCTGGACTAAGGTCAGTTTTGGGGGGTTTGTTTAATTTTGTGTAGCATTACCAAAACAGGAGGATGTGCTTTCCTCTTTGAATGCAAATGAACATATCAACTGAAATAGATTCCCATTACCACTAGTCTATAGGATCTTACATTTTACATGTTGTGGTTTCTTGATATTTCAGCTTTCTTTCTTTTTTGTTTCTGTTGACATAATTCAGTGAAATTTGGTTAACACGAATCATACAAAGATTGCAATGTTTTACTGTAGAACACAATGTAGAACATGATCCACCAAAGATTACATAGCCACTAGGACATATATAAGAATGCATCTGTCAGGCAGAAACCGTACCTCTTAATAGCTAGCACATAGGAACTGGTAATGTAGTCACACGAAAGAATGTGCAGAGAATAGTAAAGAGTCAGGGGCCAGAGAGAGCATATTCTTGCAATGGAGAGTTTTTTTGTAGGATGTTAATGGAATAGGACTAAGATAGGTGTATTGTCAGGGAAAATAATTTGTATTCGAGAGCACAAGCTGATGACTGATAGCTGTGGAGTGTGGAACTTGCAGTGTTGCAATCAGACTGTTGAAGCAGTATTGAAAAGAGTAGAGTCCAACAGCAAAAACGGTGAGTGAGGGAGAGATGTGAAAATATTGAAAAAGAAGATACTGATGTATCTGTAGCGTTTTGGGGCGGAAGGGCACCAACATTTAGTGTCAGGTACCCTGCTCCCGCGCCGCTCGCGGTGACCTTACTAACTTCATCACAGCGAGCGGTGTCATCTGGTCCCTGTCTTCAGACTGGCAGTGTGTCTGACGCTGCACGCTGCAGAGCTGCTTCCTTAGATGTGTGCTGCACCCAGTCATGTGACCCGGCACACAGTGATGACCTCAGAGACCACAAGGGAGGGAAGAAACTCCTTCCACGTGTTGTGCGTAACTAGTTGGAAATTAGCCAATCAGACACACCCTATGTGTATATAAGCTAATTTCTCCCTTGCCTCAGTGCCCTGTTGTGTTCTTTGATTTACCATTGAGCATTGCACTTGTTATTTTGGATTTCCTGGTTACTGATATTTGGCTTTGTGTCTCGTTATTCCGTCTCTCTGTTTCCTTTGAAACATAACCCGACCATTCTAAGGATCGATATTGCAATTTTCTCTACTCTGTCCTTCTGCAAGTTAGGGTTCCCTAGTAAACGTTACATTTAGGTACTCCCATTTAAATATATCCTCCAGGTTTGCAGGCAATTTATGGGAAAAAATGTCTGGGCTATCACCAGTCACTGAGCGGAATTGCTCTTTGCCAAAGCGAATAAGAAAGCAGAATGGACACACTTCTTTCGTAGTGTCTGTAATTACAGACGAATAAGGAATTAAGGAACAGATTTGTCCTTCTATTATGATTTTGTTGCTATTCTGCTCTTTCTTTAACCCCTTAATGACAAAGGACCTACAATGTATATTCTTTGCATTTAAGCGCCATTTAAAAGCAGCAAGAACGGGATAATTATTGATATCTCACAGGTGAGATATCAGTGAAATAGCACTGTGGAGGCTAGACGACTGGCCTCGCAATTGCAAGGACTTCCAGCTGTACGTGTGGCTTCTCCATACTTGAGAGATGTAAGAGTACAAATCTGGGGTTTTGAAATAGGATGCACAAGGCCTATGAAATGCACCATTGATAGTCAGTATGTATGTTTAAAAAAAAAAAAAAAAAAAAATGACTTTTATAACTGAAATCATAAATTGGTGATGAAAAGGCCAAATTAAAATTCTTTGAAAAATCACTTAAATGCTTTACTAAGGGAAGGGCAAATGTGCGCAGCAGTCATGCGCATTAGGGCTTCCTCACTAAAGTCGGAGGAACTTCAGCGCTGGAATCAAGTGTTTAAAGAGTTTTAACTCTGATAGTCGTGGGGGGACGTGGAGGCAGAAGGACACTCTAGTGTTAGGGCAACTGCTTTGTATATCTATCACTGTAGTGTTCTCTAATGCTGTGTTATGTATACATATAGGGTATCCGAAGAGAACGCCCTATTCGTGTTTTAAAAGCGGAAACATGTATACTATGTTTGGGTGCATTTGAAGAGAAAGCATTACATTTTTGATTAAACAAACTCATAACAAAAATGACACAGTCCCAAATCTATGGAGTCATGTACGAAAAACAGGAATGGAGTGCCCTATCTGGCAGATCAATATTTCAATTAAATATTGTCGAAGTCTGTAATTCAAAATATGGGAGAGAAAATGTTAGAATGAAAAGAAATTCAAAACGAAAATAGAAAAACCTTTTGGAATACTTCTTAGAACACACTGTTCTGGTTTAAAGTAATTCTAGTCAGTAGTAGCTTGCCATTCCTGCACATTAAAGGCATACTACAGGCACCAGAACAACTTTAGCTTAAGGACAGATGCAATAGTCCTAACCAAAACCTATAATTTACACTGTTTCCACTGTAATTTATAGTTTTCCTCAAGTGCCCCAACAATACATACTGTTTTATTAAAGGACAGAAAGGGGTTTTATTTAATTTGATATATATTTATACTTAACACTGCATTAGGTGTGAATGTTTTAAAATAAGGTCATTTTATCAATTTTGAAGAAAAACTTTTATACTGACTCACCCTTCAGTTTCACTATGCACTACACCATCTACAAGACAGGTCAATCTTTGGTCCATTATCTGACACTGGGCGTCCTCACGCTCTGCATGAGGACCTCCCAGAGTAAATTTTTTTTCCACCATAGGAAGCATTGAATAATGGCCGATTGCGGCCATTGCTGCGCATGTGCATTAGGTTTCCTCGCTGGTTGATGTCGGCGAGGGAGGAGCATGACCCAGCACCGAGGGACATTGGCGCCGGATTCAGGCAAGTCACAGAGGGGGTTTTAATCCCTTCAGCGCAGCGGGAGGATGGCGCGAGGGAGGTTGGCACCTTAGAAACCTATAGTGTCAGGAAAACTGCTTTGTTTTAAGCTAACGTTTGGGTGCCATTAGTTTCCCATCTATTGAAGCTGAAAACATTGTTTAAATGTCATTTCAACGAGTAACCAGATTTTAAAGCTCTAGTGGTGTTTAGCATGTATTTGGTTAAGATTTTTAATTTTTTTATTTATTTTTTAAATCTTTCCAGGATGTGCAGGTGCAATGTAACAGCATTGAAAGGACGGTGTTTAGTACAAAAAGCCTGAAGGAACTGATTATACTCAGCAGAACAAATGCAATAAGCTGTAGCTGTTCTGGTGACTATAGTGTCCCATTAACCCCTTAAGGACCAAACTTCTGGAATAAAAGGGAATCATGACATGTCACACATGTCACACGTCATGTGTCCTTAAGGGGTTAAATTTAATCTCTTTTCATGTAATCTACACAATCCATGTATTGGCAGAAAGCAGTATTGTTTAAAAAGGTCTCCAATATCCATGTGAAAGATGTAAGAGGCAGCACACTGTAAAGTCAAAAGTGCCTTATCGGAGAGATAAATGGGGGGAGGAGGGAGCATGTACAGACTGTGTGTGCCATTCTCGCGTAACTCTAAATAAAGAGTGGTGGCCTTAGTGAGACCTTAGTGCTGAGGAACTAAGACTGTTCCTTTAAGTGAAAACAAAATCTAAAGCAAACAGGTTGCCTTTTATAATAATCACGTAGTAAGTAAATAATAAATGGGATGCCCTGAAAACCAACAGAATCATTATGCAAGTTTTTCGTTACATGCATTCTGTATCTAAACCTCAACTTTACATTAAAAAAATACTTTTGGTTACTGTACAAGTATAAGGCTTATTTTATTGTGATCTATAATTATTTTTTATTTATTTTTTAGAACGATTCAAGTTTTCTCAATACAGTTCATGAAGTCTATCTACAATCCCTTACAAAAACCTCAGATAAAGTCAAGCTTTAAAGGATGAAATACAAATACAAAACAAGCAATGTTATCCTATTAGTTGGTCATTCTATACAAAACTATCAACAACCAAAAAAAAAAAAACAAGCTGCATGAAACAAGGTCAATGCTACATGGGAAAACAGAGGAATGTTTTGGATAATACATTTGGAACAACGCATTGAACATTCAGTTTAATATATGCTGCAACTTGTCCAATCGATTCATTTTAAACTATGTGCAGGACAACGGAAATATCGTTTTTGTTTACCAGCATATTTTGAGTGTACTAAAAAAAAAAAAATGTCGAGGTTGTCTGTACTACAGCCACTGGTAGAGGTGATTTATTAACGTTGAATTTTATGTACCTTTTTGTTTTTAAAGCAGATACCATCTAAATGCATTGGATTTGAATCCTCTATCAATATTATACTTTTGTTTTTGTTTTGTTTTTTTAAGTGGCAAAGCCTTTTTTTTGTTAGTTTTAAAATTGTTACCCTAATTTTACATGCATTTTAATAAAATTATTATTGAATTTATTGACATATTGACTCTCTCTCGACCTTCCCGTATATGCACCTGTTGCATGATGCATCTTTCAGAGATGTATTGGTTGCTTGTTTGCACACCATAATGCTATCTTGTTGATAGCTTGTTCATAGAGGGTTATTCACGGAGTGTGATATATCAGAGATTTAGAGTGAATTTCAGTAAGGCTGTTTTGCAGTTAATTTTGAATTCCATACAATTCACATTTTAGGGAACCATCCAATACAAATAGTCAGCAGTTAAAATCATGGTAGAGGGGGTCCTTTTATTAACATTAACAAATACAAAAAAACTGACCAAATCCTCTACAGCCAATAAAAATGCAGATGACATTATTATTCTATTATTAGAATAAATAATCTCTGCCTATTTTTATATTTCATAAAGCAATAAAATTCCAACCGATATGTTTAAGTTGTAGAAAATGTTTTTGCTATAGTGTAAAAGGATCACTATAGGGTCAGGAACACAAACATGTATTCCTAAACCCTATAGTGTAATACCCACCATTTAGGTGGCTTGCCCCCTTAAAAGGAGTTAACTCACCTTATTTCCAGGGCTGTGCATGTCTGCCGGCACTGGCCCCACCCCCTTGGTGACATCATCTGAATTGCCGATTTTTAGCCAATCTAATGTTTTCCCATGGGGAAAGCATTGGATTGGATAAAATCTGCAAGGGCGGGGCCAAACACAGTTTTGGCCAATCAGCACCTCATCGAAATGCATTGAATCAGTGTTTGCATAAAAATGCTTGCATATAATAATTATACTCTCCAGAACAACTACATTAAGCTGTAGTTGTTCTGGTGACTATAGTGTCCCTTTAAGCGTAAATGTAAAGCAGAACTTGCAGCTCTTTGTATTATTAATGGGAACCTATAGTCCTGTAAATAAGTTGTTTTTTCTGGACTATAAGTTCCCTTATGTTGCTGTGATATCTCTCCACCCCCATTATAGTGTTTTAAAAGATTACTTGCCTATTTTCCAGGGCTAAAACTCATTGGCTGCAGCCATTCACTCTGCCTCAATCTTCGTCAGCATGGCTGCTGATTTTCCTCGATTCGTCCAATCTCAGCGACTATATCAGTGCACAGTAAATTTCCACGCTCCTCCAATCAAATGCTACTTTGAGCAATATTTAATTGGAGAACAGAGTTTGACACTGTTCTGGAGTCAGCAGTACTTTGTGTGGCTGTCAGGCAGAGACGGCTACTAGAGGTGTACTTAACATTTTAAATATAAACATTCGAATTTCAACAAAACGGCAATGTTATACATTGATGGGTTGAAACGACAGGACCACTGCATCCACTGCTTCCAGACCACTTCATTCAGATGAAGTAGTGGGCACCTTTAGTGGTCCCTAAAAGCTTAAATATTTTACAATTTTAAATTTATTATATGAATTCTGATAGTTCCTTTTCATTTAGCTGAGATCGTTTTTACTTCTGAAGCTACATAATATAGCAAACTTTAAATGTTGGTGAAGCTTTTAGTTTATGGTTTGTTTTTTAAACTTAAAATAGTGTTTTTTTTGTAAGAACATTTAATATGAACTTGCATGACTTATATTCACAGATTAGTTTTCTATTTCAGATTGTTGATATAAGTGGCTGTATAGCTACAGTTTTCTTTCTTTTTTTTTTTTTCTTATAAAATTGGACACTCCTAAAACTAGCAGATTGTGCCTGCTGATATTGCGTGAGTTAAACTTAAATTTGTTTTGCCTGCCTTATACGAAGTACCGGTCATAATACAATTTTGAAAATTTGTATTGGGCAAAAAACCCAATGAAATTATTTTTGTGTAATCGGTAATAATCGAAGGCTTTTCTGGGTATTTTAGTGGTGCACCCCAGGAACTGAAAAAGTTAGTCCGTCTAGGAAACATAACCACTACAGAACACTGTAGTGGTTACAGTGCCAGATGTCTCTTGGCTCCCATACAATGGCAAGTAGTTACATCATTATTGAAGGGCTTAATGTGTCCCTGGATCCCCCATGTGCCCCCTTCCTTTGATGTTTCTAAAAGTAAAGTTTCCCCTCTGCATTAGATGTATACTTTTCATCCATATTTGGATGTAATTCATTGCCAGAGAACACCAGTTAACAATATTGTTAATAAATTCTGCCTAAGCACAAGCAAAAATGATTTTCCTAATAAGTATTCCTAATTCCTAATAAGTATCAAAACTGTGAAAGCTGTTTGGCTATTATGCTGTGGATTGGGTTTTGACACCATAATCACTACAGAATGCTGTTAAGGTTATTGTGCTTATACAATCCCATTTGAGCATTCTTTATTTTTGATCTTGGTTTCTATGTAATATTATTGGTCCCTTTTTTGCATGTTTAGCATTTAAAACAGATCATACACAAAAGGTCTGGGCAGTAAGTTCACCTTAAATATTGTTGAGAAAAGGTTAGTAACTAGCTTGACAGAGATAATAAACGAAGTGTTGCTTGTGTTGTGTGGTAGCAGCAGTCCATGGACACCATAAGTGTAATATTTGCTGCCATGAAAATAGCACAGCATTAAAAACTATGCATCTGCTGGCAATTTTGCTTTGAATTTTTATTCTTTATTATGTGACACCAAATAGTATCTGATGTACATTTCAGGAGGAGCTCTACACTGACAGTTATTTGGTTTGGAGGATGTATTGTCTATAACAGTTGCCTGATTACAGTGCAGCAAATCAGTTCTTCAATGGCTAAAATGGACAGGTTTCAAGAAAATCTGTGGCTATTGGGGTCAACTTGTTAGCCAATTTCACAAAATGATTGCCAAGTTACTATTTTGATGTTGTATTTTTAAAGCTCACATCGTAGGGTCATTGATCCATTATTGGTTCTTTGTGGGTGTCAAACCAGATGTTTGGATTCTGACACATAAACCTATTTTACAGTGACTGGTTTGAGGATACGCATGTGTCACTTTCAGTGTTAGTGATTTTATACTGCACAATACAATTTGCGGTTTCTTTTCTGGTAGGTTGTATTAAACCAAGTGAGATGCGGAAACTTTGTTTTTTAACATGGTCATTTAAAAAAAATAAAAAATAAAAGCAGAACATTGATACAGCTTTATATCTATCTGCATATTGTGTCAATACAAAGAGAACACAAGTATAGCTTCTGAATACATTGCTTTGCAAAATATTGTGCTACATTTACCCTTAGATTTTTGGGAGCACTTACTAAATAATGACCAAAGATACTGTGGTGGATGCAGGTGAAAGATCCATAAACCAAATTTCTTTAAAAAGAATTTTCTTTGTTTATTTGATCAATATATATATATATATATTCCTTGTTATTGATTGGTGCTAAAAAATAACCTATCCTGGGCTGTTTGTTTTATATAAATCTTATATTGTTGAATACTCTGCTTCTATCTAATGGCAAGTGTGTGGCCCTCATGGCAACTTCATGGGTGTTAAAGGGACACTATAAGCATCCAGGCCACTTTGAAGTGGTAAGGGTGTGGTGTCCCTGTCCTATTAGCCAGGCAATGTAAAACATTGCCAGGTTAAGAATGTCTCTTGTATCTGTCTCCCATACAGTCACTAAAGGCACTTTTTGGAAACTCTGTGAAACTACACTGGACATCCTCACGATTTGCATGAGGACATTCAACGACTTTAAATCCCCCAGAGGAAAGCATTAATAGAAATGCTTTTCTATGTGGATGGTCTAGTGAACGTGCGGCACTTGCCACACATGTGCATTATGTTACCCCCATTACGTTGCTGGAGAGAGGTAGGTGTTGAAACAGTTTAAACACTTACCTATTTTTAACACGGGGGTGCAGACAATAACTTTAGGGCAGAGGGGCACTATAACGTTAAACATACTGTTTTATATTCCTAATGCTATATTCCTTTAAAGTAATACAACACTTGCTCCCCCGGAGTCACACCTTCTTACCACCCTCCATCCAATTATATCGCCCCTGCTTGGGCTAGTTTGTCTAATGATGCAGACATGCTTTGATTGACATCATTCTGTTCCTGTACACCTTTAGTGAACGATCTGTGGCAGAGAACAGCAGAACACCCTCTCTTGCTTTCCCTGACACTCTGTTGTTTGTATAGGGGTCTGCACTGAATCTTAAAAATTGATTGACCGTTTTGTTAGGGACAATGTTATGGATTATTTTATTATTTTTTTTAGTACCATGTTTCATTTCCTAGTACCATGTTTGTTTCCTCCGTTATAATTCAAACTGATATATATACTAATGCGTGTGTGTGTGTGTGTGTGTATATATATATATATATATATATATATATTATATACACACACACTATGACAGGCAGACTTTAAAGCAGGGGTACCCAAAAGGTAGATCCCCAGATCTTGTAGAACTACAACTCCCATAATGATTTGCATGTCTTTAGACTGACCAAGCATCATGGAAGTGTGTGGGTTTTTTTTTGTTTTTTTTTTTTATATATTTTTCACAGCAGTTTGAGAAGGAACAAGCATGTTAACATTGACATATAATAGCTATGAAACCAGATGTCTAGAAAAAGAATATCTAAAAAATGTATTATAAACATGTAGAAGGTTCAAGATAAATGTAGATACATTTCTATTTGATAAATATTAACTATTACATTTTGAACAAAGTTACTATCACTTTTACAATATATTGGTGTAATGCTGTTTTCTTATTTCTTTAAAGTCTGTTTTACGCTTGATTTGTGCCCATTGAACATGTTCCATAGTTGCATGTGTTATTTGTAAGGAAAAATACAATTTGACGAATTTCAATACATAATTTGTATGGATAAAAATTGTATTTTCAGAATTACATTTTATTTTTCCACATACAAATTAAGGAAATATGTCTTGTCAGCCTGACCTTGTAATTATTGCACACATGTACATGTGTTTCCATTTTTATGTTGGCAAATCTATTTTTTTAAGAAAATTAGAAATAAAAGTTTGAGTGTCTTTTGTGTGTTTTGTTTTTAATTGTGTTGATAACATTGTATACTACTCCCACAACTACTGATTTAAAGGGACACTATAGTCACCAACACAACTTTAGCTTAAGGAAGGCGTTTTGGTGTATAGATCATGCGTCTAAAGCAGACTTCCCCAAACTCCGGCCCTCCAGATGTCGCTGAACTACAACTCCCATGATTCTCTGAATGAAATAGGTTGAGAATCATGGGAGTTGTAGTTTAGCAACATCTGGAGGGCCAGCGTTTGGGGAAGCCTGGTCTAAAGCCTCACTGCTCACTTCTCTGCCATTTAGGAGTTAAATCATTTGTGTTTCTGTTTATGCAGCCCTAGTCACACCTCTCCTGGCTTTGACTCACACAGCCTGCAAGAAAAAAATGGTTTAATTTTAAATCCAATGTTAACTTGCTTTAGATGTTTTTTTACCTTCTGCTCTGTAAATTGCATTTTAATGATACACAGGAGGCTCTTGCAAGGTCTAACAAGCTATTAATAGTGCAGGAGATAATAAATTCTAAATTTAACAGACTGTTTGTGAAACACTTGTGTGGGTTAATTTGAATAAACTTATACGTTTTCTTGTTATCCATATATTTGAGAAGCACAGAGGTCCACCGTCAAAGTGTGCAAGTTAAACCACTGTCCGCTTACTTATCCGTTATTGATTTTAATGCTGTGACTTTAACATGTTTTTAATACATTCAAATGTTTCAATTGTGATATTAAACACGATGTTTATGGGGTAGTAAGCATTGCACAGTTTGGCTCTAAAGGTGGTCTGCCTCTTGACCAATCATATTTGACTAATCTTTTTGTCCGTCACCCCCCCCCACCCCCTCCTTTTCTACTTTGTCTGGATCTACTCCATTTTATACGTTCCATCAGAATTAAGGATGTTGTTGAACATTACTGTTTTAATGAGAAAAAATAAATCTATAAACATGTTTTGGGGTAATGCAAAAGCTACCTATGACACAGTGATACTCACAAGAAGTACTCCTGTTAGGAGCATAACCGTATTCTCAAATGCTTATAAAGCATTGTTATTATATTGTGTGTATGTATGTAGATATATATCCAGAATCTATATATTCTGTGAGTTCTTCCTGAAATTGTTGTGAAATGCCTTTAAATAGCCAGGTCACTACGTATGGTCAGCATTGTTTCTTAAACGCGTGGTGTCAGTCTCTGCATGATGGTTATTTCAAGTTGCAAGCAGCAAGAGGTGGCTGTGATTTGCTGACTGTCAGCTGACTGCTTTCAGCCTATCATAGCCACCAATGATATGGTATGACTTGGTCTAGAGACCTTAATTTAGTGATGGACTGTTCAAAAACCGCTTAACGAATGGAGGGACAATGAGTTGAAATGTTTGTCTACAGTGTCCCTTTAAAATTTTGTTTCAGCTTTACCGTTGGGGTTCTAATTCTGCTAGTTCTGTATACTGATTAACGTTAATATTCAGTATGTTCTCTATCTCTTTCACATTGCAAAGACATTCTTGTATTTTGCCAGACTGTTTAAGCAACTGTGAGTGAAAAAAGTATTTGATCCCCTGCTGATTTTGAACGTTTGCCCACTGACAAAGAAGTGATCAGCCTCTAATTTTAATGGTAGGTGTATTTTAACAGTGAGACACAAAATACCAACAATAAAAAATTAAAAAATCCAGAAAAACGCATGTCCAAAAAAGATATAAATTGATTTGCATGTCAATGAGTAAAATAAGTATTTGACCCCTTCGACTTAGTACTTGGTGGCAAAACCCTTGTTGGCAATCACAGAGTTTAGATAAACACAAAAAGAATTCAGCGCTAGTAATCACAAAATTAGTCAAGGTAGGCAGCAACCCAAATGAAGGAAAACCCCTCGGGTCCTTCGGTGGATAGATACAAAAAGATATGGAAGGGCTGCGCCAAATAAGGGTAGATAGTCCAGTAAAGTATTGCTAGGGTGCCAATAGATGGTCTAGGATACTTGATAGAGTTCCTCTGTGGATGCGTCTGGTGTAGACCGTTCCGTATATGTAAATACAAGAGAGGTAGAGGCGACTAATGGTATAGTATGAAAGTTCAGGGTGTGATAGGTAACAAAAAGTAAAGAACTCACATTCAGGAGAGCTATGGCCAGCTCTGGTGTGGATTGCGTACAGCGGTATAATCCCCGCTTATGGGATATGTAGGGAGGGGTCTCCGTCAGCACCGTCTGGTAGTCCAGAGCTCGAAAAAGAAAGACAGAAAGCAACAATAGTGCTCTCAATTTTGATGTGGTTCAATGTGCAGATAAGAAGAGGTAAAAAACTCACATTTGAGGGAGCTATGGCCAGCTCTGGTGTGGATAGCGTACAGCGGTATAATCCCCGCTTATAGGATATGTAGCGGCGATACGTCCGTCAGCACCGTCTGGTGATCCAAGGCTCCAATATAGAAGAATAAAAAGCAGCAATAGTGCTCTCAATTGTGATAGGTTAAGAGAGTAGTAGAGAAAATAAAATAATACTCACAAAGATAGAGCAGAGGTACTGCTCTATGGATAGGCGCCGGTGGTATGATCCCCACCTAGGATTTCTTGGAGTACTGGAACTTTAAAATTGCCAATGGAAGTAAAAGTAACCAGGAAAGGTTAAAATGCCAGGAATAGGTAAAAACAAAAGTTGTTTAAAGTGCATAAAGAGTGCAATAAAAAGAGGATTGGTACAATAAAGTAGCCAAAAAACTTTTATTGATCTAAAATACACAGTAAAATACAGAATTAATAACCATAAACGCGTTTCACCATAAGTGGCTTCTTCAGAATGGGATAAAAGTAGTAACCTGGCAGGGGTTGTTTAAATAGGGCTATGTTAATTTGAAAATTGCGCCAAAAGTGTAATTGGCCAATCAGAGACAATTTTTAAAATCACTTTTCAAAATTAGGATTCAAGAGTATGGGAGTGATGTTATAAAGGTGATGAGTCCATTTAAATTATTTAAATGTGAAAACTAGAGTGAGAAAGTTGTTTTTAAAGAGAAAGAAAGGAAGAAAAAAAAAGTTGTTTGATTAAAGTTCAAAAAAAAAAAAGTTTGATTAAAGTTCATTAAAAGAACAAAAAAAAAGGGTTTGATTAAAGTTCATTAAAAGAACAAAAAAAAAAGGGTTTGATTAAAGTTCATTAAAAGAACAAAAAAAAAAAGGGTTTGATTAAAGTTCATTAAAAGAACAACAAAAAAAAATAAAAAAAAATAGATGGTTTAAAGGTACAGAGATACAGAGATATATGTAAATGGAATATGCATGAAAAGGGGGTAATATAATTCCAAACATAATGATTTAAATAGGGGTTATATTATACCCCAGAGTAATAATACAGATGTTAAATGAAAATAATAGATAAAATAAAAATAAAATTAAATAAAAGATTACACAGAATACAAGATACATAAATGGAAAGGCATAGATGAAAAAATAAAACTTAAAAGATTATTATTATTATGAGGGTTGGTTAGGTCCAGACATAAAGAATAAAAGCATGTAGATAGGAATTTAAATAAAATTAAACAAGTCAAAATCAACATTTAAACCAGATGGGGTAAGAGTTTTGAGATTAAAAACCCATTCCATCTCAGCTTTACCTAATATGTTCTTAATGTTACCACCTCTCCATGGTATTATACATTTTTTTATGCCGATGCATTTAAGGTGTCTTATGTCGTTGTTATGTGTACAAAAGTGTTTGGAGACTGAGTGATTCAGGTAGCCTTTTTTGATATTTCTACAGTGTTCACTCAGTCTCACTTTAAGACTTCTTGTGGTCATCCCTACATACTGGAGACCACAAGGGCACTCCAACAAGTAGATGACATTTTTGGTATCGCAACTGATAAAATCTTTAATTTTATAGGTTTTGTTGGTGATATTAGATTTAAAACTGGTGGTTTTGGAAGGGACGGAGGGGTCTGTGTTTTTGCATACAATGCATCTTTTACATTTATAAAAGCCACTGGCATTGGGCATAAAGGAATTAAAAGTAGGTTTGGTTTCTTTTGTAAAATTGGTGGTTAAAATGGATTTGAAGGGGGGGCGGAGCCTGACTACTAAGCGGACCAGACGTACATTGTGAGGGCTCCCGAGTCTGAAGCTAAGATTCTGGGTTTATCACCCGACCACCCGAGCGCACCGACTGCTGAACACAATATTCGGGACAAGGAGACTGCACTGCACCCGGGGATACCCGTCACTTGGGACTCCGGTGCGAGACAGACCAAATCGAGACCGGTGGCCTGTGCAGGTGGGAGCCGGGAAGAGACGGCTGCTCTCTCGGTTCTCTGGCTGACAAAGGGGCACTCTCAAACCACTTCCCTCCCCCCCTCCCCCCCTCCCTGTGGACCGGTGGGGGTCATCCCAGTCCTCGAGTACCTAGGCTGCCTTAAGCGCAGACGCTCCTGTGAACCCTGCAGAACTCCCAAGCCACATGGCGCCAGAGATATCCAAGATAGCGGAGGCACCAAGCTCTGCAACACGAGGCTGGACACTGCTGCAGCCTGATTCCGTAAGCCCTAAAGCCACAGCAACAAACACTCTGGGAGCCATATTTGACAACTTTTGGGCCATGCTGCTCGACAGGGCAAGGCAAGTGAAAGCCACACAGGCGCATGACAAGGGAGACCAAGCATGCACCATGGAGAGGCCTGAGACGCTGCCTACAAGCAGACAAACATCCCGCACTACTCCACTCACACGGAGGCGACGCGAGCTGCGGAAACAACGCTACCGGCTGAGACACCGAGATGCGGACAGACGTCCTGCCCGCTGCCGTAAAACACCAAGTCCCAAAGCACCACGACCAGTCCTAAGCAACATACCGAAACCAATGTGGTCACCTCCAAGCCTCCCCCCATGCCGCCCTAGGCTGGGCAACCCCTTACCAAGCGAGAGAGCTGCCGCCTGGATGACCAACAACATGCTGGACAGTCCGGTAAACCCAGTGGGCATTGGCTGAACGTGCATAG